CTTTATGAAAATATTTAGGTTCAGCAAAGACTGCTATTCTATAACATTTTCCATTGTTTGTGTAAAGAACTATTCTGTCAATGTATTTGTATTGTTTGTGAGTATAAACTATGCTCTGCTTCAATTCAATAAGATATCCGAATACGTCCATCTTTTTATTCTAAGTAAAATGTCATTTCCGAAAAATAGAAGCGTGAGTGTTTCAAAAGGTTTAATGGCGGTGGCAGATGTGAAGTTAAATTCACCAACTCAAACAAACAGTCAAAGTGTTATTGTCAATGTCAAAGACAGAGATGTTGAAGTGGGGAAACCATACGAAGACGAAGATGGTATAACAATTGTTCCTGTAAAAGAACCAACATATCCTGAAGTTACCAGAGACTTAAGTTCTGTTGCAGATATTCGAAACGACTACCAACAACTGAAAGACAAACTTCAAACTCAGGAGAAGATTTGTCAAGCTTTAAGTATAATGTTAAACTTGGTCGAACACAACCCTGTAAAAGTGAACTCATATGTCATTGCACCTCATGAAGTTTTGAAAGAACTATTGAAACTTTTGACAGAGGCAGACGATATAAACATCAAAGAAATAGAACCTGACATTGGTTGCTGTGGTGTTTCATATAATGTCATTGACAAGATATACGTTATGAAAGGAGGTGAAACGTTGAACTTAAAGTATAGTTTCCCAGACGTTATAAAAATATTTGACGACCACAACATTTCATTAAAGTTTATTTGCTAAGTAAATGGCAGAAGACATAATGGTTTATACTATTACGACTAAAAACCCTGAGTCATATAATTCTATAACAACAAACTTACAAAGTCCTCAAGGACGATATTGTAAACTAACCTTAAACACAATGACGACTAAAGCCTGTTTTGCTCTTTTGACACCAGAAGACTTTATTGTTGTGAATGGTAAAAAATACTCCTTTGAAGATACTTACTCAGATATACCACCAACAGGTTTTGTTGACTTATTTAATACTTTAAGTACGGGTGTAACATGTGCTGCAACTAGAGCAGGTTTCATTATGTTTGGATGTCCGACTGAGTTTACTATAAACGATATGAGCTATAATACAAAACTTATTTCTGGTTTTTACTACCAACAGTTTCCTATAACAGGAAAAGGTGTCATACAAGGAATGTCTATTCCATTGACATTAAGCACCACCAATCTTATATATTGTTTCAAACTTAGGTTCAAAGTGTTATTCGAATGTCGACAGAAACTATTATGACCAAAAGATACTTATGCGTATAAACAATACTTTCTCTGCTGGTTTGCCTATTGTTCATTCGAATGCAGAATTTTCAACCTTAGTGAACTCAAACACTTTGGCAAGTATAACGTTGACATTAGTTGACGCAAACTTTGTTCCTGTAAAACTTTTATGTCCTATGTATTTGTCAATGACGGCAGAAAGTTTCGAATTGGAAGATGCAACTGGTGAAAGTATTGTATTACAAGAACAACTTCAACAACAAATAGCTCAAGAACAACAAATGCAACAAATGGAACAACAAAGTCAAGAATAAAAAAAATATTATTTTTTTTTTATTTTTATAAAAATGTACAGAATAGATGTTTCAGATTTTTATGACTTCCAAGCATTCAGAAATATGTGTCCATTTCGAGACTATAACAAAGCAGTCGAGAATTTGAAACGTTTAGTCATTTATGTTGACTCTGCCCCAGAATGTTATGTCATGAAAGAAATGGGATGTTGTCTTTAACAAACCAAGAGCAACAATAGTGTCTGAACAAGAATGTAGACAGAAACTTAAGAAAATAAAAGTTGTACAAGTTGGCATGAAGATGTTAGATGCTTGGGATATCTTATTGTCAAAACTTGAAGATTTTTCAGTTCGTGGTATAAAGTTTTATACACCTTCTCCAAACTTCTATTCTATCTTCACTGGATATAAATACGAACAAGTAGAATGGAAAGAAAATATTATAGAAGCTTGGTTAGACCATGTCAAAGAAATTATATGCAATGGAAACGAAAAGGTTTATGAGTATATCTTATGTTGGTTTGCAAACATCTTACAACATCCAAGTGCTAAAAATGAAACTGCTCTCATTATAATTGGAAAACAAGGAACTGGTAAGAATACTTTCTTTACAGATATTTTGTGCAAACTGTTAGAAGGTTATTCGAACCCTAATATGACAAACTTAGAAAACATCTGCGGTAAATTTAACTCTTCAATTGAGAATATGAAACTTATAGTTTGCAATGAACTTCAAAGTATAGATACAACAAAAGTTTTGAACTCAGATGCTTTGAAGAGTCTTATAACAGACAAAGTTGGAGTTGTTGAAAGAAAATATAAAGACCAAAGAGTTTGTGAAAATGTTGCAAACTTCATTATGGTTTCAAACAATGCTGTTCCGATGAAGTTAGAAAGTTCTGACAGAAGATATGTAGTTGTCAGAACGTCAGAAGCTCATATGCAAGATACAGAATATTTTGACGCTTTGTCAGAATATTTGACACCTGAGTTTTACAACCATTTGTTTTCATACTTTATGACATTAGATATTTCAAAGTTCAATCCAAGACAAATTCCACATACCGAAGAGAGACAAACATTGTTAGAAGCAAACAAGAGTGTATATGAACTGTTCGTAGATGAAACTGACTTTGTGTCATTAGATGAAAGGTCATTGTACGATTCGTATAAACAATATTGTCAAGAGTATGGTTATATGCCAGCGTCTAAACGAACATTCTTGGCAAATGTCAAAAGTCTTTTAGATGTTCAGAATGGTGTATATACAAAGAAAAATTTTTCTGAGTAAATTTTAAAAAAAATATTTTTTTATCCGATAGAAAAGATGACGAAATATATTTCAGTAAACAAGTACATGTCAGGACTTAAAGAAGAACTAGACCCATTCACATATTTGAATGTTTACTTCTACCATTTTGAAAAGTCTTCATTCAGCAAAGTTTGGAACATCGAACCAGTTAAGTTTGCTATTGTGACTAAAAATGGTGCGAAATTTGAAGACTTAGACATAGAAGGTTTGTTAACAGTCAAAGAAAGTTTTGACAGAAGGTTCTCAAACCTTAAAGAAGGCAAAGCATACAAACTTGTTATACCTTATGAACCAAAGAAGACAGACGACTATGAATATTATGAGTCTAAAGTTGTAGAAGTTCAAGGTAAATTGGGTAAAAAGCTATTAGAGTCTAAGCCAGTGTTTACTCCTAAAGAGGAAGAGAACATTGACATTGACCCAGAAATGTTCTAAAAATAAAATTTTATTTTTACATGTCAAATTTCTTTTTCTCTGGAACTGGTTCAGGTTCTTTCTTCTCTTCTTCTTTTTTCTCTCTTTTCTTTCTTCTTCTTTTCTGGTGGTGAGACGTCAAATTTCTCAGAACCATATTTATGTAAAAGTTCTTTGTCCTTTAATAGCTCATCTATTCTGTTTTCTATTTCATCTTCAAGAACAGCGCATGTGTCTTCTTTGCATTCTAAGAACTTTTGTTGGACTTCATCTTTCCAATCGGCGTCATCTCTGTCAACAAGTCTGTCATTGACAAATTTTAAGACTGCTCTTTGTAATGTTTTATGGTTCTTGTCATATTCCCAGAAACAGAACTTTAGAACAAATTCACCTTTCTTGTTTACACTATGTAAGATTTTATGGTCGACAGATGTTTTGCTGTCGAAAAGCTTGTCTCGAATATAGATAGCGAAATCGCTAGAACATTTTCTAAAAGATAAAAATTTTAATTTTTCTAAAAATATGTTAGAAAAAAGTTTGCTGACATTGACAAGAAATTTGAGAATGTTTTAAACAAGAACAAGAGGAAGTTAGAAAATGCTCAGATAAAGCCTATACATGACAAGTTCTTATTTGCTCAGAATGGTATATAACAGGTCTAATTGCACCACCTGGGTCGGGTAAGACTTTCACTTATCTTAAAATGGCTGCACAGCAACAAGAACTAGATGAGAAGAACCCATTCTATGAGTTAGTTGTTATTTGTAGTACTTCTGGTCAATTTGACCAAACCGTCAATTCGTTCAAAGATATTATAAAGAAGTCTAAGTTAGTATGTATAAAGGATACTGAGTTGTTAGATTGGATAAAGAAGTACCAAAGAAGAGTTTTGAAGTATAATGCTATAAATGAGTATATAAATTCTAAGTTTAAAGACCCAAATGAGGAAATGCAGAGAATATTAGAGAAGAAACACTTCAGAAACAAACAGAAAGAGATAGAATACATTTCGAAGAAATTGCAATCTTACGATTGGAAGACTTACCCTCATAGATGTCTTCTTATCTTAGATGATTTCGCCTCTCATCCTTTGTTAAAGAACAGAGAACAAGATATGTGTCGAATTCTTAAGAAGCTCAGACACTTTAACATCTCAGTTGTCATTGTGTACAGACAGCAAAGAGTTTTAAGTAAGGATGTTAAAAGAATACTTACTGACATAATACTTTTCCCCGGATTGTCCGAAGACGATTTCATGGAACTTATGAAAGAGTCCATGGCAGGTAAGTTTGACAGACATGAACTATGGGAGAAGTATAAAGTCATACAAGACCCTCATACTTCTTTCAGAATTCATATCTACGCGAAACAAAGTTCAAATTGTAAAAAGTCAATAAAATAAAGAGTTCATCTACCCTACTTGTTTGAAGTTGTCAAAATACTCTGTTATTTTTCTTTCAGTAGCGGTAAGTCTTCTTTGAAGGTAAGTATTGTACAACCTTTCATATCATAGTGTGTTTGAGGTAACGTATCTTGAACTATTTGTTTCACATCTTCATTTGGAGTCATTGAAATCGGTAAGTTTTCGCGATAGAACCAATTTCTGTCAGATTTGTAAATCTTAGCAAGGTCGTAAAAGCTTTTGTTGTTTCTTCTGACTAAATGCAACATAACCATATCTTTATCTTCTTCTTTCTCCAACTCTTCAGTATAAATCATATACTTATAACTCTTTTCCTTTCCTTTTGGTACCGAACGTGGTATTCTTTTCTGAATGCTTTTGTCTTTTGCTTCAAGCTTGTTTTCCATCTCTTCACGTTCTTGTCTATGAATTTCGTCAAGAAGTTTGTAAACATGCCATGAATGGCGAGCTGAAGCCCACATTGCAACAGCATTTACAAGAAGTCTATGTACATAATATCCTCTCAAACCGTTTGGCAATTTTTCACGATTTTCATAGAGTTTTGGCGAGTAAGATTTTTTACTTACTCGCTTTGCTTCGTCAATGGTTTCAGAAAAAAGTATGTCTCGCTGTGCTTCATTTAATAGTTCAATAGTGCTTTGGTTCCTAAACCAGTCTTGTGGTTTCTTATTGTCGGGTGCAAAACATGCTGTCAAAATACTTTGCATTTGGTACATATCGTCTTTGACCGAACGAATTAGACGCAATTGTTTGTTATATTGTATCCATTCATATTCTTCATTTATAGCTTCATGGACTATAACTGTTGTTGTGTTCTCTGTTGTTGACATATCTGTCTTTATATTCCGGATAAAAAATATTTTATAAAAAACTAACTTTATTTTTTTTTAAGTTTGGTCATCCTTCACGGTATGACAAATATACTATATTTTACTTAAAAATATGCAAGCGGCTCATAGCTCAGTGGTATGGGCTACCTCGTTAAAGGCGTCGAAGACCTCGGTTCAAATCCTGATTCGCGCAGGTTTTTTTCCTTTTATGCAGTGAAATTTCATGTACATAGGTTACTTTGGTGTTAGACCCTAGTGAAGAAAATAGAACGATATAAGTTTACATTTGTAAGGTTACTTTGGTGTTAGACCCTAGTGAAGAAAATAGAACGATATAAGTTTACATTTGTAAGGTTACTTTGGTGTTAGACCCTAGTGAAGAAAATAGAACGATATAAGTTTACATTTGTAAAGTTAGACGATAAAAATCTCTGCTACTGTCAGTAAAAGTACTGCTACTGTCAGTAAAAGTACTGCTACTGTCAGTAAAAGTACTGCTAATGTCAGTAAAAAGGAAAATTTGAGAGGGTTTTCGACGATAAAGTACTGCTACTGTCAGTAAAAATCTCTGCTACTGTCAGTAAAAGTACTGCTACTGTCAGTAAAAGTACTGCTACTGTCAGTAAAAGTACTGCTACTGTCAGTAAAAATACTGCTACTGTCAGTAAAAGTACTGCTAATGTCAGTAGCAATGGTCGAAGTCGAACCTACCGACGAGGCAATTTACCTAATTGAAATTAACGAGCTTGTTAAAGACTTCCTCAGGCAGAATGTAAAAGGCAAGCTTGTTAACGGTTAGAAACCGTATAGAACCTTCATTTTTTTCCTCAAAAATAATGTTTATGTTAGAATATTAGAAAATAACATTTTTTCTAACATAAACGTTTCACATGGTAAACGTTATTTTTGGAATTTTGTGAAAACTCAACGGTTTGACACATGCCCTAAAAATTATTTTACTCAGAATTTTGTTGCTGAATTCAATAAAAATAATGTTTAGGTGAAGAGGTGAGATTTCACCTGTTTTTTCACCTAATTTTTCACCTCAGTTATTTTACAAGCGTTTTACATGGTAAACGTTATTTTTGGAATTTTGTGAAAACTCAACGGTTTGACACATGCCATATGCCATTTTACTCAGAATTTTGTGCTGAATTCAGCAAAAATAATGTTTAGGTGAAGAGGTGAGATTTCACCTGTTTTCTAACCTCTTTTCTAACATGGTCCAAAACACACAAAACTCATGAATTTTCGTGAATTTCCTTAAGATAGAAAAAATATATTTTATGTTAGCATGTTAGATCTAACACGTTTTCTCACCTCTTTTCTAACATGGTCTAAAACACACAAAACTCATGAATTTTCGTGAATTTCCTTAAGATAGAAAAAATAATGTTTAGGTGAAGAGGTGAGATCTCACCCATTTTTTCACCCGTTTTCTCACCTGTTTTTTCACAAGCGTTTTACATGAATTGTACGATGTATATTTGAAATCCTAAACAGTTTTGTAGCTTCTATTTCTTCTTTTAGTACATCGAATGTTTTAACTATGCCGAAGGTTTCTTTATACTTCTTCTTGACGTCAGATAATAGGAAATCGTCAGCAGTTGGATAGTTTTTGTTCAGAAATGCTAACATGTCCATTTTATCTTCTGCTGGCTTTTCTGCTTCTTTCTTTAAGTCTGCATAGTCGTTTCTCATTCTTTTTATCTCTTTGATGGAGTAGTTATATTTCCTAATTGCTGCCTTACATTTTGAACATTGCGGGTTCATTTTTGCGTTATACATTGAAATAAAACCAGCTAAACAACTAAAGCGTCAATTGCTCTCTTCATCTCAAACATAGCGGGTCTTATTTGTTTGTTCCATACTTTTGCCTTTCTATCTTTATCTCTTATTTCCCAAACACATTCAGCAACTAACGAAACAAAGTTGTCGTAGGTCTTAAATTCTTCAGATTTATATATGTCAGAAACATTTCTTATTATACCATATCGCAATCTTTGTCCATAACCTTATGGTTGCAATGAAAACCAAGGAATTCATAATTTACCTTTCGTATGAATTTCTTAATTTCTACTGAGTCAGTTGGTTTCACTTCAATTTCGTCGAATTCAGGAATAGTGAGTTTTTGTTGTTGGATTTCAGGTAGTTTAGGCAAATGGTCAATAATGTCCTGCATTTCATAAAGATATTCTTCATTTTCTTCATCCTGTGCGGTACAGTCTAAATTACTTGTTAAAAGTTCTTGCTTTATCTTCTGGATTTCTGTTTCAAAAGTATATGAAGAAGGAATGAAGCTTTTCATTTCTACCAACATTGACGTAGGATTCATGACTAACGAGTTTGGTGCTGTTGTTTGAATTGTTGTTGTGCCGATTGTTGAAATCATATCTTTTATACAAAATAAAAATTTTTCTTAGAAAAAAATTAGCGTTATTTTTTCTATCTTAAGGAAATTCATGAAAATTCAAGAGGTTAGAAAAGTGGTTAGAAAACGTGTTAGATCTAACCATCTACCCGACATTCTCGTCAAATACAAAAAAATGAAGAATAACTTTCACTTTTTCATTATATAACTGTTATTTTTGACGAAGTGAAGATTGACACTTCGTCAAAAAAATCCCTGAAATCATATCTTACATACAAAATAAAAAAAATAAATAAAATAAAACTAACTTTATTTTTTCTATCTTAAGGAAATTCATGAAAATTCAAGAGGGTAGAAATGAGGGTGAGAAAACAGGTGAAAAAACGGGTGAAATCTCACCTCTTCACCTAAACATTATTTTTGGTGTAAATTTCATTGACTGACTGACTGACTGACGGCACAAAGTGGCTTAACGAAAACATTAATATATAAAATTCATGATTTTCGAGAGTTTTAGACCATGTTAGAAATGAGGTTAGAAAACGTGTTAGATCTAACATTCTAACATAAACATTATTTTTGCTGAATTCAGCAACAAAATGAACGAGGTCAGGATGTATGTAAATACCTTTGAATTCATTTATAACGCCCTTAGTAAGCTCATAAAATGCTTGTTTTGAGGTCGAGCCACTTTTGGCTCCACCGTATTCTTTCAACCAAAACTCAAGAATTTCCTGCGTGAATTTTGTATAAAAAGCAACCGTCTGAATTCCGGCGGTTGCTATATTCTTCACAAAATGCCTTATAATACTCTTCGTTCTACAAAGCAAGCATATCATTGGTTTGAAAACCAACAGACAAAAGAACTTTTAGAAGAATTTCCTCATATGATTGCTTCCCTCGGAAAACCGAGAGAAGAGATTCCGTATGAAAATTCAAGAGGGTGAAAAAACAGGTGAAATCTCACCTCTTCACCTAAATTATATTTTTGGTCCGGGAACAACTTTCTCTCAATTGGAGCTGTAGCATACTCTTTGCGTAAACGGTTCAGACCTTCTTCGAAGTCTTGGTCTCTCTTCGATTTGGACTGAGATTGGAATTGCTGGGGTGGAGCTTGCTGGAACAACCAAGGGTTGGGGAAGTAAGGCATAGGCTGAGGAGGGTAGTTCGGGAAGCCTTGTGGTGGGTAGTAACCTTGAGGTGGAAATTGGTAGTAATTCGGAGGTACTTGCTGGAACTGAGGTTGCTGAGGAGACTGTTGTGGTTCTTTAGGTTCCTCTGGTTTGGGAATGGACTGGGTTGGTGGGACGTGGGACATTCGTTTGTGGCTTAACCGTCGGACCACAACGATAAAAATCTCTGCTACTAGCAGTACTGCTACTGACAGTAGCAGTACTTTTACTGACAGTAGCAGTACTTTTTCTGACAGTAGCAGTACTTTTACTGACAGTAGCAGTACTTTTTCTGACAGTAGCAGTACTGCTACTGTCAGTAGCAGTACTTTATCGTCGAAAACCCTCTCAAATTTTCCTTTTTACTGACAGTAGCAGTACTTTTACTGACAGTAGCAGTACTTTTACTGACAGTAGCAGTACTGCTACTGTCAGTAGCAATGGTCGAGGTCGAACCTACCGACGAGGCAATTTACCTAATTGAAATTAACGAGCTTGTTAAAGACTTCCTCAGGCAGAATGTAAAAGGCAAGCTTGTTAACGGTTGGATAACGGGAAGGGCTGCCTTGAATCTCGAGACTTCGACCGGAATTCCAATTCAAATACCAGAAAACACTCCTTTCGACGACATAAAGCAAGCAAAGAAGGAAGCCATTATAAAGTTCTTTGCCAAGCGTCCTTGGATACTACTTCCAAACAGAGAGAACCCTTTCCCAAGAATTCCCACATTTAAATTCAAATTCGAATAAAAATTTTTTATTTCATGCAATGTTTTATTTCTGTGCCGTCTTCAAGTATGCCCCAATATTTCCTTTTCGATATTACATGAACTTCGGAAAATACCTTATCTAGCTTAAAACAGCCCATCTTTTCACCGACTAAACCCATTTCAATGAGTTTGTTGTATCCTTCTTCGTTCGTCATGAGTGCGTCAATGTTCTCATAGTAAACCTTCACTTTGGATTTGACTTCGGAGAAGAATTTGTTGTAGTTGTCAAGGACTGCTTTTGCGAACTGAGGGTAAGACCAATGTTCGACAATAGGTTTTAATGTGGTTACTAAGCCACTTTGACCTTGAGTGAATTCGTACTTCAAAACAAAAGGAGAAAACCTTTCAACAAAGTTGTCGACCTTCTCATAATGTTTACTCTTCATCTCTTGAGGTTTCTTAATGGAATATCCCCATGTCGAATTCATAAGCAATTTGAGTGTCATTGCAAGTTTGGGGTTTGAAGCTTTCCTAATATCATACAGTTGTTGTATGACTTTTCCAACTGTATAGTTCCTTCCCGGGAACTCACCATCTTCGTTTGGAATTCCAGTCGGAATGTATTGGACAAACCTCATGTATGCAGCGTTAAGGTCGACATAGTATATCTTTTCATCTGAGTCGAACTTGTCGCAACCAATTGGTCCAGTTTGTGGAAATTCAAGTGAGTCTCTTATCTTCTGAGAAACTTCTCCTGTTATCTCATAAACATCGTCGAAGCAACCTGTTTCATATAAAACCTTCTGACCTAACTCAGATGCTCTCCAATACAATTTGACGTCAATTGGATGTCTCAATGGAAGTTTGTTTATAGCATCTTGAAGTTCTTGCAACTCATTGGAAGTTCTTCTGGTTCAGGTTGGTATCCGAACAATCCAACTCCTTGTGGAATTGTGTACTTCTTTTGTACTAGAACTTTGTCTGGAACAACTTTTGGTCTTGCTAACAATGAAAAGTTTGTTTCGTCTTTTGGTACAAAAAGTTTCTGTCAGCTTGTCATCTGGAATTGGTTCCAACAAACCTTTCTCGAAAAGAATGTTTACAGCTCTGACAATGTTGCACTTGCCTTTTCCGAACAATGGGTTTGTAAGACTTTCGTTCAACATGAAGTGGTTGTGGACAATTACAATCTTCAACCATGGTAAATTGAACTCAACAACATAGTCGTCATGTGAAGAACCTTTAGCTGTAGGTATGTTGACTCGGATATTTGACATTTGCCAACGGTGCAATTTTTGCCAATTGACCTCTGAGAATGTTACCTTGTCTTCACACATGACTCAAGATACTTCATCTTCTCATCTGTAACAAGACCAGAGTTCCTGAGACATGTAAGAATACAAGGTTCATTGACAATTGTTTCAATTGAATTGTAAATTCCATACCTTTCAAGTCAATGTCAGACTTATTATGAACGGGAAGTATCCAGCATGTTTGTCTGACTGCTTGAGGGTTTAGGTTGGTACCATTCGAACTTGACACTTGCAATTCCTTCAATTGCATTCAAAATGTCTGAGTCGGAGTCAACCATTTGTTCTCTCTTTGTAGTCTTGAAAGCGTCAAGAAGTTTTGCAGCTGTTTGTTCATTGCCATGTGCATAGTAAATGTGACCATCCAAATCTGTTATGGTCAATCTGAGATTGTGTCCTTTCTTATTTCCGTCTTGTATGGCAGCAAGTACACCCATGAAGCCTTCTTTGTTCTTTCCTTCGTCAAAGTTTACTGTAAAGGTTCGACCAGAAGTAATTTGACTTCTAACTTCACGGTACTTTTCATATGCATATCTTGTTCTTTCCATGGGAGCATGACCATCCTCTGCACTACCTTTTTTCCTTCTCAAAGGATGCAATTGTTCGTCATGTTTCCAGTAGAATCTGGCAAAGCCGTCGTGTCCTTCAACTTGAGGTTCACTAACATCGAAAGGCATGTCCATAAGACGTTCTTCTTCTAACCTCTCTAGTCTGTTTGGATAATTGGCACGTGCTGTTTCCAAATCCATTTCGTAGCGAAGACCAGACAATTTGTCATAGACTTTTATGGGTCTTCCCTTCCTATATTTAAAATTCTTCGAAACTCTCCAACCATATCTTTGTAACTCTGCTTTTATTCTAGCAGACTTTCTATCCATTCTATATGGGGGCATTTTTATAAAAAATAAAAAAATATTTTTTTTCTTTACTTTACATAACCGCCTGCTGCCATAAGTCTTTGACGCCAACCCATACCAGCTAATGAAGGTTGACTTGGTTTAGTTTGGAAACTAAACTTTGGTTTTGGTTTATCTTCAGTTTTTGGTTTTTCTTCTTCTATCGGTTTTTCGTCACTTTTCGGTTCCTCTGACTTTACTTCACTTGCAGGAACAGTTGTGTCGTCAACATCTTCATAAATATCATATGCCATTTGTTTTTGTTTTCCTTTCAACTTTTTGTGTTTGTTGTAAAGTTTAGAATATTTCGACTCTAAGTCAATGAGATGTTCTATAATGAACTGTTGGTCAGTGAAGTAAACTTTTCCATCTGTTGTCTCGAAAGCTCCTTCAGACTTCAATATTTTATTTGTGAGAGTCTGTTTCTTTTTGAGATACTAGCCGTTCCATTTTTATGAAAAGTGACTTTGTAGTTAGGGTTTGTATTTCCAGATCTGGCACTTTCTATTATTGAATTTTTCTCTTCATCTGTAAGTTCTTTTGACAGTTTTGACAATGGTTCTGAACTTTTTGTTTGTGGTGTCAAATCTACCGTTTCAACTTCTTCGGTCATTTCATCTCATAAAAAATTTTAAGTTTGGTTTGTTTTCAACTGGTTGTTTAGGTTTTTTTAAGTCGGTCTAAAACTTCCTGAGGTATAGGAAGAACTTGACAAACACGTGGTGTAACTGCTGGAAGCCGACAAATCCATCTTGAACTTATTTGTCTCAATGCTGCATTGTTCATTTCATCTCAATAAAAAAACTTTACATTCCCCACGTTTGAGGCGGTTGAGGTTGGTTATTGTTTACCCACTGTTGTGCATGGTTATATCCTCTGTTAAAGAATCTTTCACCTTGGTCCATATAGTGTCCTGCTTGGTTATAGTAGTCATTTGCTTTGTTATAATAGTTTCCTGCTTGTCTTCCTACATTGTCCATCCATCCTTGAACTTTTCCTCTTGTTTCAGGATTTGGAATAAGATTTGTTGCATCTCGTGCTACATCCCAACCTTTCTGTACAGTTTGTATAATAGGTTGTGCTTTCTCTTTAAGTATACCTAATGTACTCAAAATCTTCCTTCCAATTCCAAATGCACCTCTGGCTATTGTTCCCACTGCGGGTAAAAATCTAGATGCAACTCCTGCTAATGCGCCAAATAAACCCATTTCTTATGGGTTAAAAAATGACGAATCCAAACAAGGACCCCTATGTTTCTAAGGCAACAAAGAAAGCACTCATGATAAAATCTTTAGTTCAACACCAAATGCTTGGTTTATGGATATCTTGGAAAACATTCCGAGAGTTAGAACAGATGGACCTCCATACTGGTTAATATTTGTTGGTCAAAACACAAGATACTGTGAAGCCATACCATTATGGTCCAAAAATATTTTAGATGTAAAACTGCTTTGACAATATTCGTTGACAAATACCATCCAACAAAACTGACATCTGACTGTGAAAGTTCTTTCAAATCAGATGATGTAAAAAACTATCTGCGTTCAAAAAATGTAAACCAATATTTCATTGTCGACCAAAACCATTCTGCTCTTGGTGTCATTGACGGTTGTATAAAAATGTTAAGAGACTTAAACCAACCACAAGGTGGTGAAGCAAATGAAATGTCATATGACGACAAATATAGACACTTCTCCATGGCAAAGATGAGACAAGTTTTAAATATTTACAATAACCGTAAACAAAAAGGTTTGGGAAACCACTCCCCCGAAGAAATGAAAAACAACCCTGACTTAGAGAAAGACTATATATTTAATAATTTAGTCAAAAGAGACAAACAAGAAAGAATGCCGGGCTTCAAACTTCAGAAAGGTGACAAAGTAAAAATAGAAATACCTAAACGCGACCCATATGAAAATACTATTGACTATGACAACAATGGGAACCCGACAGGTACTCACATTCGTGTTCGTAAAAATAGAAGAAAGTATACAAGAGAATATTATGAAGTTTTAGGCAAACATGGCAAAATGTACACACTGCAAGCAGAAGATAAAACTACTATTGCCAGACCTCGTTTCAAACTTGTCAAAGTTCAGGGTGGTATACTTTCAAAGACAGTTCCTAACAAATATAAGACAACTCCTGACGAATATGCTAAAGAAGTTGAAAATGACGACTAAGCAATTCTATACCATGCGTAAACTGTCATGTAAGGTGGCATGTATTCTTTACTTTGTCCCGTTGTTTGTGTATATCCTGAAACGTGATGTGTATGGTTTCCTCCTCCCTCAGTGTTACTCCAGTAACAATTTATAGCAAACTGAACGTTGTCTTTAACATCATATCCTTTACCTTTTGTCATTCCTGACCAATCCCAATATCTATGCTTATGCCAACCTGCATTAGTTGTACTTAAATCTATGTAATGACTGTGTGCAGGTAAATTTTCACCTGAAATCGTTTTACTTCCACCTGTTTCCTTTGAAGAGTTTGCACAATACAAAAACCTGTCGACTATTTGAGTCCAAGTTCCAAAACCAAGTACTACTTCTGGTCTGGTAGAGTTCATTGAAACATATAATGAGCCAACCGGGTAAATAAGTTTCGGCAAAATTTGTTTAAGCACATTGAGTTCCTGTCTTAGATGCATAATACTATTGTCATTAGATATCAAAGTATCTACAAGACTTGTTGCCGGTGGTATTGTTGGACCTTTACTTGGCAAGGTTGTGTTTAGTGTAATATCATCTGCTGTAAAAGTTGTAAAACTTGTATGTGTATGAGTCTTATCTGCTTTCTTCTCTAACTCATCGTTAACATAAGTTTTATCCGCTTTAAGGTCTAAACATCCTGAAACCCATCCTGTATCAGCTTTAGTTTTTAAAATCTTTGATGTCCATTCATGATACCATTCAACCATTTCTTTAATTTCATTATCCTTTTCATCCACATATTCCTTATCTGCCTTCTTCATTAACTTACTAGCCACATATTCCTTATCCGCTTTCTTTTCAAGGCTAACGTTTAAGTCTGTTATTTCAGATATAGAATGTGTATGTCCAACGGCACTTTTCCTGTTTAAGGTTTCTTGTAAGTTTGTAATATTTGCAATGGTATGTGTATGAGTCTTTTTAGAATATTCGTTTTCAGCTCTTGTCACTTCACTTGACATTTTATTGTCAACATATGTTTTGTCTGCTAGTTCAGGATGAGTATGTTCTTTTGTTGCATAAGCATTGTTAGCTCTTTCTTCTTCTTTTGCTATTGCATCGTCTACATATTCTTTGTCAGCTTTGTTGTCAACATCTGTTTTCAAAAGAAGTTCATTTATAGGTTTCTCGTTTAAAGTTCCTTTTGTTGGATTTATACAGACAGTATGGTTCTTATTGTCTTGAAACAGAAACTCATCTGTCATTGGGTTTAATGTCAGTTTTAAGTTTCCTTCTTTCAATGACTCAGATATCTTAGAATAGTTTGAAAAGTTTGTTGTGTTCTTATTTAGAGCTTGCATAATGAGTTGTCGGTTGTGTTGTATTTCTCTCATAGACGCTGTTTCATTTGACATTTTTATTATAGATAAAATATGCTTCCAATAGAAAAAGAAAATTCAAGAGTTGCTACAACTAAACCATTAGATGAACTTTTTACTAATGTCGGTCAAAAGTTTGAGACAGAGACCGTAAAGCATGAAGGCTATCGTTTTGACTACCCATTAAGATGGTTAAGAGACCCATCTGTCACAAAAGCTATTGGCTTTCGTAGAATGAAGTTCATTTCAGAAGCCATACATGGTTTCCCATTTACGGTCGGTTTGAAGTTCGATACTATAACAAAGAAAAACGTATGTATGAGAAATTTGAACAGGGAAAACTTTTACAAGTTAGTTTGCTTGTAAACTTAGAAACAACTCTTCAAGCTTTTCAAGAAAAATAAACAATATCTATATCGAATATGCAAACCAGTATAACATTGACGAGGAGAGTACCATCTCGATATTATTTATGACAGGAAAAATGCAACTGTTAAAATCAATAGAATAGAAGACCTTGGAGAAAACGTTTATATTTCTACAAAATATAACAACTTGGCATGGTATAGATTTATGAGATGTTAAATCAGCCTGCAGCATATCCAGTACACCCGGACTATTATGAAGTCGAAAAACCTAATGGAACATATGAAAATATTTTCGACCAAGATGCTATTATTGTTCATGCTTCATTTTCTGGCGCCCAAAACTCTTTCTTATGCTTGGCAAATGACTTTTACGAAAAACCTACAAAGTTATATGAACCACCAAGTGGAAGTATTTCAGACTTTCAAGTATGGTTTACTACAGATGGAAGAAAAAGAATAATTCCATTATACCATGCGTTTTACTTAGAACTTAGTTTCATATACAACTACTATCGAACGGTAAAAATATAATTTTTTAATACGGTTGAGGTGTTGGATTTGGTTGCCAACTAGACTGTGGTGCAGGTTCAGGCTGTTGTATAACAGGAGCTTGTTCTTCTGGTTCAGGGTCTTTAGGTATAATACCAACAACTGACCTACTCTTTTACCAATATTTTTGACTCCGTTCCAAATTCCTCTTCCGACAGATTTTATTCCATTCCATATACCTCTTCCAACTCTTCTGAAGAAGTTTCCAATACTACTGAAGAAACCCATTTTACTATATGTAAAAATCTAATGTCCGCCTAGTCTCTTACGTTTCCTGTTGAGTTCCATAGCATTCTTTAACTGGAGCTCATACATTCTGTTTCTCCTCTGGTAGAAAACATATTCTGGGTCAACTCCTGTGTTCGCGTCATCTGCATAAAGTTGTTTGTATCCCACTTCAGGGTTTGTATAAAACTCTTTCCATCTCATATTTGCATACCATGGTGGCAAACCTAACGCAGCGTCATTTGACATGGCAGTTTGCATTTGTACATCTGTTGGCACTTGACCATAGTTTGCCATTGCAGTTTGTATTCTAACTTCATTTGGAATATTCTCTGGGTTTGGTTGTCCAGGTTGCTGTGCATTCGCTAAGTTCTGTGCGTCCATTTAATATTAGATAAAAATATCTCTTACGAGTACATATACTGAACATTTGCAGGCATTGGTTCATCTTCATATTCTCTGTACTTTTCTGCCACGTCAAATAAATAAATGACACAATGGAAAAAACCTAAAACAAGTAGTCCTATTTCAAACCACATTTACTTACTAATAAAATTTCTTTGTTATGACACTTTCTCCAGTTTATAGGACCTCTCTCATATTCTATCTTGTCATATCTAAACTCATAGTCATGTATGTCCTCTAACCATCTCATAACGGTTTCCAAACCACTTTTATCGGATGTAAAGTAAAAGCATGGATGGTTATGTATAACGTCTAAAGTTTCTAAAGAGTCTCTCAAAGTCCAGTCTACTTGGTATTGAAAATCCCATGTGTTAAAGAACGGCGGGTCCACTATAAAGAAAACATTTTCCTTGTCTTTATATTTTTCATACAACTCTGTCCAATGACATCTCACAAACTCTATACCCTCAATATATTTTTCTATGTCCTCTTTGAAAACATTTGTATAGTTAAGATATAAAACTTTTGACATAAGTGTTTCAATGTCATGAACTCTTATAGTACCACTATATAATAGTCTAGCAGATATACTATCCCAGTCTATATATTCTGCTTTTTTCAAAACCTCTCTCACAATATTTTTCTTATCTAATGGTATACGTTCCATCTTACCTATAGGTATCTTTTCTTTTAACTCTTTCAATATATTGTTTGTGTCTGGAATATGTTTGAGACGGTCCATATAGTTGTCGAAGTCATTGCATATAATCTTTGAGTCTGGGAATATTGTATGGCACAAATGGGATATATAGAAACTTCCACCGAACAAATCTACAAATGTTAGACCATTCGGTAGTTTCTTAAGTTCTCTCAATATAATATCTTTACATCTACTCTTATTTCCAAAGAATGGTAACGGTGGTTTTGTAAAATTCATTTATATATAATAATAAAAATGTTTTTACCCGAAAAGTGACAGAAAAGTGACAAAACATGAAAACATATATAATTTGTGAAAAGCGACACAAAAAGTGATATTTTAAAAAGTGACACTATTAATATGATGTAAATAACAACGGTTTTGGTTTTGTCACCGGCTGGTCGGCTGGGGTTCGGTCCTCCTCTTGGGTCTTGGGCAAAATTTCTTATGGGCTAGAGGGCGCAACGCGCCTGGAAGCCCCACTTACCTGACCTTATTGAGTGTTTCTTTACTACTATATTTAGAATATCTAAATTTCTGATAGAAAGTTCAGGATTAAGGATGTTTTTTGAATGATTTTGAATAACCAAACGAATAAGTTATTATCCTTCAAAAGTTCAAGATAAATTAAATTAAAGTTTGAAAAGACCGTATATAATATAAATATGCGAAACAATAAGCTGGATAGTTTGATTTATTTGGAAATTTAATCAGAACATGAAAAGCCTGTTTTGATCTAAAAAGTATTTAACAAGCAAAAAATGACTTTTCCATACTTATGAAACTATAGTCGAATATGAATTATAATAAAAACTCATGCAAGAGCAGCAAAAAGTTCTTTCTGCTTCTCTGGCTTTTCTGCTTGGATTTCTTCGGCGGCTTCTTGAGGCGATTCTTCCCCATGCATTTCCTTCCACATTTTTTCAAATTCTTCTTCTGCTTCTTGATCTTGATCGGGTGTAAGGCTCTGACCAAGAAGTTCTGTAACTTCGTTAACCTTTTCTGTTTGTTCAGCATTTTCTTCCATCAGATTTTCAACCATTTCCACAGTAAGCTTTTCGTTCATTTCTTTTAATACTGAGTTGGTTTGTTGCATATTCTCGGCAAATTCACGAGTTATACGAGCTTGTTCTAGATTGTTAAGCTGTTCTTGAAGATTTGTAAGCATTCCATCAGTTTTTTGTATTAAAACTTCACGTGCTTTCTTCGCTTTCAAAACTAATTTGGCACGCTCAAGTTTACCTTCTTTGGCAAGCTTTTTGGCAAGTTCTGTTTGTTTGAGATTATCTTCTTCAAGACGGGATTGATATTTTTTAACACGGTCTCTATTAACCTTTAAATTTAGAACAGCTTTATCATATTCTTCATCTGCATTTTGATTAGCATGGGCAGAACTGAAACAACCCATTTTGAGGTGACACTTTTTTGACCGAAATCTTCATCTGAAATATTCGATTTATGAAGAAAATAATGATGTTATGGAATTTAGGAGAGCAATGGAATGCCAAATAGTACAACATGAACGATTTTGTCAGTTTCGGATGGTTGTGAGAACTGACGGGCTCATATTGGGTTTTGAGGGATTTTTGTAAAGTGAAGGTTATTATCCTTAGTATTTATATATATTAAAGTTTGTCAATGGAGAGTGATTCGATAATGTAAATATGACATATTAGTAGTAGGATAGGATGGGTTTTGTGACTTTTTTTGTAAACGTAAGAATTCATACAATATCGAGCGATTTTGTATCATTTTTTTTAACATATGAAGTAAAAAATGTATGATTCTTACGGTTTTTATTCTTACGTTTTTGAATAAATCAAGATTTAAAAAATTTTCAAAATTGTAAGACATTTACACTCAGCCCATACATAATGAAATAAAAAATAAAATTTTTTTAAAAAATAAATCATTAAAAAATTAACATTAATTTTAAAATAATTTATTTTTTTATTCTTACATAAATGACCCAACAAGTAAAACCAGATAAAATAGATTATCGAATTTTAGAGGATGGTGTTCCTGTTTATATTCAAAGATTTAAAGGGAAGCAATGTTATAGAATTGTTAATCCTGAATACATAAAACATTTATTTAAAAAGGAAGACTGTGAATTATTAAATGTTAATGAATATGAAACCAATAAATCAAAATTGAAATATAAATATATTGGAAGTGATGAAAGATGCAAAGATAAAGATAAAGTTTATTCAGTTTCATATAATGAATTATTGCTTTTGCATTTGATGGTAAATTAATCGAAAATTCAAAAATTTGGGAATTAATTCCGGATATTGAATTTATAACAAATATTAAGGATAAATGGTTTAAACAACAAAACCACCTCACTAAAGTTCTTTGTAGATTAATGATTAAAACTGAGGAAAAAGAATTTCACGAGTTTCAATATCATCCATGTAAAATTTTAGAACTTGGTAACGAAAAACTTCAGAAAAAATTAAACGAAAGACTATCAAAAGATAAAGTTGAAAGAGTAAATAAACTCGCTAAAGGTAATGGTAATGATGAAGAAGAATTTGATGAGTTCAACATAGAACTTTAAGAAACTAATGATTATTTGAATTTATGAAATCAATTATTTGATTCATTCTTTCTTCAATCTCTTCTATTCTTTTTGTTAAATCATCAATTTTCATTAATGAGGTGATTCTTGATTGAGGAATAGATTTCAAACTAACCACTCCTTTTATTTTTGAAATTTTGAATCCATCAACTTTAAACATTTTATTCAATTTACATGTTGTCAATTCTTCAAATAATTTTTTATTATTGGCATAATAGTCATTAAATTCTTCAACAGATGAAAAAATTTTTATTTCAGTAATTGGTTTAACAACGTTTATTTTTTGTTGAACATTTTCACTTTCATTTATTTCTTCCTCCTCTGTTTCATTTATTTTTAAAATTGGTTTCATTTATCATTAAATAAAAATTAGAATATAAGTGATGAAATATATTTTTTAATTAATATTAAATCAGAAATGGCTGCAGGATTCTTTAAAAAATTATGGGAAGGAATTAAGAAAGCTGCGGGTTGGGTTCATAAAAATATTATTAAACCCGTTGCAAACTTTTTGGCACCAGTAGCGAAAACGGCAGGAACTATCATAGGTGGAGTATTAGGTACTAAAGCAGGTAATCCGGCGATGGGAGCACAAGCAGGTAACGCAGTTGGTGGAATTGCTGAAGGAATACTTAATAAAATAGGAGGTAGATAGTGGAAAAATAAATAAATATTATTTTTATCTTAGTATCGGTTGTAGTCTTTGATAAACTTTTTCTCCTTTATTTAAAATTTCTCTTATTGGGGCAGCTTTTGGCGTTATTGATTCAGCAACGTCACTAATTGCTCCTTTATTCTTAAATATCCAATTTGCCCCCTTCTTCAATGTTTCCCAAACTTTACTCGCCCCTCTTTTTACTCTATCCCACAGTTTCTTAAATATACCTGCAGCCATAGTTGATTATTTCATTAAAATTAAAAATTCATTTCCATCTTTTAATTTTGATTTTTTATTTATTAATAAATGACGACTAACTATTTAGTGCCAAACACCAAACCGATTAATGGAAATGTGTTTCATTCATTCGAAAAGATAAATGAAATATTCGCAAAGAATGACGGTAGAAGATATTATAGAGAACTTGAAAGTTCATGCTATGACTCTGATGCTCCATATTTTGATGATAAACAAACTCATTTAAGAATTACAAACCCAGCTCATGATGTGAACCAATTAGGTGACACATATATTAAACGCAAAGTTAAAGCAACTCTAGTTTCAAATAAAGCTTTCACATGTGATGCCGCTTTTAAATGCATGCGTTTATTCGTTGGTTACAAATCATCAAATCAAAGCTTTAAACAATTAGAAGTAGAAACCGAAAGAGGTGATGCCGGTTATCTTCAGATGGATTGCGCCCGTGAATCTTTCGCATTTGCAACATATAAACCAAAATCAGAAAGGAAAGTTAAAAAGTTTGTTCATTCGTTATATAATAATGTTCAAAAATATGATAACTCAGTATGTGGTAAATATATTGACCCTTCAGAAGTTTTCAAGAGAGCAAATGAAGAAGTTGATGTCACTTTTGATATGATTATTCCGGTAAATTCTTTAAACAAGGGACAAACAAAAGGGGTGCATATAATAGAACTATGAAAGTTCCTGATGGAATGAAAGAATTAGTTCATATTGTTGCTGGTCTTCAAAAAGATGTTAAACAAATGAGAAACGTTTTAACATTACCAGAAGCTCAAGCATATGCCAAACGTCATGGTCAAAATTGGGAAGCACACGAAGCAGACATTACGGGTCCAAATGGAAAACCCGATGGTATAAATGAAGTTTTCGTTACTGATGGTCAAGGTAATATTAAAGTCATAAATGGTTACAAATTAACTATATCTGATTATCCTAAACGTAAAGCATATAATGAACGTTATCCTATGCAATTTGATGAAAATGGAAAAGCTGTTAAACAATACATTGGAGAAGGTGAAAATGGTCCAATTAATTCATACCGTCCTAATCCATATTCTTATTTCAATGAAGAATTAAATGCTATTGAAGAGGGACCGGATGGATTACCACGATATTCTAACCAGTTTGATGGTCAATATGCAAATATTAGACCTGAAATTTCAGCTAAGAAATTCTTTAAAGTTGCTTTATTCGATCCAGTTTTCGCAAATGTTAAAGATGAACTTAAACAGCAATTCCAACCAATTATAGTAGCAAGAATTGCATCAGGTGCTTTATCTCAAGCATTCAAAGATTTAATTAAGAAACCATTATATCAGCAACGAGGTTTAACTTATGATTTAGTTAAGGAATCAGATAAAAGAAAATTTGAGAAATCAGATGATTATAAGAATGCAATTAATGAATATATTCGGTCCATTAATTACGATGAAACAGCTAAAAATCAACTTCATGAACAAATACAGGGAATAATAGATTTAAAAGTTCCAGCAAAATAAAAGTTTAAATATATTTTTTTATTCGAATATAAATGAGAAGACGTTTCACTAGTCAAAAGAACACTAACGCAAAAGCAGAGATTACGGTTGGTTATAACGTAAATGATGATAAATCACGAATTATTCAAAATGTTAAAGTTAATGTTAGCCCCGAATTAACAAGGTCAGCAACTCAACCAAATTTATTAACTCGTGACTTACCGAAGAATGAGGAGAATGAAGAAAACCATGAGAATGGAGACCCAATCATTTTATCTGAACCCGGTAAAGAACCTGTTGAAATTCCCACTTATCCAACATACCCCCACCTCTTTCATCAAACATCGAGAACCCATATAAAATAGACATTAATTCTGAATTAATGAAAATTTACCGTGATATAATAATTAATAATTATGATTCAATAATAAATTTAATTGACCAATCCGGTTTAATTATTTTACCTTATGAATCATTAATTCACATTATCGCCATTCTTTGTGATGTTCAAGATTCAGACGTTAAGATTCAATTTTTCATAGATGATGAGGTTTCATGCTGCGGAACAGTTGCAAAAATAAATCCTATAAAGGATATTAGCACAATTAAGATATCAAAGAACGGAACAACAACTGAACTTCATTTAACATATAATGATATTTATAATAAAATAGTTGATGAATATAAAATATCACTTGAAAAATTCTTTGTTAAGGCTATTTAATATTCAAGCATTAACATTATCGAATAATAATCCTTTGAATCATAATCAATAATAATTGACCTTTCACCAGTTTCTATCGTTTGTTTTATTTCTTTTTGTTCCCCACTATCCGGATCGGTCATTGTAATTGTTTTTGTTATAGTATCAGCTTTATCTTTAACTTCAATCTTTTTTCCATCGGGATATTTAAACCAAAATTCCAAAAATTCGATATTGTCAATCTGTTCATATTTTAATCTATCAATTACATTTTTAATACCATCTGAAAATCTTATGAAATGGTCATTATATGGGTTTGATTGAACTAAATTTGAATGAAGTGAAATATAACCTGTTGATGAATATGACACTGACTCATATTTTCTGAAAACACTAAAATTTATAACATGAATGAATTTCTTATTCGTTGAATTTATGAATTCTTGAGGTAATCTTATTCTAGTTTTATTTATCACTGAAAATAACGCTTTACCATATTTTTAATCGTAATAAAAAATGTCAATTATCAATATTATTTCGAATAATAACTGTGAATTAAATTTAACAGTTAGCGGAATTTATAATGTTACTCTCGTTTCTGTGAGTGGTAAATTTAATCCCATTCTTTTAGACCCTTCAGATTATATATCATTTATTAAAGATGACCATGAAAAAACGTATGATATGTATATAAATAAAGTGATAGCGAAATGGGATATTAACACGATTTTAAGTTATTTAAATGAATCATTTATCGTATGGTATGAAGAAAATTTTAAATCAAAACCTGATAAACTTTTTGAACTTGATGAAATAAATAACCTTATTAAATTCCCGCTGAAAATTAAATTTTGTACTCCTCATCTTCGTTCATTGTTGGGGATATTAAATTTTGAAAAAGATGTTGGGGATGTTTTGTATTCTGACACTGGTTCCAATTTCATTTTAATCAAATGTGATAAAGTTAATACCCCAATGAGATTTTCACATCAAACATTAGACCCTAACTCTTACCCATCAATACAAAACATTTTATCCATCAACTTAAACACATTTTCTTTATCATATCTGTTTCAATTATCCGGGAATTCATTTATTCTTCATTCAAAAGATTTATCAAATATTAAATTTAGAATAACTGACCTATTTGATTGTGATTTAGAATTTATGAATGAAATATTATGGCAATTTCAAATAGAAAAAATAGCTGATGAGATAACGGATTAAATATTTATTTTTAAATCGTAATAAATGATTAAACAACAGCAACTTAAGGCGCAAAGCACCCAGGTCCTTCAGACCATTACATACGCCACATATGCATATAATTCAAAGACGGCAGAACAAACGCAAAGGTTGAAATATGGAGATTTGGAGATAGTATTGAAAAATGACCATTTCGAATTCGTTTGCAAAGGTGGTGCAATGATATCAAATATAAAAGAAATTTTATTTATGAATTCAAAAATTAAAGGAATAACGGATGATATAACATCAATTCCACCAGAAGAACAGAGATATTACGCATTAAATGCATTTCCTAAAGTTTTGAAGATTGGAAGATTTAATTTAAATGAGGAATTCATAGAAGGTTTCCTAAACGACATAATGAAGAAAGCAGATAAGGAATATGTGGATAGTGAGTTAAATAAGAAGGCAAATTTGGTTTATGTTGATGAAAAAGATAATGAAATTAAAGAAAAGGTTGAATGGTATCATGAATGGACATTTGAGACTTTTAAAGTTAAAGCTGATACAGGATGGGTTTCAGGATGTTTAGACCTTAAAGCAGATAAAACATATGTTAACGATGAGTTAGAGAAGAAAGCAGATAAGGAATGGACATTTGAGACTTTTAAAGTTAAAGCTGATACAGGATGGGTTTCAGGATGTTTAGACCTTAAAGCAGATAAAACATATGTTAACGATGAGTTAGAGAAGAAGGCGGATAAGGAAAAAGTTATTTCATTCATTAATACTGAGTTAGCAAAGAAAGCTGATATATCATTTGTTAATGAAGAAATAAAACAATCAGAGGTCTATTTTACTCCACCATTTTTAAATTTTATGAAATCATCAGATAAAACCTTTGATATAGATTCTTTTGAATGGATATGTTTCGATGGAGTGACCATGTATTTATTTTATACAGCTGGAGTGCTTTATTATTTTAAAACAAATGATTTTAAAAACTATGAATCATTTACTCCATCTGTTTTGAATCCTGATACACGAAAGCCAATCATTAATCCAAGAATTTTATATGTTGAATATAATAATGGTAAATTTATGGGAATGATAACGGTTGGAGATGATTTTTACCCTTGTTATTCATTCGATTGTATCCAATGGTTCAAATGTAATTTAAATCAAGATGCTAAATTTAAATATCCAAATAATCCTATTAGATGCGTTAATAATAAATGGGTACTAATTTATGAAGTCAATCAAATTTTCATTAGTGAGGATGGAATAAATTATTATATGTTTAGTATGATGTCATCAGATTTGGAAATTGATTATACAAGTAAGTGGTATTACATTAACAACATGTATTTTATCCTACAAAATGATAAAATTTATAGATCATCTTCAATACCACAAGGTCAATTTGAACAAATTTTTCAAGCTGATGGAGACATTGAAGCTTTATGTTATGGATCAAATGTTTGTGTTCTCGTTTCAGGTGAAATGGTCTATTCATATCCTGTAAGTTATAACAGACATATTTATTTATCACAAGATTTTTCACAGGATCCAGAGAAAACACCAAATTGGGAATTGGTTTATTCATTCACTCCAAAACTTACTCGAAATTATAGATTTACTAATTTATTTTATATTGATGGGTATTTCATTGCTTTAGGATGTGGTGATTTAGTAAACATCAGTAGTGATGGAAGAAACTGGTCTGAAATCACAAAATTTCAAGATGTTAGAAAAGCAATTTTCAAAAATAATACGTTAATATTGATAACAAGACCAGTTTTAATTTCTTACCCAAATTCAATATTATATAATAAATTCAATATTCATAATGGATTAAATACAATTCTTGAGATGATTTACCCCATTGGTTCTTTATATACGTCAATGAACTCAACAAATCCAGAAACGGTTTTAGGTTTTGGTACGTGGGAACAGATTGTAGACAAATTCTTATACTGTGCTAACTCTTCAAAGCAAACAGGGGGTTCGAAGAAAATTAAAGAAGCAAACCTTCCACCGCACACTCATACGGGAACTACAAACACAACAGGTAATCATTCACATTCAATAACAAAAAGAGGTTATAGAAATCTTGCAGCAGGTTCGGATAGACAGGGAATGGATAGATATGATATTTCAAGCGACCCAGTAGATTCAAGCGCAGGTATTTTCTGTGGAACCACAGGAAATCATTCACACACTTTCACAACAAATCCAACAGGCTCGGGTGAAGATTATATGCCACCATTTATGACTGTATTCGCATGGTATAGAGTTCAATGAACGCTCAATGTTTGTGAAACAAACTTTAGAACGGCATAATTTAAATTTTTATTTTAGTATAAATGAAGATTCTACCATATGGTGTTATTGGAAGAGATAAAGATGGAAACCCAATATTTGATCCAAAGTTAAAATTAAAGTTACTGACAAGATAACAACTTGAAAAGTTACTGAAACCAAAACAGGATGAGAAAATGAGAAAATGAGAAAGAAAAAAATTTGGATTGAGTTAAAAAATTCATCTTTATTAAATTCATCTCTTCCAATCAATTTATTTATTCTATTAAATTCTTTTATTTTTGCTTCACTCAGTTTAAGGATTGAACGGTAAGTTTCTAATTTTTCGATTATTTCTTTCCTCTCTTTATCGTTTTCAGCCCCACCGCATTGCGGCTTCTTTTTGTAATAGCATATTTTTGATTTAATTCTGTTTAGTTTCTTTTTATATTCATCGTCTGGACTCTGAATCTTAATTGAATCAGGACTCTTGGATGCTTTGTTGTCACTCATTTCTTACGAAATAAAAAAATTAAATATTATTTAAATATAATGGAGTAATAAAATAAATCGGAATTTCTATTAATTTATTGTCAACTTCAACTAATACATTACCGTTAATATAGGGTGTCCAAAGGTGCGTTTAGCACAGCGCTCTATATGAGACTATTAAAGAAGATATATGCTGATTATAAATATATAATAAAAAATATGAATATATGTATATGATGAGTATGTTGTATTTTGGCGCCATGCCGGGATATAAAATGAATTTTGAGACAAGAGGTGGTTTCGCGGGAAATTTTGGCGGGATTTTTTCATTTTTTTTTAATGAATCATAAAGAAAACATCCTCGCTCTTGCAAAAAAATGCAAAGACTGTAAAAAAATCTACGAGACATTGGTAAAATGCTTCGGTATGGATGTTCCTAGCTATTCCACTGTAACGTATCATGTTAGGATGTATCACTTCATGAACAAAAAGGCGCCCATCATAAAAATTGACAAAAAATCGCCGGATCAAAGAAAAATCAAAGCAATTCTTCAAGTGCTAGATGAAGACCCAAGAGCATCACTCAGAAGGATAGAGGAGATGACAAAGATACCACGTACAACAGTCAGTTATTATATGCACAATTATTTGAACTACAAACTAGCGTATACACGTTGGGTTCCGCACAACCTTAATTCAGTTCAAAAAAAATCTAGAGTCCAATCTTCGAAAGAGCTCCTCTCTATATTGGGTGTGTATCAATCCAAGAAGTTTCGCTTTTTAGTAACAGGGGACGAGTCTTGGTTTCAATATGCAACAGAAGCCAAAATCATGTGGATCCCGAAGGATGAAAATCTGCAAACATTCCCGAAGAAAAAAATTGACACACCAATGATGATGTTGTCGGTTTTTTGGGGCGTGAATGGCATCATCGCAATTGATATTCTTCAAAAACCTAATACGATGAATGTTCAGTATCTAATTGACAATGTTCTTACTCAAATTATCAATTCTGATGAGTTTGAGAAATCCAAACAACAAAAACAAAAGTTTGCAATTCATTTTGATAATTCAAGAGTTCACAAAAGTCATAAGGTAATGAATTACTTGGTGGAAAACAATGTCAAAGTTGTTCCAAACCCAATTTATTCACCTGATATTGCACCCTCTGACTTTTATTTATTCGGCACGCTAAAAAAGAGAGCTGAAGGACGCGAATTCGCGAGTCCAGATGATCTTGAAAATTTTGTAAGAGAGCAATTTGAGCAATTTTCTCATGATGATTTAAAGCGTGTCTTTCAAGCCTGGATCGATCGCTGCGAACGCGTGATTGAATCCAATGGTGATAATATTTAAATAAACTTTATATATATGTAACTTGTTTATTTCTATTCGCAGTATTCAGGTTTGTGCTAAACACACCTTTGGACACCCTATATATCTAACAAATTCAGCTATTGTGTCAAATCTTCGTCTTCTTTTTGTCATTGATTTATCAGTTTTTCCATAATCGAGATGAATCAAAACTTTATCCCCTTGTTTAAAATTCATGAGCCTCGAATTAATTTGTTCACGTTTAACATCATTTAACCTTTCCATTTGCTTTCTAATATATTCCCATTCTTTTGAAATATCATTTTTCATTTCCACTGGTTTCATGTTTATAGTTCTATGCCATGTATTATTGTAATAATATACTAACTGCTGTATGATGGAGTCATGATTTCCATCCCAGTATATCTGACCGTTAACCCCTAACGCATCTCTAAGAGTTCTCATTACCGCATCAACTATTTTATTATGAAACGTATATGGAGAGGATGAAAAGTAAAAATTAATTTGTGGGAAATAATGAGCCATAGCTGCCTGAAATCCTTTATCACCATCACCCCTTATATTATCTACTCTTTCATGATCTAGTAAGTATTGTATAGCTCTTCTTGTTTCCTGTTCTGTTTTCCCTTTCACCGGAATGCAATATAAATATCTGGTGTTAATGTTAATGGCAAATAAATAAGTAACGTTTCCTTTTGAATATTCTAAATGATCGATTTTGTATGAATATGGATATGGTGCAAATGAAGGGCGACTAAATTTTTCCTTTAACGGTTGAATTTTCGGGTCAGTTGGTTTATTTAATATTTTGAAATCCTTTTTAAAATCTTTTTGCTTCTTTAATGTTTGAAATGGATATAATAAAGTGAATGATGAAGGATTAACTGAAGGAGGAGGTACTACCGTTGGAGGTTTTGGTATTGCAAGTGATTTAATTTTATCTGCTTTGATTTTGGATGATGAAGTTTTGGATTTCATTCCTCCTTTCATTAATTCTGGATGTATTCTATTCATTTGTTTTAAATATGCTGTATATAAAGGTTTGATATACTTTCCCGCTTCGAGTTTATGTTGAAGGATGAATTCCAAAAGTTGATCTTCATTTAAAAGTCGGGCTGAATATGGTTTAACTAATGAATCATAAATTAAAGCTTGTGCATCATTTATGGTCTGAAGGACCTGGGCGTTTTGCACCTTTAGCTGTTGAACATTTGCTACTTTCTCTTTTGGTGTTGTTTTCGGCTTTTTCTTCTTTGGCTTTTGCGGCTCAGGATTATATAATTTATATAATTCATCAATATCTTCTTCTGTTAATACTTTATTTTTGAAATCTTTCAATTGTTTAAGTTGTGATTTAGTTTTCCCTTTGTATATTCATTATTTTTAATTTTGTCTTTAATTTTAGAAATTATTTTATCATGATATTTCAAAATTTCATTTTTATAATATGGATAATAATAATCCATATCATCACCCGTATATATTGTTATTATGTTTTTGGAGATATGCTTTTAAATCGTAATAATCAAGAAAATTTTGATTAAATACTAAATCATCAATTAAAATTTCTAAATCTACATTATCCATTTATATAAAAATAAAATAAATGTTTTAAGGGTGCCCACCTCTTTGAATCATAGTATCAAAACCATTATTTACATATTGAATCACATTATTAACGGTTCCTTTTGTCTCTTCTGTAGCATTTTATTAAAAATAAAATTTTAAATTCATGACTCAACCCCTACGTTTTTAAATTGTATTAAATAAATGGCATACAACATCCATTTTCACAACATACAGCCTTAGTGTGTGCTCCTGTTAATGCAGTCTTACCGATTGTTAAGCGAGTCATTGACCCGTTTTTAAGTTGTAAATTAATATTCTGACCATCAAATATCACTTTATCATTTATTATATCCAAATAATTTTTAGGTGTTAATTGTTTATTTTGTCGTAAACTAACACCTTTCATTTTTTGTGCAATCTTTTTAAAATCACTTCCATCAATTGAACCGTTGAATGATGTATAACACTTAGGACATAAAGCAACCATGTTATCACCTTGTTTCTCAATTGCTAAACCCAATAACTTCTTCTCATGTGCTTTTTCTTCAGTTTTATTCTTTAATTTAGGTTTAAATTTCTCATCAAAACAGAAGAAATCAAAAGGTGCGAATTTGAAAATGTTTTTATCATAAAATTGTTTATCGGTAACAATTGCTTGAAATGCTTGAGTGTTAGGAAGATTTGGATCGCCAGCGATTGCCCAATAAGATGAATCAGTATCACCTTCAATGAAATGAAAACGATTAACATTCATGCATTTATACATAAAATCATAAATGAAAACCAAATACCAGTATTTAGCATTATCTAAAGTGAAGAATGCCTCTTGTAAACATGTATCACATCTATAAAATCTATCTTTGAGCATCACTTGATACGTATCCTCTCCTATTTCTCTTATGTTTTTAAACTTATTTGACATACATGCAACGCGTGCCTTCTGTGCATTCATTATTTTAGTCTTTGCGTAATTTTGTGTATTCATTGCATCGTAACCATATGATCCATTAAGCGAAATCTTGCAAAATAAACTTTTTCCTTTATTTCCTTCTAATTCAGCCTTTTGTCTTTCGTTCATAAATTCGTTCGCAAATTCATTAAAACAAGTGTTTTTAGTAAATGTTAAAATTGATTGAATATCATCGATGATAAAATGAAATCTGTCTATTAGATACCAAAGATAATAAGAAGAAAATGGTTGATATTGGTTGTGTGTTGATGCTAACTGAGTTAATTTCCTCTGTTTCTGGTCAACTGGTAGATTGTTTGATTTCATGTAATTATACATAAAACTGCCAATTGTTTTTTCATCTGTGATAATATCTAAGCTTCTTATTATCGGTAAAAAGTTTATGTAATCATTAATGTATTTTTCATCAATGTGACCCTTTACTTCAGCCACGAATAAAGTATTTTTCTTTCTAATAATTCCCAGTGCTTTTGCTTTCTTTGTTGCTGTATCACAAATGATAACACCATTCAATCTTCCCGGCATATACATTTTATGGTCAGTATATTGAATGAAATCATGAGGATTAGATGAAAATGATGAAGGATATAATGAATTAAAATCAACACCAACGAAATGAGTCATAATGTTGGTGGTGTCCTCATTTGATACAGTTTTAGTTTCTGGACTATATGAAAGTTTATTAATGTGCGTGATTCCTTTAAGATTTACTCTATGTTGAACATTTGATAAACCACCAGTAATTCCATTACGGAGAATGTGATAAGCTTCAACTGAATCTAAAGTCATTGGTAAATTATTTTTTAATGCATAATTTCTTAAATTGATTCTTAAACGTTGAACATCTTCATCTTTATTTGATTTTACGACATTGCAATAACAACACATTAACTGACAATTTTCTTTGGTATGTGGTTTTTCATTATCGATTCTATCCAATGTTGGTTTATTTGCATATGTAAACGCTTTACCACACATTTTGCATTTAGATGAAAGGATTAAATCGTGATAGTATTGAAAATCATCCATTGAAACATTATTTTTAGTATCTCTTTCTGCTTTTTCATCTTGTTTCTTATATGATTCAATTTTATATTTCCAATACTTTTTCGTTAATTCAAAACTTGATTCTATCTCTTCCTCAGGATATTTTTCATTAGGATTAAAGTCTTTATATGCTAAAGCGTAACGAATCATTGAAGCATTCGATGATAAAGAAAGATTATGAAGCGTGTCAATTTTATAAACAAATGTTTCTTCAATAATTTTATCGATTGGGTCAATCATAATTTCAACATCTTTATTGCAATAATGAATAAAATATTCTAATCTATTCTTAAAATTTTTAGCATCATTGAGATATATTTGATAATCACTATCTGATATAGTTTCTTGAGTTAATGCTGAATAAAATGAATCTTGAGTGAATGGTTCCACTTTATATAATTCTTCTTCGTAATTCTCCCACGTGATGAATTGATAAGGGAAAAAGGATTTAACACGTGATTTATTGTTTCCGAAATCTTGAGTGAATTGGTCTAATGTCCCACCCGCTATATAATTTCTGATGTCAATAAATCTCAATTCATATGGAACGTTTGTTTTCTTTACAATGATTTGCTTAAATTGTGAAGATGAACCCAGCATTGATTTTATTTTCCATTTTGCAGTGTTTAAATCACGAAGAATTAAATTTAAATCAAACTTTCCCGAATTAAAACCTATGATATTCACTTTATTGAATTCCTCATCTAGAAGTTCTTTCAATGCTTCCTTCTGTTTTTCATTTAATGTATGAGACAAAGTCCCCACCGTTTGCGGCTTCAATAATTCTTCATATTGTTCAATATTTGATTTAGCAACTAATGAACAGGTTGAAAATAAAAACTCAATCCAATCAGAAATAAAAGAATCACTCGAAGTTAAGCAAAAATTCCTCGTATATGTTTTATCATTTAATTTAACCGTTGATGACACCATGAATGGTTTTAAGTAAGCATTCAAAGTTGCACACTCAGAAAGTTGTAATTCTTCTTTAGTCTCTAATGTTTCAAAGTCAAAAGTAATATAATATCTTGTCGGTTTATAATATTTCTGCAAATTGTGAGCTAATAACCACTGATATATCTTCTGTTTCGTAATATGTGGTGCATATGGTTGCTGTGTCTTTTGCAATTGAACGTCTTGAATTAATCTCCCATTATTTTCTTTACATTTCTCACAATGCTTTAAAAATCTTCTTTGGTTTTTCCTTTCTGGATCATCGCGGATAGAATAAACTTCTTCTTTACAATATGGACAAACTTTATAGCCGGTGAGTGCTTCAACGTCTGTTATTCTGTCAGCGTGAAGTTTTCCACATGGACTCTGTGTTAATAAAATATTTACTGTTTCAAATTCTGGATCTATCATTATTGATTCCACTAATGGAAAGTCTACCTTATTTATGTCCACGTCTTCTGGTTGAGGATCACAATAATAGAAATCAATATTAACATTTAACATTCTCGCTAATCTCTCACTTTCTGATGAAATGTCAAACCCTTCATATGCATCTATTGTTTCATTTAAATAGCTCCTACGAGTTTTAGGATTAGCACCATCAGGAATGTTATAGAAGCGTTTAAATAACCTTCTACCTTCTGCTCTAATTTGATTATCATTCATTTTAGCTGTTCCGTTTTTGTTCATTTATGTAAGAATAAAAAATTAAAAAATAAATAAAAATAAACTTTATTTTTTAAAGCCCATAAAATGAATTAAGAACACATAAATTTTTATCATCCGCGACGTGACGAATACATTTTAATTTACTCAAGAATGCGTACCCTGATACATTAAATCTAATTCCTGTCTTATTTAATTTCACAACTTTGAAAAGGAATGTATGAATAGCTATAAAATGATGAGAAGATGTTTTATGGGTTGCTTCCATTTTTTCTGAAATAAATGAATAAATATAATGCTTATAAGTTTTCATATCTTTTATGTTCTTAATAACGAATGGTATAGACCTTTCAACTTCGTCTTCCTTCGGTGCTGTTCTTTCATATGAAACATTATAGAATATATCTTCAGAGAATCATCCATGAAGAATTCGGATAATCTTATCTAATCTTACTTGTTTGTGTAAATTATAGAATATTGTATTAGATTTTCAAAACTTCATTTTTTTTCAGTTTTTTGTTAGTTATTTCTATGAGATAATGTAATAAGCGTAAGCATGATTACTGATCTACAAATTAATATTTTGGATAAAATTTTTTGCTTTAAAATAAATTGCATCTGTAAGAACTCATTTCATGGAACTGATAGTAGTTCTCAATTTTCTCAGTATTTTTATTAGCAAGCTACAAATTTCAAAGTAATTTCTGTTCAAATAATTTCAATTTTTCTATTATTGATACCCTCTGAGTTAAAAACTCGAATTGGTAATTGATTCATTCATTTTTAATTTTAAAATAAAAAATTGAATGGATCTGTAGTATTTCACATAAAATTAATAATTTTACTCCAAATCAAAATCGTGGATGCACGACCACCTATTAAATTCAATTGATTGAAAGAAAAACTTCTTGAAAATAATTTGAAATTTTAAAATGAAATACTTTAAGTACGCATATATTTATTTTCTATGCAATTCAATTTTGAACATATGCGGTTATAAATTCAGAGAAATGTATCCAAAACCATCTATACAATATTGCGGGGTACTTATATATCAAATACTTATTGCAATTATCAAGTTTAAAAAAGAAGTTTATTTTTCGATTAGTTTCAAATGACTTTAGAAGAGCTCAGTGGATACACCACCGTTGGTTCTTTCCAGCTCGAATCCCAAGTCTTTATTAATGAAAGATATGCAATCTGGAATGCGCACCATACAATTTCAAATCAAGAAGTTTCGGCTAAAATTTATTCAAAGCAATTTTTAGCAAAAGAACACAATCAAGAGTATTTCGAGAATGATATTTATTGCTTCAAGACATTTTATCATCCATTCATTGCAAGGTACATTCAACATTTTGAAGATGACAAATACGTTTATATAATACTTGAACCAATGAAAGGAGGTCCATTTAAAGAGCTATTAGAAGCTAAGACACGCTGGAATGAAACCCAATCGCGCTCAATTTTCATTCAATTATTTATGGCTATTGAGTACATGCAAACAGCAATGGCTATGGTACACGGAAACATCTGTTTAGATGTTTTTATGGTTGATGAAAACAATTATATCAGATTGGTCGATTTTTGGGGCATCCAACCAATTAATAATTGTTCAAACAGTCAGACGCTTGTTTTTAACAAGATACCATTCCAAACACCAGAATATTTGAATACGGGCATTATAACGCCATCAGCTGATATTTGGGCACTTGGTGTATTTTTATATTTTATTTGCGTTGGTTCATCTCCATTTTCAACGGATACAATTGAATCAGTTACAAAAATGGATATTCTCTATCCATCGTTTTTGAGTGGACCGATCACTGATCTCCTCAAAAAATTAATTTCTCTTTCACCTGCTCACAGACTTAATTTCAGAGCGATTAAAGAGCATCCATGGTTTGCTAAAACACAATACAGTCTTCTTACTCCATTTATGATCCAAAATGATGCATTTTCCATCGAAATTGCAGCAACCATTTGCAAATTCTCAGACACAGATAAATTACAAGCAGATCTTCTCGCTAATGAGCAAACGAATGAAGTAATTATATATCAAATTGCTAAAGCCATTGACCATGCAAATCAAGTTCACAATGCCGTTGCTCATTGCGCGCTTACACCAAGCGAAAGCCGCAGAGTAAGCTTAGATAGTGATCATTCTTTACTGAAGTCACATTCTTTGTCTTCTTTCGGCTCAATGTCTTCTCCATCTTCATCAAACGATAAATTTAAAGTTAAGCCAGTTGCCTTGCAACTTTCTCGTCCTGTCCAAGTTGCTTCCCGTAGAGGTTCAAAGGTAATTCCTTCACTTCCAAAGATATGAATTTTTTTTATTAATAAAAATACATTACATATGTTATCACACCAATTAATTAACTTTTTTTGACTATTATTGAACATTAATTATAGTTCAAATCAAATTTTGATTAATTTTTCAAAACTTTACAGTGAAATAGTGATGAAAATAGCAAATACATGGAAACAATATATTTGATATATAACAAACAAGTTTTTTGAGAAATAATAAATTACCAATATTGAACGAATTCACTTCTTTCAACCTTATCCATCATCCATAGGCAACATCTATGACATTTCCAATTTATGAGAAATGTTATTAAAACAAGAGTTGCAGCAAAAACTAGTGGCCATTTCGGATCTGTTTGGCGGTCATTCAGCAATGAATTTGTTGTGATATTAGTTACAAATTTTATTGCGTTGGCCGGGTTCATTGCTTTTGTCATAACATAAGATATTCCTCTTGTTTTATCAATATATACTAAGTTTGATGATAACCTTCCGCTTGTGGGGATAAGTGTTTCTGCATTTGGATCTGAATCAAGGTCTATCCAGCCTAAATCTAGTTTTCCGCAAAATTTCGAAGATAAATCTTTGAGAATTTTCATTTCATTGGCAGTTATTTTTCCTTTTTTAACAATTAGTACGATTTGTTCATTTGCATTATAAGATATTACCTCTTTCATTGTATAATGGTGAGTATGAGAAAATCTGTTTTCGTAGATAAATTTTGTCATATTATAGTAGCGATATGGCCCGCGATAGCTTATAGAACATGATGTACTATGGTATACTTTTAAAAAATTGCGAAATGAAGATTGAATGTAAAATTTGGACCCAAATGATTGTGCAGCAGAAGAAATACCTCTTTGAAGGCTATTAGTCATTAGAGAAGAGCAAACAAGAACGGAGAAATGGCTCAATGAAGCTTCATAATAAACATCTTTTGTAAATTGTTCTATTTGATCGTATTTCATGTGTATATTATCAAAAATGAACTTACTTATATCATTTACGTCGAAACTTCCCGTATATTTTTCTCTAATTTCGAGTAAAGAAGTTTTATATAAATAAATTTCGGGAAATTCGGTAATTTTATGCTCTAAACATAGTTGATAATTGTCACTACAGTTAATTAAAACGGCTTGGTATTCTTTATTTGCCTGATTATTCAATGTATCTGTGATATTTCGAACTATTAAAGAGGTTGTATCATCATTTATGATATAAGAGACCAATAACGGCGATATTACACTTGTCTGAATAAGTAATGATATATCCTTTACTATATTATGTCTTTTTTTAGAAAACGAAAAATATAGTAAAAGGAACAATATCATTAAATGAAGTCAATGATAAATAAATAAGAATTACATAATGATTAAAAACAAAATTTATTAACATTCATACAAAATTAAGTAGATTTTGATTGAAACAGATCAATCTTGAATTTATTGCTTCTCTTTCAACTGATTTTCAAGTTCACGAATTCTCCTCCTGCAAACAGCGCAACCATCTTGTGGCATTTGCCTTGCAGACATTTGCGCGAATTGAGATCGAAGTGCTTTCATTTCAGCAAGGTGTCGTGTTTCAATCTCATCTATTTCTCGTCGAAGAGATGCGTTTTCTGCTCTCAAATCACTCATTGCTCTTGATTCTGAAAGTGGTGTAGCAGCAACAAGCTGGAGTAATGGATCCTTTGAAGCCAATGCCGAACGCAATTTTGACATTTCTTCATAGTTGATCTGCTCTTTCATTAAAAGCTTAATTGTTTCCTTTTGAGAATCTATAATGTGTCGCTGCTGCATAACGAGTTCTTTAAGTCTATTAATTTCATCTTGAGGATCTTCTTTGGGTACTGGTTTTGAAGGAGGAGCCATTGGACGTATTTTTGGTGGTACGTAGTTAATTTCATCTTCTGTTGGCTTAATTTCTACATTTTCGAAGCTTTCTTTCTTTTCTTGTTTACTCTTTTGCTCATTTTGAGGAGTTGGTGTTTCTTTCTTGTTTTCAACCTTCTTTTCTTGTTCCGGCTTGATTGGAGAGTTTTGCGTTGATTTTTTATCATCTTTAATTGATTTTTCATCTGCTTTTTGTGTTTTATTTTCGGATTTATCTGTTTTCATATTCGATTTTTCCGTATCTGTAGTTTTATTATTCGATTTATTTGATTTTACTGTATCAGCTTTAGATTTATCTGTATTTTCTGACTTTTTACTTTCAGATTCAAAAGATTCAAAAGAAAGATCAATTTTTTCGGACGATTTTTCTTTCTTTTCAGTTTCATTTTTCGGTCCTTCTGAAGCTATTGCAGATTGGGTTTCAAAATCGTCAAATGAAGAGGAAAATGAATTTGTTTTTTTGCTTTGCTCAGAATCTTTTTTAGATTCTGTCTTCTTTTCTTTCTCATCAGTTTGAGTTTTCATAGTGGTTGCTAACGGATCAGAAATATCATCAAAATCATCACTTAATGAAAGAGATGCCATCTGTTTCTTCTGAAAACGAATTAATAAACGTCTATCTTTGTTATATAGATTTGTCACCTTTTTAAAAAGAATGCTGAATAAGTTCCAGCTTTCCATCTGCGATAGTATAGTAGACAACCTTATTGATTCACCATTATGCACCCCATTTATTCATCTTGTCGATCCAATAGCCGATGGTGCTCCAGATTATAATGAAATTATCAAGCAACCAATGGCTTTAGAAGTAGTAAAAAGAAAAATACAAACAAAAGAATACAAAACGCTAGATGAATTCAAAAATGATGTAAATTTGATTTGGGCTAATACAATCACATACAATGGCGAAGATACAATATATTCTTATATGGCAAAAGAAAGTAAAATTTGGTTTAATAATATGGCATCTAAAATTACAGAGTCTAACGAGACTGACTGGACTCGCAAATTACAAAGCACAATTTCCAAACTAAACAAATTACTATCAAACCCACCAGAGGAATGTGATCCAAATGGTGAAATAAAGAAAGAGTGTATGGAACAAGAAAAGCTAGAAGAACAATTAGAAAATGTAGAAGAAGAAAAGAAAGATAATAAGAAAGAAGATGAAAAGAAGGAAGAAAAGCCTAAGCAAGAAGATCCTAAACCACAGCCAAACTCAAATGAGAATAAATAAAAAATTGTTAATTATTTTAAAATCCGGCCAATACTCTTTTGCTTTGCCTTAATTTGATGTTTTATAAGCTGTTTTATTCTGTATGTTATAATTATTTGAGCCAAAAATTAAAAATAGATATGGAATTGCTATTGTTTAACTAATCTATATGTGAGTACACTATAAATTATGGGGGGTATATATTAGATAGTATTAAAGCCCGTCAAATTTCGAAAATTGAAATCTGAGAATAAATATCTTCTCGAATGCAAGGCTCTTTGGCACGGATGAGAGAGTTGGCAAGAATATAATCTATTTATTCTAATATTTTTTGAAAATAAATAACTTCATCTCGTTCATTTTTGTAAATTTTATCGAAAAAAAAAATTTAATTGAATATGACAAGCGATGTAGCTCTTCCTCAAGATGTTTGGCAACGCTGGAGCAATCCAGATTTTGATGCTCTTAGACAGACAGTTATAGTTTTTGGCGGAAATATTTCGAAAGAAGCTGCAATTGAAGCTTATCCAAATGTTTCCCTTTACTATCAAGAAAATGAAGGAACAAGTATGATTAAAGGTACACTTTACCTCACAAGCAGTCGTTTAGCATTCCTTCCAAATAACACAATCCCTCACCCGCAGCTGGTCCAACTTCGTTACGATTTATTACGTTCTCTTGCAGGTTTCCGCAACGATCTTTCTATTACAGTTAAAGATAACACTGGATCAGCCGCAAATTTCAAGTTTGCTTCCGCAAAATCCTTATATCAATGTTTCCATCTTCTCAGAGCTCTTGCCGAAGCTGTTAGAATGAAGAACGCCGAGTGTATCCAAGCTCTTCGTAATCTATCATCAGGTTCTAATAGAGATGCAACTCCGTTTTCCGCGATCGAATTTGATTTGCCAGAATTTACAGATCCAAAGAACTTAGAGTTTGTTGCACCTAAAGAGACAGCTCCTGCCATTGACGAAGAAGAAGTACGTAATGATGCTCTTGTTGTCTTTTTACAGCCAATTAAGTCAATGATTGATTATTGCAATCATTTGAACTTCGATATTCACATTAAGCTGAGGATTCTCTTCTTCATCGCCTTAGTTTCTTTCATTCTTAAATTTATTCCATTATTACCACTTTGCGCTGCAATTGTCGTTGGCGTACAGCTTTACTATGCATGGATATTCATTAAGAATAATAATAAGGATGAAGATGTAAGCGAATCCACTTCAGGACAACATTTCGAAGGATATGAACAAATTAAACAATTCTTCCAAGAATGGTTCATGTGGAAGAACCAGAACAAGTGCCTGCTTTTGCTCGGCATCTCCCTTGCTGTTTTCTTTGGTTGGCTTATCCTTCCAGGCGAATTTTACTACTTTATTTGCTTCTCAGCCTACTTTTTCTTCCTCATTCGTCCATTGGCCCAGACTAAGATTTACCGCCAGATCACTAATGGTTTCTGGTATTCAACATAATTTTAATTTTTTATTTTTCTTGAGATTGTTGATCCATTATCTTATTTTTGTTTAATATATTAAATTCTATTGATATTTTATGTAACTTTCTTTTATTTCATTTTTATTATCGATGGATCCTGATTCTTTCTATAAATTGCTCGTTCAATCTTTTCAGAGCCAACCAAAAGAAAATATACTAAACTTCATAATGGAGAATAAGGCGACTGCTTTTTCTTGCGGAACGAGCTTATTGACAAGAGGAAATATACCAAAAATTCATATTCAACAAATTCTCTTAGCACTTACAAGAGTCCTACCAAGAATTGCAACAGAATCAACAGAAATACCTTTTGATGAAATCGGTACCGAAAATTTACAAAATTTTTTTAATGCTTGCATCGAATTTGAGTTTAAAGGTGATCCAACTACATCTCAGATTGCAGCAAACACTATTTCTCGTCTAATACGTTGTGACTATTTTTGCGAAAATAGATTAGGTTTTTTAGACATTATCTACCAATTATACTTTGATCCTCCATCCCCTGAATCTATTTCAGGTATTACATTAATAATTTGCGATGTAATTGATTACAATCAACAACTTGAAGCACATTTTGCTGAAATCGCCAATCAACTCTTAGTTCATTTAAATAATCATCCTGATTTAAAAACCATATACGATCAATCGATCAGAATTGTCGATATTTTACTTAAAAAATCCTTTATTACAGATCAAGAAACTGGCCATCTTATTTTCCAAATATTACAGATCACTATCAATAAAATTGGATCAAAGTCCGCATCATATGCTTGTTTTTCAGATATTTTTCACTTTTACTATGAATTTGTTAGTGAAATTGGAAATGAAATAATGCAAATGAGTATTAGCGATATTCAAGAAGGCTCAGATGACTTAAAGTCTAATATACTTGGTATGTGGAGGTCAATAATTCACTCAGAACGAATTGCAAAAGAAAGTTTTAATTTAATTCATCAAAACTTAATAGATATCATAAATATATTAGCAGTTATAGCCTCCACAGTTCCCCAAGATATCTGCACCATCCAAGAACAAAATCAACCAAACATTATTGCAACAACTTTGATATCCAAGCTTTCCAAGCTCCAATTTGCCAACGAACCATTAATACAGAAGTATTTTCAGCTCAAAGTATCACAAAACCCTGGAGAAAGAGAAACTGCGTTAACAATTATTGCATCATTATTTAATAATGGAGATATCTCAAGTATAATTGATGATGCTCTTTCATTCATATTGGCTTCCATGTCTGATGATATCAGTAGAGTCAGAGAGAACGCGATGATGGCTATACAAGCTTTTCTTGTTCCTTCAAACTTTTCTGACTTAATTCAACAAGCAGTGAGTCAATCAATAGACTCTGTTCTTCACATTCTTCAAGAGGACTCAAATCTCTCACAGACAGCAAACTCTTTGTTAGTTTCTATTGCTGATGCTGCGGATGACAAATACAAGAAAAAAGTTACAAAATTATTTTTGAAAAATGTTTTGTCAAATGAAAATCTTGATATAAAACTCAACTGCGCCAAGTCAGCATCAATAATTATTGCTGATCTATTACCTCGTGACATGTATCCGAAGATATTTTTGAATGTTTTGGAAGTAATTTGTAACATTGTCAATGAAGAAAATCCTGACTTTAATATATTGACAACAATGTTTTCTTGTTTCCAAACAATTGTTTATAGATTAGAAAACAATGAAGTTTTAATTAATAATTCTGATGAAATATGCAATGTTTTTAATCTAACTCTTTCTTCTGAGAATGAAGATTTAGGCATGAAATCATTAGTTCCATTGGGTTGTTTCGCTCGAAGTATTGGAAGTGAACTTTTCGACGATGAAAAATTTAATTTTACGATGAATGCAATATTAAAGTACCTTTCTAAGGTCAATGAGCCAGAGAGCATTCAGAATGCAGCTATTGCAATAAGAATGATGATAGATAAGTTCAATTTATCTGATTATGTCGTTCAAATAATTTCGTTTTGTAATGATATAATGACAAATTTGAATTTAGAATCAAAGAAATATTGTTTTAGAGTTATTAAGGATATATTTACTTTCTATCCTGAAATTCTTTCTGAAGATATCTGTAATACAACAATGTCGCTTTTAATTTCAAGTGTTAATGAAGTCAAAGCCGTGAGAGATAACTTGGATGTATACTATTCTTATATGGACGCATCCCATGAACTCCAAGATCAAGTAACTCCACTCATTGGAGCATTTACTGCAGCAATCACAATACTTAAGGGAAATTCTGTTATTTCAGAGATTATTCCTGTTGTTGTTTCCCTTCTTGACTTCTCTTGTTGCATTCGAGGTTTGTGTGAACCATTGCTTGTCGAAGAAATCATTTTGTGTATGCATTATTTAATTGTTTCATGTGAAGATGAATATGATGTCAAACAGAACTTCTCACAGATGCAATCTGTTCATCAAATGCTTCGTTTTGCAATGGAGAATCAGCTTGAAAATGAGAAAGTTGGAGAAATTATTTTCTCATTTGACAATTAATACTATTTTATTATATATTATTTTTGTTTTGTATAAATACTATATTGTATCATATTTTTGATTCTAGAGTTACATTGAATACCACTTAACATATATCATTAAGATGTATTGGCTCCTCTCCATCCTACTGTTAACAATAATCTGACTGAAATATTAATACGAAAAATCAGAAGATGCGAAAATGCTCAATTTTTATGTTTTTTGACTCAATGTACAACACTTGTATCATGCATTATATAGCATTGATGAAGAATAGATAAATTTACTTATTTTAGAACAGCTAATATTAATGGAAAAAATGGATATGGATGGGCAACACTTAATTTTGCAACAAAAATATATACGCGTATATTGCAAAATTTCGTAGTGTTTAAATATCAATTGCACACATGAATTATTCGCATTGTTCAAATATCATCGAAAAAGAATAAAAATGGAATGATAACTCATCATTACGCAACTGATTTTTCGGAGATCTGATATCTTTTTATATTTTGGATAACATGTTTATATATTAAGACGAAATCTACTTGACAAGTATAGAAGAAAGTGTCAAAAAAAGTTAAAAAAAAGATCAAATTCATAACAAATAAATTTATATCTATTTATAAGCTATCTGGTGCCTCATAAGGACCGAGAGTAACATCAAATATGTCAAAACTGAAAACACCTCTAATATAATCATAACAAACAAATCTTGCGGCCTTTGTTGCGCAAAATGCTTGAAGCTTTGCAGAAAATCTGTTAATTGACTCTTCATCATCTGGTTTAAATCTCTGGCGAATTCCTACGTTTGGATCTTGAATTGGCCAGCAGTTATACATTGTTATCCTTGTTCTCACATTCATTCCATTTCCAGATGCTGGTTTCTGGCTCTGTTGGAGGTAAGGATAGAAATTAACAAAGCATGGTTTGATTTCTATGTCATTTTGTATATCTATGTTCGAAATATCAATTGTATCCATGAATTCGATGTCAGCGTATCCTTCTCTTGAAACTTTGAAGTGATCAATCTGTCCTGAAATTTCATCTATTGGAGGAATGGTTTTTAGAGGATTGTAAGGTAAGAATCGCTCTGACTTCTTAGGAAATGCACATTTTAGCATGTCTGATGTGAATTTAAGAGGTGTAATTTTCTTAAATTCATATCCATCAGAAAAATCGGGATTTCTTTTAGTAAATAACGAGTTGTAGTTTCTATGATATTTCTTAGATCCTTCGATACTGTTTATTTCATCTTCTTCTTTAATAATTGGAACGGCTTTAGATTTGAAGTATTCTGCAGCAGTTAAAACGACACCGGGTTTTGGTGTTGGGAATTTAAGTTCGTTCGCATTGATTGTTGGCTCTTTTTCAGTAGAAGTCGCTGATTGAAGCGTTTTTCCTTGAATTCCTTGAAGAGTTGGCTTGGCAGCTCCTGCTTGGGCTGTATTGCCACCAATTGAACCAACAGCTTGAAGGCCGCCCTTAATGTCTTGTCTGAAATCCTCTGGCGTTTCAATTTTCTTTGAATTAAGATAATCGTAAAATCTTAACTCTTCTGGTGTACAATTTTTGAATTGTGGCATTGCTGTTATATTCATGACTGTAATTTTTTGATTTGTATTGTTGGCAGACGTAATTTCGACTTCTTGTTCTTTAAATTCTGTTGTTGCTGAATTAAATGGCGGGCTGTAAGTGCCATTGCCTGTGTTCGATTTTGTCTTCATCAAAGAATTGGTAGTAGTCGATGAAGTTGTAGATGTACCGCCAAATTTATTTGTTGTAGAATAAGTTGATCCAATGCCAAATCCTGTAGCAGGTTTAGCACCAAAGCCACCAGATGATGGAGTCGTTGTACCTGTACCAAATCCTTTTGGTTTAAATGCGCCTCCACCAAAGCTCATGATACTGTCACTTTTTATGTATTTTTGTGGCTAATATTTTATAGATTGAAAGTAATGCGATTCATCCTATTTTCTTGTGTAGTACAAAAATTTGAAGAAAATTGATCTTATTAAGCCAAATTTCGACAAAATATTTGTATTTAAGCCATAATTTTCTGTACATAGGCATTACATAAGTTGGATAATTTATCTACGAGATTTAATTCTCTTCAATTGAAAATCAGATTTCATGATTTTGTCAAATTGTCAAATTCTCATACAAGTAAAAGACTTATCTTCAGTGAACTATTACATTTCTAATTTTCTGCATTAGATTTCATATTTTGTTATGGAAAGAACAATTACAGGATCCACTGATACTTATATGATTCATATTCCAATGAAACCAGAAGCTGATACAGAAGCAAGGATGTATCAAAAGTATCTCGCTTCAAAAGGCAATGACATAAAAGAGCAATTCACAGGTTACAGATTCATTCGACTTACAAGTAATCTCTTATCAATAAAGGATATAGAATCACAAGTTGGTATATTAGGTTCATTATCTCATCCAAATATTCAAAATTTATATGACGTAATTATAGAAAACGATGATTTATATGCTATATACGATAAAGAGTTCTTCTCTCTTGAATCCATTATTGATAAGAATGCTAAATTATCCGAAAACCTTTCCAGACAAATATTTTTTCACATTTTATCGGCTATTATTTACTTGCATTCACAAAAAATCGTTCATTTAGACATAAATCCAGATAACATCTTCTTTAACAAGCGAAATATTGCTTTTCTTGGTTCTTTCTTTAAAGCATCAAGAGTTAGCGAAAATTCAACATTTATCAACCCTCCAGGCGTTGCTAATTTTATGCCACCTGAAGTATTCACAGGCAAGCCATACGATCCATACAAAGTTGATGTTTGGTCATTAGGAATTACTTTATTATTGTGTTTAACCAATACAACACCATATGAAGCAGATACATATGAAGGAGTTGTTCATCTTATTAATACTACTGACCCTATCATTGAGTCATTTATACCTCAAGGAGCCAAAGATGTACTAAATGCATGTTTCAAGAGGAATCCTGCAGAAAGACCAACAGCTGCTGAAATATTCCAGATGCCATGGGTGCAGTCATATATAATTTATCCGAATCTTGACGTCCAAAGGATCGAAAATCCGTTTTCAAACGAAACTTCGAAGACAGTTAACTACCACCTTACAATTAAGAGCAAAACTATTGATGATATTAAGTGTATTATATCTGCAGGTGTAAGTCCTGCTGCACATTGCTTCAAAATCATATATGATGATAATTCGAAGTTGATTAATATCAAATTCAGAGGAAGTGAGTCGATTCTACTTATCAAGTATGATTTTGTAGCTGATGTTGCTCACATTTTGTTCAAAATCCAATCTGGTGATAATACAGGTGAAATGCAGAATTTGTTGAAGAGAATTTTTGAGGAATTTAGCATAGGTTGATTTATGCATGTTGTTAAATTGTTTATTTTTATTTGTTTGTAAAAATTTATTTTGTTTTTAGTAATTTATTAATATTTAATACATCAATCATAGAACACAACCTGTAAAAGAGAAGATGCTATCTAGAAATGTGAATGTTATTTCAAAATAGATTTATAAAATTCGAAATAATTTGTTGAATCCGAAATTTTTGCCGAAAATGTCATTCATTTCACATCAATATCAATTATAATGTACATCCATTTTTCCAAAATTCTTTCATTTTTCATATTTCCAAATAAAAATTAATATTTTTAACTTTGAATAAGATTTTTTTGAATATTTTTTGGGAAAAATTTATTGGCCCTTGAGCTAAATGAATATGATTTTTATTATATATTATGTATTTTAAACATTATTCATGTCTAAAAGCATAATAAACCAGAATATCAGCTATAAATTTGTTTCATTCTCAACAACCAAAAGGTAATAATCGAAACATGCAATAGAAAATTAATAAACAGAATAAAATATATAGTTTTTCGCATAGTTACCAACAGCAGACTTATTTTTGATTTAATTCTATCATCAATTATCATGGCACGCTGAATTATTTCATTATATGTCAGAGTATGAGATTCTATGAGTACACATGATGAATATTTTTCTGACAGCAATTCTTTCATATCAGTAATTGAAGTAGAATTTATGAAGTTTTCAAACTCCTATAGATTTACAGAATTTAATATAATATCCAAATAAATTGATAAACAAAATGTCTATTTCATATAAGTTAAAGAAATGTAAGTTTGATATTAATTTCTCCAAATTTCCTCAATAAATTTCGGCGATTCAAAGAATATAAGTTTCATGGTAGGGAGAAAGTATATATCCATTAGCAAAATTGAAAACCGGGAAAGTTTATTCTAATTCCTGATATCATTTCATTATTTTGACACTTTTATGAAAAGAAAAGTAATCACTAGAGCGAAAATAAAATCTGTTCTTTCATATTCAGCTATAGCTTTAGTAACTTTCTTGTCAATACAAATCCTCTTCAATGAAGACATGACTTTCATTCCGAAATTTTATTCAATTTTTACGAAATCTAAAGTAAAACCAGAATTTAATGCACATAACGAATATTTCGAATATCTACAGAAACACGTTGCTCGATCCTTTAACACATATTCATCAAAATGCATCAATTCGGATGGAATTAATATTGTTAATTATGAATGCATCGATAGTTACGGATTTTCAGCGTCTCTACTAGAATCTTTAGAAGTTTTATATCTTCTTAACCTTAAAGAAGAATATAATCGCGCACATTTGTTCCTAAAGACCCAATTTCGATGTTCCAAACTTGGATGGGTTAATCAAAGAGAATTATGGACAAGAGGTGTTGGCTCTTTGATTGGAGCATACACATTAACCGGAGATAAACTTTTCTTAACTCGGGCTGATGAGTGCATTGAAGAACTTTCAAAGTTCGAATCATCTAAGCAGCCTTTTGTTAATATAAAAACAGGCGAAAAAAGACATAGAAAACTATCAAATTACACTTATTTGATGGATTCATCGGCAGGAATACCAGAACTCGCTTCATTGTATTCGACTACAAAAGATGAGAAATATCTAAGAATGATCAAAAGGAAAATCTCCAGAATTCCTAACTTAGAACAAGGAATATTAAACGATTACAATCCAACTACATCAAAACCCGTTCAAATAGATGATACAATTACATATAAGAACCTTCCATATCTTTTCGACATGGTAATTTCCAACATTATCCTTCCAATCAGACAAATCAAGGGCCACTTACCGAAATTGGAGGATATATACAGATACAATGCCGAAGATATTAATATGGCTCCTCTCCTTGAAATCGAAGCATTATTGAAAGCTAATATCTCAAATTCTCATATTTTGGAGAATTTAACGATGACTGCATACGACCCACCATTTGAAATACTCACTTATGGCTCTCCCAATGATATGCGCCCTTATACATTCGAAAGTTCCGGTCTGAGACTCATGCTGAAGAAAGGAATGAATCAGAAAATCATCGCAGCAATTCCAGGAATAATAAACAATTGCTGGAACGGAAACGGAGTTTCTTCAGTAGGAAGAACTTCTCACAACGGACCTCATCTGTTCGAAACTCAGCATCCTTCATTCTTCGGAGAGTTTGCACTTGCAGGAACAATGGCTGCAATCAAATCTCCGAATTTCTCGAAGGCAATCTTTAACTGGAGAGGCCACATCCTTAGATTATAATGTTTATTTGTTTTTATTTTTGTTTATTAAAGCTGTTCTTTGTTGCATTAAGGGTGCACACGAGAGGATCATGTAAACTTCAGAATTTAGAACCTTATTTTTAGGCATTATCTTGGCTACCTATTTAGGCTCGAAAAGCAAAAAATATCAAAAAATACAACTTGACTCCATTATGACCCTTTCATGGAGGTAGTTTTTATCCGCTAGTATTTTCCCTTTGAATCTCTTTACAATTCGAAATCAAATTCAAATCTCAGTAGAAGAAAGGAAGAATCGACTTACTACGGTTGTAATACGAATAAATACATATATTTAATTATTTTTATTTACATAATAATTGTTTGAAGCTCATATTCCAACAAATTTTTAAATAAAAACATTAAAATGTTGAAAATGTTCATATATTTTAATAGGGTTTTGGCACTTTATTGAGGAATTACTACATACATAGTCGAACCGAACTTGATATTTTGAAATTTAAATTATTTATCAAAATTAAAATTTAACTTGAAATTTATAATTATTTAGTCATATTTTGCATAATTCTAAGTAGATTTTGTCAAAAATCAAGAAAGAAAAATTTTAACGTGCTTTATTTTTTCTTTTTTATAATAATACATATTATTATATAATTAACATATTCATAATGTTTCACCCTTTCAAAAATATAATCCTCCTCCTCTCAAATAAACGTACATACGGGTGGCCTCTTTTTTCAAAAAATTAAAATTTGAAATTTTGGGCTCAAATATTAGAGATTTTTTCAACCTTCAACGATATATGTTGTCTATATCAGACCTCCTTTCTTTTTGATACTTAACATTGTTCCTAAATCTTAGCCGTTAAGGCTGTTCTGAAAATATTTTTTTTTTCGAAAAAATTCGAAAAAAATTCTTAAAATTCAAAAATCCCTTAATTCCTGAGGATTTTGGAAAAAAGTTTTTACATGAACATGTGTATATTATATGAAGTATATTGATAAGGTAAAAATCAAATTTTATTGCATATTCATCGAGAAAATAAACTAACGAATCCATCAAAATTGAGAGGGTAATCCTCCTCCTCTCAAATAAACGTACATACGGGGGCACCCTTAAATTTTATCATAAATTTTTTCATATGAACGATACTTTAACGATAAAAAAAGTTATGGATACATTAGACAGTCATGTAGTCTTTTTATCATCAGTTTAATGTGAAAAATTTAAATTAAAGTCAAATGATGGTAAAGACACTCTTGATTATTGAATTAATGTCTGATTCACCTGAAATTGATATAAGATATAACTTTTAGAAGTTAATTTATTATTTCATAAAGAGACTGATGCCAAAAATAATTTGAAGTGATTGGCACTCCAATATAATACAAACATTTTTCTGAACAAAGTTTTGTAGGGATCCAGCTAATGAATTCATTTTTCATGATATGTATTGTTCATTTTAAAAAGAGTGTGTCAAGTCCATTTTTATAAAAAACAATCTATATAAATCTTTATTACTAATATCTCTAATATAACTCTATAAAAAATAATTATAAAACAATATAAAAAACTATAAACAATGATTTTCTATTTGGATTTGAGGGCTCTTCTTAAGCAGTCGACATGGAAAGAAGGAGGATGAATGAATGGTGTTGGATCCTTCTTTACTCCTACATCATCTTCTATTGTCTCAGCCTTTGCCTGAAGCAAACTCAAAACTTTTTGCAAAACATCTTTGAAAGGAGCCATTTTCTGGTAAATTTCAACAATCAAATCATATTCAGCAACTTCAGTTTTGATCTGTCTTTGTAGACACAAATGTTGTGAAAGTGCTTGTACACACGGATATCTAACTTGTGGGCTTTCATCAGATATAATTCTCAAAGCAAGTAACCAATGACATAATTCGTTTTGGTTGAATTCGCTGAACAACTGTTCGTGGTATCTCAGCATCAACTTGGAGAGTTCTTCCAAAATGTTTGTATCACTTCTGTCGACGAAATATGAATACTCCTGGAAATTGAGTAAAAACGATTTCGCGTCTTCAACAAACATCGCTGAAACTCCCAAGAAATAAATAATTCTCGAACTGTTCTTTTCGTTGAAAATGTTCTCAAGGAATTTATCTTTCTGGTTAGCATTCGGATTAAAGCAAGCGGAATGTTTGACCAATAGTTTGTGGATGCCATCAAAAACAGGTGTTGGTGGATTTGCCAAAAAAGTGTCAACTAAAACTCTTGACACTTTTTGTTTAATGAAATCAGGATTTTCATTAAAGAATCTACACAAATGGAACAAAATACAAGGATTCTTTTGAATGATGAGTTTGATCATCTCCATTTCATTTAGTTTCTTGAAGATGACCATTAAAATCCTTGTTCCGTATGGTTTTTTAACCAAACTCGAGAAATCTTTTGCGAAATAAGACAAAACAGGAGAAACAATGTCAACAAGTTTGAAAACATTCGCCAGCATTATCAAGAAATACAATTTGATGTAATCTGTTTCATGTTTTTCAATTGCTGATTTGAGGTACTTAGAAACATCTTCTCTTAATTCGTCAATAACGAAAGGATAGTTGTTAACAAGCTCTTCAATCTGCATGATAATTCCATCGTTTGTGTTCGCATCGGCTGTCAAAGCATCTTCTAAAAGTGACTTAATAAAAGTGACAACATCATCTTGTTGCAACACAATTAAAAGAGCACGAGCAGCAGCGTGTCTTATTCTTGAGCATGGGGAACTCCTCATATCTATAACCTTTCGAAGGATTATGTCATTTGGAAATGGCTTCAAAAGCTGTATAACTAACAAAATAATGAAAGAAGAATCAGTGTTTTCGCATGAAAGATATTCAACGAAAAAGTCCAAAGAACCTTCAACAATTGCGAAGAAATCGGAATGTGTCATTGCCTCGAAATCCCTTGGAACATCTGTTCTCCTCTTCCAGTGTCTCAAAAGAAGATTTGACAAACAAATATTTGCTGCATTTTTGACATAAAACGGACAAGAAATTGTCATGATATTGAACACTAACATCAGTATTTTCGACGAGTAAGGTTCGAAATTAGCTGCTGTGTTGTTATCAGTGGCAATTGCTTGGCACAACAACAAGCCAGTTATCAACTGACTGTAATTAATATAATCAGAAATTGAATGAGAACAAAATCTCATGAATTTGTTGTAAATCGGTCTTTGCGATGCATACAAATGACTTGGTTCTGAATGTATCAACGCAAGGGCTGTTAAAACAAAGGAGTTACTGATCTTGTGCTCAGAAATGGTGAAGTTCTCTGCTTGGTCCATTAATGTATCCGCCCAAGTAATTGGCAGTTTTTCTGTTTCAGGATTCATGTAACTTAATGTGCAGAGCATCTGGAAGATGATGTGGACTTGGTATACAGTTGATGCCTGTCTTGACTCCATGAGGAATCTCAGCAATGTGTCTCCTGTCTTAACAACCAATTTCAATGGCAAATTCTCGAAATGCTGGTTCAAAACATATCCAATTATATTCAAAGCCTGTCTGACAGCGAGCCATGATGAATTGATGTTTTCTATCAACTGACTTTCGAGATTGTCAACGCTTTTGATTGTTTGAACAGGTATTGTCTCGATGTTCGCTTCCACACCAATAAATGTCAAACTCTCTGATATGATGTTCAAAGAAACAGGAACAAGTTTCTCAGTGATGAAGTTGAAATCAATTTGAGGAGCTTGAACACTTTGAAGGACATGTAAAACGACACTCAGAGGGAAATGCGGAGGGATCTGAGCAGTTTTACTGACAATCTGTTGCCACATCTTTGAGATCAACATCTCTATGTTTGTCTGACCTCTCGCCAAGTGTGTCAACGCGATCAATCTCGCAGCGCCATCTGTATCTCTAAATTTTGTGGAATTCGAATGTTTTTGGATGAGTTCTTGAACGAGTTTTGACTCTTCAGAGATGACTTGGTGCGCGAGAGCTACTTTGTCATCAGGAGATTTCATTCTAAGTATAAACAAAATGAATCTAAATATCAAATCACGAACAGTGTAACTTGATTCAAATAAATTATAAACTAAGTTTTCTAACAATTCTCTAGTCAAAAATAACAAAGGCCTCAAGTGCCAAACAATAGTTAATATGTTCACAATGTAGCTCTTCCTGAATCCAGACATATATGGTTTAAGTAAGGGGACCATCGCTTTAAATAAGGGAGAAAAGAAAAGTGACATACAAATTTGGTCATGCGGATTCATATGATTACAAGCAGACTGGAAGTAGCTTTCCAATACTTTCTGGTACTTGACATCGCAGAAAACGAATACTCTTGGAATTGCTTCACTCAGCAAATTGATGTCTTCTGTTGTAAATTTCGTGTTTCCTCTTGGAGAAGAAATCAAAATTTTTAATGTGTTGACTCTTATCTCGAAATCCCATGAATGGAGTGCTGTCGATATAAGAGCACGATCTAAAGGAGGTCTCTGAGCTTGCATCTGCAAAACAGGCATCAACAAAATCTGATAAGATATCTTTTTGTTTTCATCCATGACTCTTGAGTTAGTAACATGATTATGGAGTGTTTTAACAACAGATGATGATATCTTTATCATGTTTATGATGAAATTCTGACGAACAGCGGTTGATAACAAATCAATTCTTTGAAATAATAAATCAGAATAAGTACTTGGTACTTTAAATGACTTATATATCTCGGCAACACATCGAAATGCAAATGTCTGATGAACATCAAACTGATTCAATAAGTCTTTGAAAAATTCAATAGTTATCAATTCAAAAGGAACAGTCGGAATCACCATGGCAAGACAATCTTGGACTAACGAGGAGTTAGAACTGAGTTGCTCCAAGCGCTTGAACAAGTCAATGAAGAATGATTTGTCGCAGATCTTGAGAGCGACTTGTACTAAAGATTGAAAACAAAATTTAACTGATTTCCGGAGATATCCGTCTTTCGTGTCTGGAACTGATAGAATGGCATCTTTGCAGAGTGTTAAAAAGTCTGGTTCGTCTCCTTTGGCCATAACTTTTAATGCAGCTGATAACATCTGGAAGAAAGAAGTTTGGCCGAGTTCATCTGTAGGTACTGATGATATGTATTGTGGTCCTAAGTATGCGTATGTCGAAAGTGCTGAATAATAGTCAGATGGGATAGTAAATAAGAATGACGCTAATAATTGGTATGAAACACAAACAGGAACTGTTTGAGTGATGTATTCCATGAATGTTATACCTGATATTGCCGTACATTTGTCTAATGGCGTAGGTTTATGCTCTAATAATGAACTTATCATATCTTTTAGGCCAGTCATATCACCAATCAACGCACAAATGCAGTATATGGCTGATTGCGAGAGAGATGATATAACAGAGTATGTAAACGATGTATCTGACAATGTTGAAAGTATGGCCATCGCTTGAATTTCTGGATTTGGAAGGATATTTGCCCATTTTTTCATGAATTGAGATAGACATGTGGTAAGCGATTGAAATACTTCGACTGTTTTGCTTGTTTGATGTAATAAATCTATAATTTTGTTTGCAATTTCTTCGGCTTTTTCAGGCTGTAAGCTGCTGATAGGTAAAATGAATACTGCATTATAAATGATAGGAACTACAATGTTTGTTTGTGCTTTAGAGTCCGTATTTATGACTAATGTTGTTATTGGGATGAAAAATGTTGGATCTAGTTTCTCCAAGTCTTGCGAAATCGCCATTAGTATACGCGATGGCGCAATTGGAGATGTTACATCGCATAATTTTACTTTTAGTGTCTCAATTAATACTTCAGGAAAGTAATCAGAAGCTTTCTGAATAGTTGTTGATAAGAGATTCAGACTACGCTTCGATATGCCATTCCCGCATGATATACACGATGCTATCGCCTCCCCTAATTCTTCATTACTCATCGGGGATTCGATTTCAGAGAAGGAATTTTTTTCCCCTTTGTTCTCCGGCCGACCAAAATTTTATACTTTCTCCAACTGTTCTAACAATAGAACCAGATATTATTATCTTAGATCAGCAGGATTTTCTATTCCTTTTGCAATTTTGATTGGATCACAAAAAAATTTTATCAAATTTAATCTCTTTGGGATTTCATCAAGTTTAATTTATTACTGGATAGGGTACATAATTTAAATTATGGCAATGAATTAACTTAATTTTATAATTTTTCGATATCATTTCAACAATTATAACAATATTGTCAGTGGGATAGGCTCACTTTTTCTATTTTGTACTAGTATTCAAATTTAAGAAATTCTAGGCAAAGAACGCCACATCTTTGACATCTGACAAGATTGATTAGAATATCTTTGCTCAATGGAATTACTCATATTACTTATTTTGAGGTTGCAGTCTATTTCAACTGGAATTTGAGCCAGAAACTCAGAATTCTTGGTTCAAGTGCGGTGATTTCAAAGGTTTGTATTTTTGAATGGAAAATAATCTTAAATTTTATTTGAAAAAGAGATTTTATGGTTTATTGGGCCCCCTTTCGATGCGCAGATATTTCTGCAAGGATTATTATGATCCTTATATATCTTTTCGTAACATGCACAGCAATTGCGTTTGTTTTTGCGAGATATTCTTCATTTCCAAGTAAAGTTAGACCGTATTACTTTTTAGTATTAATATTATATATCGTGTTTTCAGTATTATGGATTACAGCGCACATTAATTTGTCGTGGCTTGATGCCGGAAGCGTCGAACGCGAACTTGAAGTATATAAAAATTCGCCGTTATCAGCTCAGCTTGAAGATCGCATAGCAAATTTCTCATTGTGCAAAAAATGCCATTTACCTAAATCAAAAAGAACTCATCATTGTTCACAATGCAAAAAATGTTATTTCAGATTCGATCATCATTGTCCAGCAATCGGAAATTGCGTAGCCCTTAAGAATATGAAACCATTCATATTATTCATGGTTTACAGTTGCTTCTTAGTTATTACGGCAGGATCATCAGCTTTATTATACCTAGGAGAAGATGATTCTGATATGAAAATCATCTATTGGCTCATCTTTGGCAGTTGCTGCGCTATGGGAATTTACGTTGCTTGTTTTGGTTTATCATTTTGCGGGAATACATGCAATGATCACACTACATTAGAAGGTATAGCAAAAGAAGACAAACACAAATACTCTCTTGGAAGTTTGACAAACTTTAAACAAATTTTTGGTGAACATTGGTATGAATGGTTCATCCCTACTCAAAATAAGTTTGGTGGCTTTGTTTGGGCTCAAATACATGAAGAGATTGATAACAGAATACAAGAAGCTACACAACAACACGATAGCTCAAATACTAATCCTCAACCAAGTGATCAGCAACCAGATGCACCACTTACACCTGAAGCATAGACATTTTAACTGTATTTTTTTTATTATATTTTCTTTTTGTATAATTATAAAAATAATTTTGTTTGATCAAACCTAATTTTAATACAACACTTTAACAAATTTTTAGGATACATACAATGAATCTCATAAACGGACTTGATTACTCACTATGAGTAATAAGGTCAAAATAATATACAGGGAATGGTGGGCACTTAATTTATATGGTATATATGGGCGCCATCCGAACCATAGGACGCCTCCACATTCCAATTTATACTTTACAAAATCCTAAATTTGTAAAGATCATAATGTCAAAATTCCCTCCGAGAATGAGAACTTGAAAATCTTTAATTAAAAATTGTTGGTGAGAGAATTTTCGAAAAAATGCACGTTAAAAATTGAGACGTTTCCTGGCAAGTGCATTTTGTAAAAAAAAAATTAATGAGCACTGACTATGAAAAGCCATATTCAGATTTTATAGAAGCATTTGAAAAACTTTTTCGTATGAAAATTAATGATTCAGTTGAAGATATGTGCAATATTATCACAAATGTTTTGATTTCAAAATATCATCTTACCAAAAACCAACTCTCGAAGATAATTATCAAAGCATTTCAATATAATTGTGCTTCAGGTGAGAATTATATTAAAATACTCAAGAATATTGGTTTTGATAATACAAAAATTTTTCAAATAGAATTTCCATCAGTGGATTCAATCGAATTTGCTGTTATGCATGACCAGATTGATAAATTCAAGGAATATATTTCTCAAAATCAAATAAAAAATAATGCATTTATTTCAATCCCTATTTTGACTAAAAGTGATGATGAAATTTTATTTGATTCTTATCCCAATCACATATTCAGTGCTGTTTTATCATTAATTGAAGCATGTGCCTATTTTGGATCAATAAACATTTTCTTTTTCTTACTTTCAAACCAAAAGTATACAATTTCAAAGAAATGTCTTCGATATGCAATAATCGGTAGAAATACAGACATTATCAACGAATGCTTAAAGGAAAATCAAATGGATCTAAAATGTCTCAGAAATATTGTATGTTCACACAATCACCAAATGCTTGAATTCGTTTTAGATAGAAATTTATTTACATATAAAGATTTCGATGGAAAAGACTTAGAATCAAGGGCTATTTACGAAGATATTATCAAATATCAAAATCTCAAGGCAGTATTTCTACTTTTTGAGAAAGAAAAAAATTGCATCGTTCCATGGTGTGCTGCATTTCCCCAAACATTAGAAATTCTCAAAAACGAAAAACTTCCTGATAAAACTGATTTCCGGGAAAGAAATATTCTACATTATGCATGCATGTCACAAAATTCCGATATCTTTAAATTTTTAGTTGGATCAATCAAAAAAATTGATGTCAAATATCATATGACTGCTTTATGCTTCGCAGCAGAATATAATAACATAGATGCAGTAAAAATTCTTATATCACACGGTGCTAATGTCAATGCTAAACATACTTTCCTTTATTCAATATCAATCACTATTTTATCACATTCTCATTCATTTAATATCAATTATTAATCTATGAAATATTTTCTCAGTTAATGAATCTCCTCTTTCTATTGCTATTAGGAAAAATTCAAATAATATTGTCAAATTCTTAGTTGACCATGGTGCCGATGTCAATGCTATACTTACTTTATTTAATTTAATATCAATCATTATTATATCAAATTTTCTTTGATTTAATATCAATCATTATTATATCAAATTTTCTTTGATTTAATATCAATCATTATTATATAGCATTATATTTGTTTTAATATCAATAATTAATTCATTCAATTATTTTTGATTTAATATTAATCATTATTACATGGAATTCTTTTTTATTTAACATTAATCACAATTATATTATAATCTCTTTAATTTAATATCAATCATTTTTATATGGAATTATTTTTTATTTAAAATCAATAATTAAATCATTTCTTTCTATTCGATTTGATGCTAATCATTAATTTAAGAAATTCTCTTTCACTAAATTGAAAAAATGTCAGAAAGTGGTAAGTGCATCCTTAAATACTTATTATATCTTATAAAATAGTATTTTACAAATTTAGTCGTATTTTACATATTTTTTGACACCATGATCAACTAAGAATTTGATAATATCATCTGATTCAGCAATGCAAAGTAGAGATTGATTAAATAAAAATAAATTTCATGAAATAATGATTGATAGAAAATGAATGAAAACGTGATAAAATAATGATTGATATTAAATGAATGAAAACGCGATAAAATAATGATTGATAGAAAATGAAAGTGAATCCAATATAATAATGATTACTATTAAATAAATGGGAACATGATAAAATAATGATTGATATTAAAACAAATATAATTTTATAAATTAATAATTGATACAAAATCAAAGAAAATTCTGTATAATAAAGATTGATATTTATTTTTGATCCGGAAAGAGTTATTATAGATCACTACCTAGTACTTCATATTGCTTTTATACCTTTTTGTTATTAAAATAAAGATATGCTGATATTATGGCAGCATGTCAGTGAGTGCACCCTTAACTATGCCACAATCTAATTTCTGCTTCAACAATGCCTAAAATAAAAGATTCTTGCAAGCAGCATCCAAAAATATAACTTATATATTAGGCAGGTCCATGGATTATATTCATTTCCATAGATAAAGCATTTTAAAATGACAAATGTTGCTGATGGAAATCAATAATTTGCAATAATAATAAAAACTATTATTTAATGTGCGTATATAAATTTTGATGCATAATTAAGTGGAGTAAATCCATCATATTATTAAAAATAATTGTTAAATTTGTTAAAACAAATCTAGTTTGGCTCTCAATTTGGTACAAGATATCCAATTTATGGATAAACTTCACTTAGTTATGCATCATAATTGATATATCTATATAAAATCAATACATGCATATTTTATTGAAATATAATCATGAATCCAACTATTTAAACTTTTTCAATCATAATAGCTCGTTTATTCGATAAAATTAACGAACTTTTAGAAATTTAGGACTCGTTTCCTTTTTATAGAAATTTCTTCCTTAAGGATAAACTTACGCCCATCTGACGCTAATTCAAATTTCTAATTATTGGGGCGAAGCTGCATTGAAAACTAACCATAAACAACATTGAAGGCTATATATTAAATACACCCTTAAAATATATAATGATTTTATGTAACCTTTTTTCCCCTTTTGAATTCATAAAAAAAAATTCATGAATGAAGTTCCTGACTTTATAGCATCAATTTCTCAAGTAACAAATTTTGACGAGGCTACTTACAAATCCAAGTATTGCAATAATTTCTGGGAGAACATCTTAAAATTTTTAATATCAATAGGTAATCGCTCTGATAATCAGTATTTATTTATTGAAATTCACGATTTACAACTAATCATCCATACAATATCATTATTTTTATCTTATAACCTACTTAATTATTCGCCAGAAACAGATTTAGTTTATGCCGACGAATACTTCTCAATTTCATTTCACCAGAGTACAGATGTCGAAATAAAAAAGATGAACACATCGATTTTCTTTGAATTAATCGAGAAATTAGAAGAAACTAAAATGTCGATTTTTAACAATTCGCTTTGCTATTATACTCTCCTCCATTTTCTTAATACATACCATTATTTGTACACTATCGACCTGGAAAAATACACTTACAGAGATATTTTGCCTTTACATATCGAAGGAACCGAAATTTTCAAATACGAAACTCAAATTGACCAATTCGGGCTAATGCTCGACTGGATACCAGAACATTTCGCAACATTTTCTTCCCAAAAGTTTAAATTTTTGCTTCAATTTTTGATATTTCCATTTTATTTCACAAATTTGAATGATTTAAATACATTTCAAATACACACAAACCTTTCTGATAATCTTGGCGATCAAATACATGAAATGATTATTCATTTTTTCAAAAAATTAATCGATGAAAAATTTAATAATGATGACATGCAAATTAATGCTGCTATTATACGAATATTGAGTATAGCGTTAACAATAAACACTCAGCAAACTGTTACAGATACATTTCAAATACTAAAAAACATTTCATCGAATCAAACATTGATTTCCAACATTGAAAAGGCAAATTTGATTGGAGATGTAACGAGTTTAGCTGTAGAATTAATGAAAATGACAAAATACCAAAAAAAGTCATGTTATTTTAATGATATTTGTATTTCCCTTATTTCTAACATCCAAAACGAACAAAACATAATTGGGATCGTAACAAAATCAACAGAACATGCAAAATCAACGAAAATTTTGGTTTGTAATTTGTTATCTTCAAAAATTTCAAAAAATTCATGGGAAATTCTTCTTAAAAACGAGAAATTCTTAAAGATATTGACTGATTATGTATTAGATATTGATGGAAATTCACATTTCAATGAAAAATACATTAAATTTGAAAATTTTGAATCAAATATTCAGTCAATTATTGAAATTATCGGCCAAAATGACAAAATATCAGATTCTAATAAGCTAGTTAAGCATTATGACTTCTTTAGAGTCAATATTAAGTACAAATACTTGACAAAATTTGTAATTAAAGCATCTGACCAATTAGCGAGTTCAATTGCTTCAGATCTTGAAAGTTATCGTTCTAACATCATCGTAAAGCACAGAAAATCTATAATGATGCCAATGTTAGAAAATTTCCAAAATTTCGAGTCCCATTTCAAAGATATCAGTCATTTAGAGACATTTGTACTTAATCCAGAATATGTATCACCTCCAAACATCTCTCCTCAGCTTATTCAGCAAGCTTCTCATTTATTGACGACAATTCACTTCAAAATCAATTTATTTGCAACAGCGATATTCGAAATAACCAATAAATCAGATTTTGACTTCCTTTGCAGCTCAAGTATCCCAAGTTTGTTCGGATATTTCACTTCCCCTGAACATTTGCAGTTGGCGTTCAGTTTTTACGCGAACGTTCTCTCCAACGGACCAAAGAAGATGAGACCTACACTTCTGATCCCATTCTTCATGTCTCCTGTGATTTTCCCATTTATTGAATCAATTTATAAACCGTTTTTCGAGAAACTGCTCAGAGATGACAGGTATTCGAAGCAGAACCAGAGAAATGAGTTGGTTGACTACTACGCCCTGTTTTTGCAAAATTTAATTGAAAAATCTTCTTCTTCACTTCACCAGTGCCATTCAGTACTTCTAAAGTTCATATATAATCAATGGCCATCGAACGCAACACTCCAATTCATTCTAAACATGTTTTTGAAAACTCATGCGATGAATTGGTTGAAATCTGAAGGATATTCATCCAGGAAACTGTTCGTTGAAGAAGTTTTTCAGAGAATAATCGATTCAAAGGAGATTTATATTTCAATTTTGAACAAAATTTGCAATGCAACTTCTTTGTTCGAAATTCCTGACATGTATACGATTTTTGATCAGCCATATATGATTTTCTATTCATCCTTCGCGGATTTAAGCGCAATTGCCAAGGTTGTCAAAACAAAATTTGAATATTCAACTTTGTCTTGCTTTTTACAGCCTCCAGAAGGTCTGAACATCAATGCAATGTTTTGGTTCAAGATATTCCCGAAGAGACTTCTTCCGAAACCATTTATTCAAAGACAAATGGTTTTTAATTTTGAACCAGAGAAAATTGAACAACACTCAGACAACGAAAGGATGTTCTTGCAGTTAGAGCAAACAGAAAACTCAAAGGAAATGGATACAATTGAATTTATGAAATCTGACCAAATTAAGAAATTTATTTCTAAACTTGGCAATGATTTCGAAGAATTTGCTGTAAAATCAGCAATAAACAAACTGATTACACAAGGAAATTCCTTCGAAACGTTCTTAAATTACAAATTGTACTTAAATATGATTGAAAACTGGTCGAAGGTTGCCAACGATTATGAAACAATATTTACTGTTCCATATGCAGACAAATACACCAAAAAACTGATCGAAGACTTGAAAAAAGAAAAATTAATTCTTCAAAAAGCATTTTCAGTCTTTGATACAAGGCTCAGCCAACAATCAGCATTTTTTGCGATTGTTGAGCACAAAATGATTGACATTACTAAGAATAATCTCCCGACAATTAAAAAATTATCGGAATTGTTCAAACAAAGGCTCAACAACCCCGAAGAAGATGATCTAAATCCAATGCTCACAACCGTAGTAGGAAATAAACTCTACGCAACGGCAGTTGACAATTTACATTTAATTAATGGGGAAAAACTACTCAAAACATTCACTTTGATCATAAAAGTATCAAAGATACTATCCAAAGCCATGGAAATCGAAAACACAAAAACAAATTTGTTTAATTGTGCAATGCACATGAAAATAATCCCGGATCTTCCATTTTATTACATAATTTTGAATGAATTAGTAGTCAAAAATCAAAGATTTATTCCATTGATAAATGAAGAAGAACAAAGATGCTGGATCTTGTTTGAACAAGCAATTTTGAAGCTTGTGATCAAAGATCAAAAGATTGTTGATATTTTCTTCCCGTTCCAGGAAGTAATTGGAGAAAAATAATTAAAATTTCTGTTTTTATGTTTAATTATTTTGTTTTTTTCAAATAAAATATTGGCGTATATTTTAGTATTGCATAGATTTCCTATTCTTTTGGATATTTTTTTGGCATCGAAAAATTTCAAATTAAAATTCAATTTGGTATATAAAAGTTAGCTTTTCTCTAGCTAAAATAAATTGTTTGCATGCTTGCTTCATTAAATAATAGTGCCTAAAGAAAAATTTTGAAATTAAATCTAAATTATTCGTAATAAAGTGAAAATTGGCTGTGATGGTAATTTTAAAGAACACCAAATTTGTCGTTTGCAATCTTTAACGTTTGAAATATTTATTTGTTGTTCTTTTCAAAACCAAGTTATTTGAATAGTGTCTACCTATGGGAATATCGTTTTTACGTAGAGGCATGATATTATTATTGACAGTTTTTTGCTGTGGTTCTTCTTCAAATTCTGAAAATGGATTTTTCTGCAAAGTTGATTCTTGATTTATTGTTCTTTCAACTAAAGATGGGTATCCATCCATAGCACTCCTTGAAGTTATGCGTGGTTTTGGAGGAGAAATTGCTCTTTTTGACATTTTTGTAATTGCTCTATTCCATGTATTCATAATTTGCTTTTTCGTCAATTCAGCGTTTTTAATTTCGCGTTTTGCCTGATTCGGATTGTCGGATTTATGAATTTTAAAACCATCATCAACAGGAGTTGATCTGCTATCAATAGGAGTCCTGAGAAAATCATCAATTGCTTGATCTTTTTCAGGATCAACTTTATATGTGAAAAAACTTAGCTTGTCCATAAAAATAACGTAAAAAAATTTTGAAAAAAAAAAGTAGTCTCACGAAAAATCTGACAGGAAAAATTCGATGAAACCAGGTGCATTGTAAAGTGCACATATGGTGTAAATAAATGTCGATTCGCTTTGTAAAAAATATCCCACAGTTTTTGAAGTCTTGAAAACGGCCATTCAAAAAGGCGTAAGTAAAATTTAAAATTGAGAGAAAGTAGTCAAAATATTCTACGAGGTTCTCACAATTTCATATCACATTTCACTTACACCTTTTGTCCCGGCTATTTTTATTTTACATTTAACATTAACATGCAAAATAGATTATATCTATCAGAAAAACAATTATCAAAATTTGCACTTTTCTCAATATTCATCAAGGGACTTCAATTTTTTTACACCAATTTTGAAAGTTGAAATCCAAATAAATAAACTTACAGAAGTATATAATGAATTTTTATATAAATTGAATGAAATTAGATTTTCTATCAAGATATCGAACAATTCGCTTAACTTTTTCAATGTCATCGGAATCATCTTCGTCATCTTTGTTATTTACTTTATTTTCGTTTTCGTTGATATCAAAATAATAATATTTGCATTCTGAACTTGAAAATGTGTTAATATATTCAACAGAATTTGCTTGCGATGTTGCTGTATATTTATCTGCAAATGAATTATTAAAAACAAGTGAACCTTCCCAAAGATAAAATGTATAAGTGAATTCATTTAGTAAAATGCAGCAATCAAACATAGAAAGTTTTGTAGCTGTTGCTATTAATCTTCCTTCTGTATTAAGTTGTCTGTTTTCAGCATAACTACATGATATTGCTGAAATCAATTTATCACTATTTGATGACTGGTGATAACATAAACCAAAACTATCACTAGTTGATTGATTGTTTGATCTAATTGTGGTGTATTTTATAAATGAATCTGAGGAAATTCCTTGCATGTCATATCCTCCAATATCTTGATTGACTCTGTTTGATGTTATATTGCATCGATCAATGATTTGTCTGCCACCAACCATGACTATTTGAATACAGCATCCTCCTTCTAATACACCACAATCAAAAATTGTTGATTCATTAATTTCATTTTTATAATTTTCTTTTTCTGATACTTTGACCCAAAAAGAAGGACTCATTGCAGTATTTTTTGATTTAATATATGAATTTTGTTTTTGAACAAATTGACCTTTGTTATTAAAATAGAGAGATCCTCCATTTAGAGAACCTGAACTACAAAGTTCAAATTTTGTTGTAACAACTAAACATTTTGATTCATCACTGGTAAATTCAAATCGAACTGCTCCACTTGGATTTAAGTCGAAAAAATTAGATAAAGAAACGAAATAATTTAAGTTGTCGTTGACATTAATGACTTCGCTGTGATTTTTATATAAATGATTGTAATTAAAGTTATTATACACTTCATCCCAAGTATTATCATGATGAAGTCTGAACTTTTAAAATACTTGTAATGAGAAATGATGGAATTAAAAAATGTCACTTTTTTGGACAATGTTTTGTTTTTCTCCTTTAATCATTGAGCTCGATCCATATCAAATTAAAGTCGATAATTTTAATAATGTAAATACTTTTTCCCCTATCATTATCGATTAATAATGACGAAGAAGACTCTAGAGCTTCTATCGAATCTATTAGAGTTAATTATTCAGTATATATAGCTTTTATTGGATTTTTGATACCGAATCCTGTATAATGTATATAATTGTAGAATAAAACAAATGGTAACAAATTTCTACAAAGGTGATCATGTTAGCGCCTATATAGAGCAACTCATAGACTGAGAACAAATCAAACTGATAGTTTAGCCGCAATGAAATTAACATCTGCAAAACATTTTTATTACATTTTGAATACAAATAAATAAAATATGTTGTTTAATAAATAAAATCAATAAATTGAAAATTAAAATTAGATTCCAATAATTTGGATAACGCGGTCAAGGAATGTAAGTTTGTCTTCGTTCTTAGAGTTTGCTTTAGAATAAAGAATCTCATTTCGATCAACGGCAAGCTTAGGAAGTTCGATGTCGGGAAGTTTATCGTGAAGTTCAGTTGAAAAATCAATGCATGCGTAAAACATAGAGATGTCGGGTGAGTTAGAATCAACAACTAATGCACGTGCAATACAAATAGATGCTTGTTTATAAACTTTGTCAAGCCATGTTTTAACTTTATCTTCACCAAGAGATTTTGAGTATTTGACTTCAAGAATGCGGCATGTCCCACTGATACTTTCAACGCATGAACAATTACGAACTAACATGTCACATGCGAATTTGATCATGTCGTCATTGCCTTCACCGGTGTCGGTTTCGGTACGCCAGTATCGCTGAGCCATGATCTCAAGTGCTTCACCAACTGGATACTGAACTTTTGCAAGTGAACCGAGTTCGCGGGCAAGAAGAACTTGACTTGGACCTGAATTACCGTATTCTGGAGAACAAAGTTCAACTAAAAAGCGTGCAATGAAAATGCATTCGTCGGGGATGTAGACATCAAACAATGGTTTATCAAGACCAATAACTTCGTTGAAGATATGGTTACGGATATCATTAGACATAATGCAAAGAGATCGTAAGAAATCTGGGATACCACCCGATGCAAAATTATCGGGATAATAGATTTGCATACAATTGATCAACTGTTTAGTGTTAACTTTTGCTGTCTTAAAATAGCAGTCAAGAACAATGTTGACTTTGTCAAAACCAAGACGCTTCTTGCCTTTGTTGACTTGATAATATGCATGGTTAAATGCGGCAAAAAGTTTCATAACAGGACGCATGTTAGGATTATCAACTTTGTTAACACCCGAGTAGAATGAACAGATGTTTTCTTTAGAGTAGAAAATAGATGATGTGTTTGGATCTTTACTTAAGAGTTCCCAGCTCAAGATGAAATAGTCAGCATTCTTTCGCTTGATCTGCGACTCAATAACATCGATGTTCCACATACCTTTAGCAAATAATTTAGCGTTATCAACTGTTAAACGTTGCTCAACAAATGTGCGGACCTCATTAGACATGAAATCTTTGCAGATGGACTTGAAACAATCTGAATTAGCGATCTTTTCGGTACCACGTGTTGTGTTTGGGACAATCCGAAGTAATTGAAGGATCTGTTGATCATTGAAATGTCCTTTAACAATTGGGAAGCATCGGATGAATTTTGTGAATGAGTTTTTAGAGAAAAATTCGGTACCATCAACAATACTAGATTGTAACAAGTCGAATTCGCTCTCCAATGAATAGTTAGGAACAATACGCTCTTGTGTGATAACACTCAATGTGTCGATGAATGAGTTACCGCATTCAAACATAGCAGTGTTCATATGACCACGAACAACAATAAGTTTGATCAAGTTGAAGTAATGAACACATGGTGAGTATGAATTAAACTGTTCGCGCTTGATCTCGCGGTAGTAATAGCTCTCACGAAGTTTCCTGAATGTTGTTGTGATGTCGGGTAACATAGAGTGGAGAGACAAAAACAGATCGGTCAAGTGCTGTCGTTCCAAATCACTAAGTTCGTCTTTGCTGAAAATGAATGGGAAAACTGTGCCCAAAAGACTTTCAACTAGACTTCGAACGTTTTCTGATTTGCACATGATGAATGTTTGAAGGATCATTTGTGAAAGATTGATGAATGAATCACTAAAATCTTCTTTGTAATATCTGATTCGTTCGATAATTTCTGAAATGATCTCTATTTTGCTGTTGCTGCCTTTAAGTTCAATGGCCGAAACAATAGATGAACAAAATGATTTAGAGATGCTTTTATCAATGAAAAGTGATAAAACTAAGTAACTTGAGCATGTCAATGCGGTGATGTTCATGTCGGAATAGAAGACATTTGTCAAAAGAATTGCAAGGTTCTTGTCACTGCCGATGAATGAAGAAATGAATTTGCAAAATGACTTAGAGTGATTTCGTGGTTTGATGTAAATGTCAATGAACTGTTTGTTGATAACTTCGTGTGAAAATGACTGCTTATTTTCGTTTGAAATGTTGATCGATGAAAGAATTTCAAAAATAGTATCAACATTGACAATAGAAATAACAGATTCACGACTGTAGTTTGTTGCGAATGAAGGCAATGTAAGACAAACAAAATCTAATATTGTCTTGAAGATGTTTTCACCAATATCGAAATCAATTGAAACAATTTTAGAAATGATTCGCCAGAAATCGTCGAATACTTTGAAATATGGAGACAAATTAGGAATTCGTTGTAAAATATTTTGTTCGAAATGTTTTCTTTTCTCAGGTGATGATCGTTCAAGACTCTGAATGAAGATTGTTGCAAATGATTTCCTTGCAACGGCTGTGATGCCATTCAAGACGTATTTGTCGATTTGGTCGACGTTTTCAATAATAGAGTTTGCTAATTCTGGACGTGAATAAATCAACTGAACGAAGCGATCAATCAATGGAGAAATCTTTGATTCAGTGACATTCTCGTTGTTACAAAGAGATTCGATAGATTTGTAAAGGAATTTGCCATCAATATCAACATCTGAACAACTCAAAATCAATCTAGAATATTCACTTGATGAACATATATCTTTATATATGTTTTCTTTTGTTGATTTGATGAGTTCGTTTTTGACTGTCTCTGACATAGAAAGATTTTCATTTTGCCAGTTAACTTGTGAGTAGAAGAACATGTATCCTGAGATTTCTTTCTGACATGGGAAGTAATTAACAACATGTGTAAGATTTCCATAACCATTGCAGATGTCATTTCCGCCTGTACAGTCTTTGATCATTCGTTCTTCACTGATCTCGAAAACATTGGAATCATCATAGATGTACCATTTGTTGTCTTCGTATTTCTTAACATATGAAATATAGTGTCCTTCGAATTGATATCCTTTATGTGCCAAAACACCTCGTAACTCATAAACAGTGTCACTATTAGAATTACTATTTCCTAAGCCTAACAAATCAACTGAGTTATTAGAATTATTTGATAATCCTAATAAATCTACTGAATTATTATTATTAGAATTATTTCCTTCCATGTATTTGGAAATGTCGATTTTAAGAGGGAATTTAACTTCTTTGTTGTTTTTCTCTTTAAATCCTTGGTCGTTCTTTGTGAATCTCTGCAGTTGGACAACTAACAATTTAGATGGTTTAGAGATTTTGTCAACTTGAATTGCTGGTTTGACATTGCCACCAAATTTGTCAGTAGAAACGGTTTTTTCTGACAAGTAATTCTTGATTGCAATTTCCATGTCATCTGTGTTTGAAATTGAAACAGGAAGTAAAGAATAGAATCTATCTGTAAATTCTGTTTCTTCTTCGCATGACAATTTCCTTCTGATTTCGCCTCTTAAGACGGGTGTCAATCCAACATCAACTGATAAAATACTTCGAACTAATCGTCTGTAGAATTCTGGAGCATCATTTAATGAGCCACTTAAAATGTCAAAACCGTCGTCACTTTTCCAGTCCAAACAGAACTGAATTGGATTAACAAACTGGAGAGGAGTGAATGACAATTGTCCCAAAATTAATTGCAAATCTTTAAGAGCTTTATCAGTGTATTCTCTTGACAAAAACAAGTTGACAAACTGTGGAATGTTTTTCAGTAATTGGAGAATAGAAGAAAGGAAATCACATCTGTTATTGACATTAACAATGTAACAATTCTCTGGTGTAGTTGTTGGTTTCATGAATGGTTTTTCTTTTGGAATTTCCATGACAATCTTCTCGATTTCTTCGATTTTGTTTGAGATTGTTACAATCAATTCGTTGTTCTGCCTGAAAAGTTTGATAATCAATGAAATAACTTCACTAGATGGTTCATAGAAATTAAAACCGTTGAATAAAACAGAATCAACTAAAAATGTAAACAATTCATTCGCATTTGGAACTTTTTCAAATTTATTTGAAAGTTTGTCCAAAATCACGAAAACTCTTTGTGCAAATTCTGGTTTAACATTTCTTCTGTCTTGTATTGTTGACTGGTAGTATTCCTTCAAAATGGAAATACATGGATCCCACAATGGCTGTGGATTCTCAACAACTTCGGTGATTGGTGTCAATCGCTCGAAGAAAGCGTCTGATGGCTTGTTGACTGTGAATGAAAGAAGTGGCATCAACAATCTCGCTTGTGTCGGTGGAGGCAATGTAGAAATCAAATTCGAAATCTCATTTCTGACCGTTTTATTAGGATGGAAAATAGTAGAATTAAAGAGATCTATGAATGACTGGATCTGTTTCATCTGTTCGATATCAAAGTTTCTCACAATTGTCATCAATGGTGAAATGATTTTATCATTTGTAAGATTTGACAAACAGATTTGAATCAAATTTGACAATGCGTTGTTGTCAAATGCTGACCACATTTCTTTCTTGTAGTCTTCCCATTTCTTTGTGTTGACAATGAGTTTAACGACATTAAGTAAATAACTGAATTGTGATAAACCGATTTCATCATTAGAAAACAATTTCTTTGACATGAAAATGACAATTCCAAGTAGAACTTGGACACCGCCTGTCTTAAAGAAATAATCAATCCATTCTTCATGGTTTCCACTGATGATTGAACCAATTGTGTTCAATCGGTAGATCATCAAGTTCCTGATTTTAGATGAGAAGAAACTTGCCCATGATTGAGGAGTATTTGCATTCCTCAGTAAATTGTTTTGGCTCTCTAATGTTGGCAATAAATTCAAAATTTTCAATGAAACAGGAGATTGTTCGTTATCGTCTTTACAAAGAACGTTATATAATTGTGAGGTATATTTCTCCTGGTTTATGATTTGTGATGGGAAATACTTCGGAATGAAAGGTTTGTAATCCATGACATTGTAAACTTTGATTTCGAAAATTTTGTCTTCTTTCAATGAAAAGTTTTCGACTGAAGCATTTCCTTTCTGTGAAATCAAAGTAAATGAATAAGGATTTAACTGAACTAAGCTTGAAACTCTCAGTTTAAATGCATACAAGCTGAGTGAGATTGGAACAATGATTCGATATGTGTTTTCTGACAAAATCAAGTCAACAAAACTCATTTCATCATCTGGCAAATATTCATTCAAAGGAATGTATTTCATTGCCTTTCTGTCAACTCCATCTTCTACTTCGTGGATCAGTTTAAGAAGGATATTGAGGCTGGCAACGTTTTCTATGTTTGTGAAACATTTTTCTACAAAGCCTTGGATGGATTCTGGTGCTTCGCTGTGCAGATCAACCAAGTATTTCATAAATGATGGTGAATTAGATTTGAAATACGATTCCCAGATGATATCTAAGAACATAGGCCTGTCATTTATGAGGAGTCCACTGTATAACTGGTGAACTAAGTTAGTATTTGGCAATCTATGGCCGAAATTACAAAGTGATCTGATAATTGAAACTTTGTGGAGAGATTGGAAAGGATTGGATGTTGTGGCATTGAAGGACATGAAGAACTGCTCTAAATTGTACATGTCTGATTTGGCAATGATTTCCATAACATCTGAAAATTGTGTAAATTCTTCATCTGTAACTTTTCCTTTCAAAGCGTTAAGAATTCTTGAGAAGAAAGGAAGGTGTTTGACTTGCAGGAATGGAATGACTGATGATATGATGGCATGAAGAACTTCATCGTTAGCGCTGCCAAGTAATTCGGTTAATATCCTCATTCCGAGGTCTACGTTCTTTGTTTGCTTTATTTGGTCGGCCACTTGTCTCTGAACACCTCTCCTCATCTCTTGGTCCTTTGGAAGATAAGCAACGACTAATTGGAAATAAATTTCTTCTTGTTCGGGCAAACATGAGAAAGATGCGGCCAATATATCATCAAATAAAGTCTTCTTGTTGTTCTCAGTTGCTGTCGCTGAGATTTTGATCAAAAAGTTGATGATAGGATACGGATATTTCTTTCCATTGGAAATAGCATCGAATAAGTAGTTTCTGATCGATTGCTGGTAAATGTTAACTATGATTTTCCATGCTTGGACGTACTTGAACATCACATTTAACGGAGCATTGACTGTTTGTGCCCAAAGCTTGTTGCATTTCTCAATTGGAATGCGGTAAACAGGAGCAATCATCTCAATGAACTGGGCAAAGGTGACAATTACGTCTGGATGGCAGTTTGCGCACAATTCTCCAATAACTCCAGTTCTGTCAACGGAATCTGATACGTATTGTATGTTGTTTTGCGAAATTTGCTTTGTTACGCGCATGATCATGTTGAAACCACGTAATTGTTCTTCAGGATTTGTAGATTTGATGAATAATACGTTGATGTTAACGCAAGAAAGGAGGATCTGGCCTTTCTGGTCATCTTCTGTAGCAAAATCGCAAAGTTTTGTGTAGATCTCATCGATAATTCTGAAATCTGGGGTATCAAGAAGAATATTCTGGGAATTTCCTGTTTTTGTGATCAGTGCTGGTAATAAATACTTGAGGACTTCGTTAATGTAAACATGGTAAATACCAGTTGTCTTTAGAAGGTTCTCAATGTTTAAAATTAAGTTAATTTTTTCATATGTGACGTTTTGAGCAATGACTACTTTGATCACTTCGCAAAACTCTGGAACTGATATTGGTTTGAGTACTCTTGCATACAATTCTGAGTAATTTTGACCAGTAGTGTTAGATGTCGTATAAACAGGCGCTTGTGTATAAGTATACAATACTAAAGCGTCAGTAAGAAACTTGTCATAGCTCGATTTGAATAGAAATGCGTAAAAATTCGAAATAGACTCAAGTAAATTAATGATTTGAGGAAAATTGGTGTATTGTTCATAGCGAGTGTTCAAAATTATGTTAATAAGTGGGAAGATGAATGTCTCGATGAAAGTTTTGGTGTCTTTGCCGAAGGAATCACGAATCTTTCCACTGTCTTTAATCTCCTGGAACAAAGAGATTAGATTGTTAATGTTGCTGTCGTTTTTCACAAACTCAATATAATTATTGAGGAAGTTATTCTTCCATTGCAAAAAAGACTGCCGAGAATCACTCATTTTTTATCTTAAAAAAATTGAAATAAAAAATATGATCGTTCAAAAAATTCACCGAAGAGAAAAAAATATTGAAAGGGTTTGTTTGACAATTTGTATAGATGTAAATAAATTACCTGAAAGTAGGGCTGTCGATTTGGAAGATAATTTTTAGTTTCCGATTTTAGAAGATTTCGATGTAAACTAAAAGTGACAGTATATTATTAATAATAGTGTTAGTATGGTCTATTTCCATTATTCTTTGGGATCATTTTTGTAACAATTTTATTTCAAAATTTAAAAATTTAGTATATCTAATGCTCATTTATAAGCCCAATGTGCATATCCTTCGCTAAAATCTCATAATTAAGTAAGTGTTGAGTCTAGAATTCGAATACGAAAAATCTTACAAAGTTCTTCTCTCAATGTAGGATCTTCATTTAAAAAATAAAAGTGTTATATATAGGTTGTAAAATCACTTTTATAAAATGCTCAGAAAAAATGTTCGTAAGAAGATTTGAAAAGCAATATTAGCCGATATAATATGATAAGAGCCGACCAAATTAGTTAACCACATCAGCATAGAGAACATGGTGTCGATGCTCGATGGTTTCTTCAGTGTAATGGATGATTTAAAACAAAAGACAATAAAGAATTATCTGAAATTTATCAAGATATCAAATTTCTAATTGATTCATATAAACCCCCTCCAAATAAGATTCTTTCCGATATATATCATATATTTCATTATCAAACAAATTTTGAGGAATAGCACCCAAAAGTGATTAAAGACATTGATTTTGGTTTTGATTACCTATTAAATAAAGAATAGTGCTTGAAGAAAACAACAGATGGAAATTCGAGGAATGTGAATCTAAAAATTATTCATCGGATATTCATAAAGAGAATACAATTTACAGGACAATCATGGATGATGACAAAGTGTTATTAATCTCCATCATCGAAAAATTCTAATGTTAATGCTAAAGATAAAGATGGAAGAACTCCACTTCATGAAGCAGCATTCAAAAACAGTAAGGAAACAGTTGAAATTCTTATTTTATATGGTGCAAAAGTTAATGCTAAAGATGGAAGATCTTCACTTCATCAAACTGCATATTATGACAGCAAAAAAAAACAGAAATTTTTATTACACCTGGCGCAGATATCAATGCTGGAGATAAATATGGACAAACTCCACTTCATAAAGCAGCATATGACAACAGCAAAGAAACAAGAAAGTTCTTATTCTACATGGTACAGATATCAATGCTAATAATTAATTTAGAAAAATTTCACATCGATTTATCTAAATTATTGCACTTTCCTCTTATTGATTGGAATACCGGTGCTTTACGTTGGTAAATCATTTTTAAACCTCAAATGAGATGTATGACCATATGAGTCACATATGATCTAATCTGAATATGAGTGAGAATTGAGTTTAAAACGAAGTTTATTTTTTGGACTATATTTCACCATTTTAAAATGTGTAATAATGATATAATTCGCATGAAATGGGGAAAATATTGACTGGATACGTAATGGTTTTATAATTGAAATGATGATTTGACCGAATTTAAATGAATATATAACGCGATGAAATTTCGAATTGCTCAAATGTCAGTAATTCATATATGGTGCACATATTAATATTACACTTCGTTGATATTTAATATATAAACCTAATAAAATATATTAAGCCATTTTAAAGTTATATGAGGTTTAGTATCACAATGCACGGGTGAACCCTCAGACGATAACGATTAAATTACAAAATCGAAACGACCCGATGAAAGTAATTAATATGTAAGGTACTATATAAAAATGAAACCTTTCATTCTGTAAAACAAAGTTAAATGATTCATTTTAATGAAATTTTTATAAATATCTTTCGGAACTCTTTAAAAATAAAAAATCGTTTATATTTAAGATTCATAGCTGGTTATACCTAGTTCATATGATTTAGAAGTGCTTCCAATGATTTGCAAATAATTGTCATCACTAACAAAAGCGATTCTTCCATCTGCAAGTTTAACTTTGCCAGATGCTTTAGTAAAATCAACGGTATTGGTGCCATCGGAAATAGTTGCAATATGTGACATTTCAGTTTGTCCAAAGCGCCCAGGTTGAGAACAGAATATTTCTTTGAGGTTAAGAATTAAAGTGCGTTTATCTTCAAGTTCCCATTTATGAATTGGATGAAATGTCGGCGGGTAGCATCTCAATGTTCCGTAAAATAAGCTCAATAATATGAAGAGCATTTTGTTTTTTTTTAATGACAAATTACATCCTGCCACTATTTCAATTTAAAAAAAAATGGCAAATGACATTCTGCCACTAATTCAAATTTTAAAAAAGTGGCAAATAACATTCTGCCGCTAATTCTACATTTCTAATATTTTTTCTGAAATCCATGTGTTTCGAAATGAAAGATCAAGAAAATAGAAATAGTTCTTCAAAGTAGTTGAGTTTTGGAGTTATGAATATCGAATCGATACAAAATCGAAGATTATTCATTATTGCAGGAAAAAAGTCATTATGGTTGTCTCCCATATTGCAAATAGCGTACAAGCAACATCAATGAATAACGAAAAATATAATTTTTAATAAAGAGGTATAAGAAATAGAGAAAATAAAACTAATATAACTTTTATTCAATTGTGAAAACTGTATGAGTAAGTTATCAAAATGATAATATTATTTTTGAAAATTTGTTAATTTAAAGATGAGCATACTCATCGTGTACTTTTGGCTTTGTGCAAAGTCTAACAATAAGATCAACAATGATTGCAACACCAATAACAACTGATCCAATGATATATCTGTTTGTTTGAATGGCATCACCACCAAGGGTCTCAATGCATTGTCTGTCTGTCTGACGAGTAACATGTTCGCATGTAGTTTCATTTAACGCGACATTTCTAACGCATCTATTTTCATTTTCAGTTTTTCCAAAGCAGTAAAAGCATTCGTCTTTATGTTCCATGCAGAGGAGGCAAGAAGAATTATATGCAACGCATGGGTCAACTTCTGTTGCAGCTGATATTAGTGAAAAAAACAGTGCAAACATATGAAATTATTGATTTTCTATCGTTAAATTTTATGATCATACTCGGAACAAATTGTATTCGTAAATTCTTGATATCACCGTGGATGCGAATTTAATTTGATGCGAGCCGAAGTTCAAGGATTTATATACCATCTGACAAAAAAAAGTTCTTTCATAAAAAAACTCTTATTCTCCAAAGCATCTGATACAAGAATTAATAACTTTTATATCAAGAACTTTAATGAGCAAAGAATTTATGATTGAACCATATATGTAAGCTGTTCTGAATCCATATCAAAAATTTAAAAATTTATTTGAGATAGGGTAACATGGTTGACTTTTTATGAATTCTGGTTTCATTCGTTATTGATTTCAATGACTAAGACTTAAATTAGTTTTTTTATTTCTCAGTCCGAGGACTAAAAAGTGACAAAATGCCTGGATTTGTGCCTCTTCTTTATACTTGGAAGACGATTGGTGCTACATCATGGGCAATGGTTTTCTCATTGATACCATTTTTCTTTATTAATGTATTTTCAACATTTCTCGGTCACCATCTCGAATATATTCCTTTCTTTGTTTCATATATCGGTTTACCATTCTTAATTCTCTTCTACATTTTATGCCTAACAAGTGTTCCAGAAAGATATTATACTCTCTCGAAAACAGAATTCTTTTATAGAGTTATCTTCATGACTCTCCATATATTTTGGCTTTGGCAGCTAGGTTTGACATCATCAGATTACAGAGAATCGTTTATTGTTTCATTAGTCGTTACTTTCATTACAATGATGACAGAAAAATTCGTTTTACTTTTTAAACTCGAAAAGCGATCAAGATTCCAAAAAGTATTTGGATTTTACAGCCCACCAATTATTGCTATTGTTGTAACATCCATAATTTTAGCTTTTACTTTTAATTCAAAAATTATCGCTACAGTTGTTGTTGATTTTGTTATTTCTTCGCTAATATTAACAATAGCTGCAGTAGTTGCTGGAGAACGTGTCAGCTTCCAAGGAAATGGCTTACAACGCCTTATTATGTACTTAAACTCTCCAGACGAGTATTTACAATTCCTTGCTTACATAGATCTCTATGCAATTGCAAGAGGACCTGTGACACGTCGTTCTACAATACTTCGAGACACTTCTTTGCAATCTATCAATTCTATTCTCAAACCATGCCAAGAAATTCTTACGAAATACGCTCAACAGCAACAGCAAATCCAAAAATACCAAAGCCATATCTTCAGTCCACTTAGAGAAGGAATTTTAACAAAAATTTACAAGAAGATGGTCGCAGCTCAAATGAAGCTCTTGCGTGAGAAGCTTGCTCTTCAATGGTCCATTGTTGTCATGTTAGATGTCGAAAGTCTCATCATTCTCCTTTCATCCAAGAATGATACTTTTGGAATCATGCAAACTCAAATGAAAAACGTCAAAAAGAATCTCGAAGACATTCGTGACGTTGTAATACAGACAATTCAGACGTATTCATGGTCAACACCTGATTTTGGCCACAAATACGCTTATAAGACTCCAAAAGAACTTGTTCTTGCAACATACAACTCTATTAACAATGCTATTGATGCTCTTTCTCGTCTTGGTGTTAACTAATTTTTGATTTTTTAATATTTATTTTATTTTTATTTTGCAATAGAATTTAAACAACTTTCATGTGTTATATTTTGCTTATTTTCTACAAATCTCAATTGAAAAAACTTATAAAATTTTATTATTTTTTTAATTTCTTGAATAGTATTAAAACATAAAGAGATAAAGTATTTTGACATGAAAATAAACAATTTATAAAGACAATATTCAGTAATGATAGAACAAATAAAATTATTCGAAAATCTATGTATTAAAACATAAAATTTTGTCATTATCATGCGTTATCGCTCAATTGTAATCACATTATCTATTAGTGACTAAATTAGATCATTATCATTTCTAATTTTCATAATTCTTTAATTTTTTTGATTTGAAACACATCATTCAATGATTTATGTTTCAAACTAATAAATTCTTGTTACAATGGTTTACCTATTTGTGTTATAGCGAGTTAATGATGTCCAAAATGCGACACCTTCAAGAGGTGGAGGAGCTGGAGTAATTTCTGGCATTCTTGTACTTGGTACTGTATGTTTGAAGCTTTCTCCTGGGTTGACAGGAAGTTTTGGCTCTCCAAGTTGTTCTTTTTTGATGTTTAAAAATTCGTTTTTTCTTGACATCTGTTTGTCGAATGAATATTTGGAGCCCTTACGTGGAGTTTGTGCTGCTCTCTTAACAGGATGGTCTAATGCTGCTAATTCTTGTATAAAATCATTCCTTTCACGTTTGATTTCATTCAAAAATTCGACTCTTTGATTTCTTTTTGGTGTTGATATTTCTTTTGGTCCTAAATTAGTAATATGTGATCTAGGACGTATTTTATCTGATTGTGGAACAGCATCTTTATAATCTCTTTGGGAATCTTCCTTGAAAATAGGTTTCCTCGATGGTTGTCTCTCAAAAACTGTAACAGGAGTTGGTTTTTCAGGTGGAGGGTCACGTGTTGGTATATTTATTGTTATTGGCATGGTATATAAGTTTCTATCTTGTGGTTCATCTGGTAAAGTACGAAATATTTTATGATCTTCTTCAATAATTTTTGATCTTTTTGTTGTTAAACTTGGAACTATTGTTTCTTTAATATCGTATTCTCTTATATTTGTTTCGTATTCTTTAATAACTTCTGCTGCAGAAAAAGCCTTTTTGTTATTCCTTCTTCTGCGAGGACCAATTTTATGAGTTTGAATTTTTGTTTTTATTGCGTTAAAATTAGGAGTATAAGTACACGCATGAGGAGCAGCAGGATCAAATCGAGGAGGTACTGTATTATATTGTGTAATTGTGTGTTCACAATAAAAAGGTTTTACAAATTCTTGTTTTTGTGGTTTTGAATCGAGAGACATGATATGATCTATGTTTGCAGTAATTGTAGAATATGTTTTTGGAAAAGGTTCGAACTTTGTCTCTAAAACTGAAGGAACTGCTGGAGTAATATCTTCTGTACCAGTATGAAGTGGAACCATTGGCCAAAGGTCCATTCTATCAAGACTTTTCTCAACACGTGGATCAATTTGTTGAGAATAATGGTACATTTTTTATAAAAAATACCTTAGTATACGTTAAAAATTTTGGTACCTTTTTATTTTTGAACCCCCCTAAAATTTAGGATTTTTTTGACATGAATGAAGATACTGAGCGTAATGAGTTAATAAAAGAAATTAAGAAGGAGCTCAGGCTCTTCAAAGACATAACTGCCAAAATTCAGACACTAGGTGATAATAGACCTGCAGAAAATCCTTTTAAATTATATTCATATAGAAAATATGAAAATCCAACAATGACTGTTACATTAGAAGCATCAAAAGACATTCCTCATCAAGTAATTAAATACAAATATATCCAATCTACATCAAAAATCGTCTTTGCAACCGAAAGATGTTTATACATATGTCAAATACCGATCATTTATACGCCTGTTAAGATTACACTTACACTAGAAATGGGAAATTTAGTTGATTTTGCAATTTTGGATACATCAAGTATAATTGTTTGTCAATTAGATGACGGAAGCGTATTTCCATTCCTAATGAAAGAATGGGGTTGGGGAAATAAGATGCTTACTTCTACTCAAAATATTCAAATCTGTTCTTCAAAATCTCATTTCATGTTAATTGAGCAACCAAATTCTGTTTACATATCAGATTCTACTTTCCATCAAATATATAACAATCACATATGCTCTCAACAAATAGTTTTCGGTCAACTTTCAAAAAACGGAGAATTCGCTTGCTTTTATACAGATACTAACGAAATTCTAGTATTTTCAATATCTACTTTACAGATAATTCATACAGAAAAGGCTAATTGCCAGAGTTTTTCATTTTCGAATGATGATAAGAGTTTATTAGTTCAAAATCCATCGACAATATCCGTGTTCTCACTTGAAAAGAATTCTTTTGTATATGCTTATGATATTAAGAATTCTTGCGCTGATTTTGGAATTGATTTTTACACTGTACTTGGACAAACATCAGAAATGCCAAGAAAAGGTTTAATCTTCGTTGATATGAATGAAGGCAAATTATTATCACATTTGGTTTTAAATGATGAAGATATTATTGATTTCACTTCTGAACTCTCCGATGTTTATCATATTTGCATGAGAATCAAATCAAATACATTCGTTGTATTTAAAATTCGGCTAGGTGTTCCAATAACATAAATATTTACAGAAAAAATAGAATATTATTTTATAAAAATCGAATACAATCATTTGAAGATATAAGAATAGAATTTTATAACGTAGTCAAAGGCATATTCATACTTATGCTCTTCATGTTATGCAATTTCCCTCAATTTTTGTTTTTCTTGTTACCATTATAAGGGAAGATACTTTGTTTGTATTATATTGCACAAATTCTTTACAAGTTATAGGTGCAAGCGTCACAAATTTTCTCATTTAAAAAACTTACAAAATTAAGAGAATAAATCATAGTTTATGATAATAAAAATTACTGATTTATCCATTTATTTAATATATTTGTAATATTTTTGCTTGGATAGTTATAGTCAAAATATCGAGTGCATCAATTATAAAATTAACCAAGGCACATATAGATAATATGACTTCATATGTCATGTCATAATAGAAGACCTTCTCAATGGCCTCTTATTACTGCAAAATCAATTTGTGATATTTAATTTTGAAATAATTTTGGTCCAAAAACCAAACGCTCATTTTAGTTATAAGCTAAATATTAATAATATGATAATGAAAATGTTGTATTATATATTAAGGGTCTGTCACCATTACCCCTTAATTAGACGATTATTATGTGGAACGGTTTGGTCTTTCTTTTGAGCAAATGGTAGACAACAGATATACTCTTCGCCGCTCCCTTGGTTTCCACACAATCCGTAACCGTGTTGCTCCAGTCCGTACACCAGGCAACAAGCTCGTTGCTCACTACATTGCTAAGCGCCAGAATGGCCCACATTGTGCTGAGACAGGCAAGCGCATCAACGGTATCAAATGCGTCAAGACATGCGAACTTCGCCGCATGAAGAAGAACCAGAGAACAGTTTCCCGCCCATACGGTGGTGTCTACTGTGGTGCTGTTGTCAAAGATCGTATCATCAACGCTTTCATGGAAGAGGAAGCCCGCGCTGCCCAGGAACGCAAGTTAGCTAACGAGCAGAAGAAGAAGGGCAAGTAAATTAACTACCTCTTTATTATAAAATGCTTTATAAAAAAATGCAAAATTCTTTTTTTATAATAAAGAGTTTTTGTTTACAAAGATATTCATGTTTTCATTTTGGTCTTATGTAAATATTCAAAAACTCGTTAAATTTTCATCAAATCAAAAATTTATCTAATCAAGTTCATTATTTCAACAAATTGAGCCTAAGATTACTTATAGTATAAGGAAATAATATTATATTCTACTTCAGTTTACCTAAAACGAACAAAACAATTATCATTGTTCGAAAAATATTGATTATCAGTAAATATATTGTTAATAAAATTATAGAACAACTGCATTTGCAGGTGATTTAACCTATAAATCTGTAATTTGATATGAAAGCGAATAGAAAATTTATCAAAGAATGGAATTTTTTTGAGAATATTAGCAATTCATTACTAAAAATCCCTCTAAAGGAGTTGCTAAACCTTCTGGACCATATTTCCCAGAATTCAATGTGGAAAATCTTTTGATTTTGAGATAAATTTAGAAAAAAATTGAGATGTGTAAATTATTCAATTATTAAAAATCTAAATTCTGCATGGTAATATTAAATACAGCAAAATCGTATTCTAAATTCTTTGACGTTAAAAGTGACAAATATTTAATGTCTAAATTTTATGGTCCTCGTCGCAAAGTCAAGTCCATTGGCGAAGTTGAATTTCCTGAGGAAATATTAGCTTATGGTGAGATTTACGACAAACTTATCAATTTAAATCCCGAAACTGTTTCAGATTCTCAAACATATTTGAATAATTTCCTGAAAGCAAATCCCCATGAGCTGTACATGGTAATATACCTTATATCGAAAATATGGATCTCGAGGCCAAAACAACTTAAACTTTACGCTGATTTAATTGTTACAATCATGAAAAGCCATTCTAAAGGCTGTCACTCAATTCCAAGCTCATTTTCCGAAGCTTCATCTTCTAAAGATATTTTCATCGAAAAATTAAGCCTTTATTTGCCTTTGGTGCTCGAAAAACGTAAATGTAAATTATTTAAAGCAGATCCTAGTTACTCGAGTAATCGCAGTGCTAGGATAGAAGACTTGTTAACAATATACCCTCAAAACACTGCAGGATTCTATATAATCAACGATATGTTACCAGAAATTCAAACATTTATGGCTGATCCAAATTATAAGTTTAACTTGCAACTAGTGTCAACAATACATAGTACTCCGATCTCTCCAATCGAATTGGCTGCAAGATTTGGCTCCATAAACATTTTCAAATTTTTCTTACTCAACAACATTGAATTCAGCACTGGAGGAATGTTCGATGCCATTATTGGCGGAAATTACGAGATAATTCGAACTTGTGAAAATCTTGGCACAAAATGCGAAGATCCGTTCGAAGTTGCAGTTATGGCTAATCAAAATGATGTTGCTGATTGGTTCCTAGAAAATCAAGAGTGTAAAATCATTCCTCCGGCTCAAATAATTGAAAATGGAAATTTAAGGGCTCTAATCTTCGGAATTCTTAATAAATCAAAGCTGGATGTGTCCTATAACCGCCTTGGTTTATTGGCTCGTGTTTCTGACCTTGGTTCATTAAAATTAGCAGAATATTCTATTAATTGCGGCGCCGATCCATCAAAACAGACCACATCGAAGAAAATACCACTCTCTTTCGCTGCAATCAACAAAGATGTCGAAATGGCCAAACTTCTCCTTCAACATAATTCTCCAGTAAATTTAACTAAGCGTTCTCCACTCCACGATGCCGCAGAGTCAGGATCCGTCGAGATATGCAAGCTTCTGATTGAAAATCACGCGGATGTTAATCAATTGGCCGCAAAAAGATGGACACCTTTACATTTCGCAGCCTGGAACAATAATATTGATGTTGCGAAGTGTTTAGTTGATAACGGTGCTGATATTAATGCCATGGCCTACAAACTTGAGTATGGAATGTTCGAAGATATGACTCCAAACCAAACACCACTTATGTTTGCTGCTTTGCAGAATAACAGGGACTTTGCATTATTCCTAGTTGATAAAGGAGCCGAAATCGATGATAAATCCCGTAAATTACTTAAAATTAGGAAGAAACGAGCTCCTAACGGTACATGGAAGAAGAAACCAACTGCCAGAGAACAAATGTTAAGGATAGCAGAGCTCCATGGATTAACTTCGTGGGGACGTCCATTATTACCTCCAGGACTCGCATCTCCACTGGGAACCTTCAATTTCCCTCCAACTCCGAGAACTCCTCCATCTGTGACATCTGTGTCTCCTGTAACAACGCCAGAAAAGACAAAAATCGAAATTTCGAAACTTGAAGATAAAAAAGAATTCCACTCTATCATTATTCCTGAGAAAAAGAAAACTCCCAAGCTGAAAACACCGGTAAAGATCGATTCAAACCCAGTCAAACCAGAAATTTTTTGATTAATAATTTTGAATAAAAATTTTTGTTTGTTTTTGTCATCATTTTAAAATTAAACTTTATTTATGAACTATATCATTGTACATGATTCTTTATTTCTTAATAATTAATTTGATAAAAATAATATTTAAATTTGTTTGTACTAAAATCAGATATATAATCATTAGATATTCTGTAATATTCTTGATTTTTGATTTTTTATTATATTTTAAAATAAATTATGCTGAATTCATTTAATTGTCTTTAATTTGATGGTAAATTGATAAGTTTTATGGAGATTTTGTCTTCGATAAGCTAGTAGCCATAGTCATGCTCATGAATAATAAATTTAGTAGGGCGGATCAGGTTCTAATAACTGCAAAAAAATATTCATTTTAATTGATAGTTTAATACAATAATTATGATTTTCAAGATTGATATTTTTCATTTCAATATTTATAGGTCAATTCAATTTTAGTACAGTTTCTCTGAATTTTTTTGACAGATAAAATCTTCAAATGAGAAAATCAGAATCAGTTCACGGAATATTTATATACTTGATTTCAATTAATCATTCAATAAATAATCTAGCAATTTTCCTCATTTTATTTCACGTTTATTGAGAAATTCATATATATCGGCGCAATTTAAACCGAAATATAATGATCATCAAAATTTGTTAATATTGAGGCCAACCTTATGATTCTCCTTTGTTTCTTCTATATAGATATGTTTGGGCATTATACTAAAGACATCAATTCAAAATTTTGAATATTAATATTTGAGAAATTAATTCAGAAAAATTGTGTTTAAAATATTGAACCGACTCACAAAATATAATCATCGGGTTCGGCCAAACTATGTTGATTGGTTCCGTCAATCAGAATATCGCAATTTTCGTTTGAATTCACGTATTGAAAAATTTTTTCATAAGTGAAAAAGCCTCAGATTAACTTCAATTCGGGGGTTTCCATCATCAAACTATGTTAAACTATACTAGTTATCCCAGCAATTGCATTGGATACTCATCAGCGCATCAATGAAAATCAATTTTTTTCAATTTAAAGACAAAAAAGATATATACATGTATTATTAAATATAATGCGTAGTAACCAACAATTATGGATCGTTGCATTACAGATTCAAGAATTATTAATTAATTCAATCAAATTTATTTCACAGAATTGATATAATATTAATAGAAATGGCAATTCAAATCCAGGATGCAGAATATAATGATTAATAATAAAATTATTGATAATTATAAAATAATCAATAAAAAAAATATCCAAAAATTTTCAAAAATGTTACAAATCATACATATTCATTGTTATGATATCATCTATTACGATCAAATTGTTCAAAATATTCGATAAAAGGCTCGGCAGTTTATTGTAAAAAATATAAAACTCGCCGGCGAATTTTTCAATCAGATTGGAGATTTATCGCGTTATCAGGTTAATAATGGATATTTCTATCAAATTTTAATTGATGATTTACGGGACACTTTCCAATGTCAAAAACGTTTCAAGACTACATCTTTAGAATCTATTCGGCATTTCATATTTCTTAAAATTAAGAAAAAGCCTGTAAAAACTCATTACAAATTTTTCTCTCAAATCATAAATTCAATCGCTCTCAATTTTAGATGTCAATTGAATTTTTGAATTGAAAAATAGAGATCGAAAAATTATTAATGTTTTTGATCTATCTTAAGGTTGTTTGCATGAAAACATCTCTAATATATGGCAATATTCATTTTTCAAATTTGCATTCGGAAATTTATACGAACGAATGGGTTAAAAACTGTTTACTTCATGTAATGGAATGTATAACAAATTAATTTCTCACTGCTCACATTTTTCGCTATTGACATTATAATCCTGGTTCAAAAAGGTTCATCAATGAGTTCTCAAATGAACCTATAAAGAATTACAACTTTGATGTTCAATACGTTCCAAAATCCAAATTTTTAATATATACAACACAATAAATGCAGTTAAACTTTAGCATGATCCACTTCTAACTTAAAAATAGGTAGATATACCAAGGTATTTTTTGAAAAACAATTTTCAGAGATCATATAAATTGCATTGTGATGAATATTTGCACATTGACCACTTATCAAAAACCTTTTTCTCGCCTGAAATCATGTATCCCAAACCATCCTAAGGTCATTCTATAGAAAATATAGTATTTATTTTTTCAATATTTCCTCAATCTTGAACATTCAAAAATCAGAATATCAAAAAATACTCATGAATTTTCAATCATTAAATTTGCATATGAAATAACATAATGGAACCACTAGCCACTTTAGCACTTTTGATATGGGAATTTAAGTATTGAGATCAGCAGTAATTCTTAAATTTTTTATTCGGTTAATTTTACTGAGAATCAAATCCTAAGCATAGAAATCACGGATTGAAAATCAGAACGGTTTGCATTCTAAAAAATTGAATCGAGAAAATTCAATAAACCTATGAATAAAATCATTCAATATTGACTTCATCATGTATTGAACTTCAAGCTGAAATAGAGCATTAATATCTTATTTCCTTTATTAACCCAAAATCATAGAACTACAAATAAAATTTCTCAAATTTTCTGAACTACAGAAATTCATTTTTTGATAACAGAGTTAGATAGCATCAGCCATGTTCCAGTACAAGCAGTTCTTGAATTTCCCACACATTGAAGAGCACGCAAGACTTTCCAAGCTTTCATCTCAGTCCCAGCGCGATTTTGAGAATATTCAGAAAAGAATGATCAAAGTTGGCTCAAAAGTAGATTTTGTCAACTATTATGTTGATAAATTCTTTGGTATCCATGTAAATATCTCTATTCTCACTTCAATTGCAAAAATTATTGAGCAAAAATATAATGTACCTATTGATAGGCTCGCAAAGAGGAGTAGAAAGGCCATGTTATGATGGTATGCAGAAAATTGGTTCTTAGTCACCAAAATCCTTGATGACATGAAAACTGATATAAAGAAAGTTTCACGAAGAACAAAGAAAGTTGAGAAGGATTTGGATCAAATTTTTGATTCAAAGATTGATGTTCCACCACCCACAATTGACCCGACGGATTTATCCTATCTCTTAAACTTCCATAGTGATTAAATTATTACTGTTTAAAAGCTTTTATTGTAATTTTGGAATATTTCCTACATTTTCGATGATATAGACGCAATTTTTATAATTAAAAAGACCCTATATGTAAATCAAAAGTTATGAATTAAATGTAGAATATAATTTGCAATATCGTAGTAAACTTGTTTTAATACTTGATTGTATCATCAAGTATATCTTAAAACTTGTTATACTTAATTAAATAAAAACCAATTAATCTTAAAACCTATTTTACAAGAAAGATTAATAACAATAGTATAGAATTTTTGTATTCTTACAGCTATATAGCTCAAATTTCATTAATTTGGAATAAATTTTCTCACTTTTTTTCACTTCCAAATCTGACACTTTACATTGTAAATTATAAGTTTTAAGATAATAAAGTTTTTAAAGATATCTTTATTTAATATGATAAAATACGAACTTTTAATTACTATGAAAATTAGTTTATAATCTAAAAAGAGCGATAATATGAAAGATGTTTTATGATATCAAATGAATGAAATTAGATGTTTTATTAAGATATCGGACAATTTGTTTAACTTTTTCAATATCATCTAATTCATCTTCTTCATCTTGACTATTTCCTTCAATTTCGTTTTCGAAGATATCGATATAATATTTGCATTCTGAATTTGCAAATGTGTTAATATATTCAACAGAATTTGTTTGCGATATTGCTGAATATTTATCTGCAAATGAATTATTAAAAACAATTGAACCTTGATCTCTTAGATAAAATGTATAAGGAATTTCATTTCTTAAAATGCAGCAATCAAACATAGAAAGCTTTGAATATGTTGCTATTAATTTTCCATCTCTTCCAGAATCTACGTTTTCAACATAATTACATGATATTGATGAAATCGATTTTCCGGACCATAATGAATAATGATAGCACATGCCATACTCAAAACTAGTCTGTTGTATATTTTTTCGCTGGGCAAATTTGTCGCTGCCCCAATATTTATATCGGCGAGTTTTGTAAAGATTTTGATATGTCATTTTCAAATTTGATGAAGTTACTAAATAGAGGAGATGTTATTACCGCATGAGAAACAGATCACTTTGATAAATTCTTGGATAGATCCATTGTTGAACTAAACAAAACTAACAATGAATTGTCAGAAAATCGAAAATCGGTTGATATTTATAGTAATTTCAGATTAATATAATCGTTAATATTTGAATCACATTTCCTATATTAATCGTTGAATATTCGAAATTTTCTATGATTCAAATATTAACGATTCATATTTGAATATTCGAAATTTTCTATGTTGTTATTGTGGAATACGAACATGAACTTTGATAAGCAAATGGACTTGGATTTTCTGGAATCTGAACTCTGAAGTTCAAATATGATGTAATAATGGAAAGCTTCGCTTCATTGCATTATTATTGTCTTCAATGGTCTGAAATATGTTAATAAAAGATTATTTGGACTAGTCAAAGAATTAAATTTTTATAAAAATTGAATGAAATTAGATTTTCTATCAAGATATCGAACAATTCGTTTGATTTTTTCAACGTCATATAATTCAGCTTCTTCATATTCACTATTTTCTTTATTTTCATTTTCGATAATATCTACTTGATAATATTTGCATTCTGAACTTGCAAATGTGTTAACATATTTAACAGAGCTTGCCTCTGATGTTGCTGAATATTTGTCTGCAAATGAACTATTAAATACGATCGAGCCTTGACTAATGAGATAAAATGTATAAGTGAATTCATTTCTTAAAATGCAGCAATCAAACATAGAAAGTTTTGTAGCTGTTGCTATTAATCTTCCATCTGTATTAATCTGTCTGTTTTCAACATAACTACATGAAATTGCTGAAATCAATTTATCATAAGTTGATGAATGGTGATAACATAAACCAAAATAATAACTAGTTGATTGATTGTTTGATCTAATTGTGGTGTATTTTATAAATGAATCTGTGGAAATTGATGACATTGAGTATCCTCCAATATCTTCATTGACTCTGTTTGATGTGATATTACATCGATCAATGATTTGTCTGCCACCATCCATGTATATTAGAAGACGACATCCTCCTTCTAATACACCACAATCGAAAATTGTGGATTCATTAATTTCATTTTTATAATTTTTTATTGCAGATACATAGACACAAAAAGAAGGACTCATTGCAGTATTTTTTGATTTAATAAATGAATTTTGTTTTTGAACAAATTGACCTTTATCATATAAATAGAGAGATCTTCCATTTTGTGAACCTGAACTACAAAGTTCAAAATTTGTTGTAACAACTAAACATTTTGCTTCATCTTTGTTAAATTTAAATCGAACTGCTCCACCTGTAGTTAAGTTGAAGAATTTAGAAAAAGAAACGAAATAGTTTAAGTTGTCGGATACAGAAATGCGTTTACTGTGATTTTGATATACACTTCATCCCAAGTATTATCATGATGAAATTTGAACCTTTAAGGGTGCATTTACGCCCCTATTACATGACCTTCAATTCAGATGTTTAAGGTTAATTTTCAATGAGATTTTACGCCAGTTGTCAAAAAAATTGAATAAAAGTCAGAAGGTTATGAAAAAATTTAAGGGTGCTGGAAAGTGAGGTGACGCAATTTCAATTTTTCATTGTAGTAAAGATCTTAATGATATTGAAACATATATTAGTAGTGTATATACTAAGGTTTTTATTTCTATGATATTGAGGTCTTGGATACTTCCAGTATGAAGAAAACTGTTTCGCAATTTTCCAACTTGCGGACCTATCTAGTCCCTGGTTATTCCATGGCAGGGGCTGATACTGCAGGAATGATATCTAGGTACAAGATACTAGATATTTTATAGAAAACATTTGGCACTTGTTAAAAAGTGTCGAGATGCAATTAGTGGGTAACTTCAAAACTAAGACCGATTGCACTACCATCTCACTGAATTCTGCTAATTACCATTAGTGAACAAACCCAATGGTAGTGGTTTCCAGTCGAAATGGTCTCATTCAAAGTTTAATTAGATTTGTATCTAGTCCTCCAATATTGTGTTTAAGCCAGTGAGATACATTAAACACAAAATTTCAATAGTTATACTAAAAGTTTTACAGAACAAAATTTATTTTCAATTCTCATATGTTGAGATAAATGCACTTTTTCCCTTCCAGATTTTAAAAATTTTGTATGATTTTTGTATGTTTTCGATAACCTTATAATCATAAACATCGTTTTCACTTAGTTTGAATATGATACTATGATACATCATCACTTAAGGTTTATACTCATATAAACAAAACAAAATAAAAATGATTTTATGGGTTTGAAAAGTGTTGTTTTTATAATAGCTTTCACTTCACTTTCCGGCACCCTTAAGGCTTCACTAACATGACAAAAATTAAAGTCCCTTGAGATATATGTTCTATGATGTATATCAACGCTATATTTATCATTCTTTTTAATTTTTATTGACCCACCCAAAAAAAGCCTTCTTCCACTAACATGAGTTATAACGTGCTTTTTCTGAAAATGATAGACTATGATTAATATATATCGTAGAGCATATTTTTTCATCTTTTTAAAAATTTTGAATATTTTTTGTCATGTTAGTGAAGCCTTAATAAAAAATTGACCATCGACATTTTATCTCAAACAAAAAGTCTTTTTAAAAATAAACCTATAATATATTTATTAAAAAAATTAAAAAATACAAACAAAAACAAATATTAAGTAATAAATATCTAAGGAGGTAATGATTGTAATGATTTTGAAATGTCATCACCAAATTTGATGTAGTTACTAAATAGAGGAGAGATGTTATGACCACATGAGAAACAGATTTCTTTGATAAATTCTTGGATAGAACCATTGTTGATGGAAACAAATTTAACAATGGATTGTGAGAAAATTGAAAATCCAAATCGGTTGATGAAATAGTCTAATGCAATGTTAAGACCCTCTAAATATTGATCAGATGAATTACTATTGAAAATACGTTTCATGATGCACTGTGATGACATGTTGCAAATGATGTCTTCAATGTCAATTTTGATTTCAAAATGTCCTAATCGAAGTCGAATTAATCGAGAGATGAAATTCTTAAGTTCATCTGATGGATTCATCGGATTAATTAAACTAGATAAATTGTCATAATGAATAGATATAGGATATATGTCGTTATAAATATCACCATCTGTGATGTCAAATACAATGATGGGTTTGAAATCGAGTTGAAATGGAATCATTGTTTCGATTTCATGATTAATTTTTTGATAGAATGAAATGATGTCTGATTCATTATGTTCAATGACAGTATCAGATGGAATGATGAAATAAAAGAGTTCTAAATCAATGATTTTAAATGGACTGTATTCGATGTCTGCAACATTGCTAAGAGTAATATCAACAGTGGTGGATTTGTCTGAGATCAAAAATAAAAAACCACCATAATCTGAATAGATTTCACCTGATTGAAATCGTTTAACAATATTAGGATATCGATTCCATGGACATTGACAGGAAATAAGATTGTCTGTATGACAACCAACTTGAAGAAAAACAGAGTCATCGGAACATATAAAACTAGAAATAGTTTTTGGTGGTAAAAATATGTTAAGGAATGTCCATTCATTTGCTTTTGTTTTGATTTGTGTTTTGAATTCATGTAATGGACATTCAACACTTGGAACTAAATCTTTGTGAAATTTGTATGGAAGTCGCTGCGAAATGTCATCAAGAAGGATCATACAATAATTTGATGAAATAGTTTGGTTTTCTTGGATGTAATCATACAAAGGATTATAAATCTGTGTTAATTTGTCAATATCTGTTAAATCTTTAATATGGATCCTTATTTGTGTGAGAATATCATCAATAATATTGATATTTGTGTCTTCTTTAGATAAATGATGCTGCAAAGTGTAAAAGAAAGAAATTAAATTATAAGATGAAACATCTGCGAAAGATTTTGGTAAAATGACTTTTAGATTGTTATTATTAGCTATTGGTTCGTATCTTTCAAATAGAAGACTGTGTTTTTGAAGGAATTTGTTCCAATTATTAAATTCTTTATTAAAAATAACGATCACTGATCCTCCTGAGAAGATAAAATCGTGTATCTTAGAATCTAATTCGTCTGTATATTCTATGTCTGTTGAAATAATCATTGTAGAATAAAAATTAAAGTCAGAATCAACATTTCCAATTTCATTTTCGATTTTTAGCTTTTTAAGTTGAGTACTAAGCATATTTGACTCTTTAGATATGATTATCGATGTTGTTATGTTATTTTTTCTATTGAAAATTTTGAATAAATTTTTAATTAATTTGCTATTATCAGATTTTTCAAGATATTCTGGCTGAAGTAACTGTATAGTAGATGTTGCAGCAATTCTAAATGCGTTTTTTGCATGAATTGATAGTAACGGAAATAATATTTCTTTCATTTCTGGATTTTGATCGTAAAATGATAAAATTATTGGTATTGAGAATCTGTCCAAACTCAATGCTAAGATATCTGTTATAGGATACTTTATTTCATGTACATCTGAGAGTAAAGATTGGTAAATCATTTGGCAATGATTAACTTCAGATGTAGAGACTATTGAAAATGCGGATGATTTGAAGCCTGGTGATAAGAGCAAAGGTTTTTCTGCAACTACTTGGTCTTTTACCGAAGATCCAACACATCCCATTTTTTTGAGCAGAAAAAAATTACTCTGCCCTTGAAAATAATTAGATTTTCAATGAAAATTGGATATTATATGATGCATACATTTCATTTTAAGAATAAATTTTTACAAAAATTGATTTTTAAGTGTCACTTTTCGAGCACTTTTATCATCCAGAACGTTATGGAAACAACATCTAGTTCAACACAGCCACAGCAACGCCCAGATGTTCGTGTTTACTTAGAAGAAAAGGTTTTCCCGATTCTTACAACTGGATTAGACGAACTTTTAACAGCTGTTGAAGAAAGAGAAAAGAAAATTAAAGATGGAGAAGAAGTTCCTGAAATAAATCCGTCATTCTTCCTTGCAAGATATTTAATGCGTTGTGCCCAACAGAAAAGTCACTCAACTTCAACAGAAGAATCAGCAGCGATTAGCACTCACAGAAGTGAAAAATCAGACGAAGAACAGAAAGAAGAACAACCTACAGAGGAAAATGCTCCTGAAGAAGAAGCCAAATAATTTCATATTTTTCTATGAAAATTTTTATATTGTTAATTTCTTTTCTTATCAATTAGAATTGTTAAATTTTGAAATGTTATCTATTTACATATTAAATCTTCTTTAAATTTCAGCAAAATTAAGTACAATATTAAATATCAGAAAACTTTTGATGAATTACGTTAAATTCTGAAAGAATTGAGTGTATCTTTTTTATATTTCCGTCTAAAAGAAGTGCTTTCATAACTTTTAACGCATAATAACAATTTTTTTTGTATTCATTCAACAATAAGCAATTCTAAGTTAATGAAAATGAATATAAAGGAGCTATACTTCTATTTCAAATAGATTCTGTTGTTTTAAGATTGAAATAAAATAAATTTTATTGGAAATTTTGTTTGAATTTTAGAAAAAAATGGATGATTTATACAAAATAATAATATAGTACACCGATTTTATTACAATAAAAGAAATACAAAAATATAATCAAAAAAATTATATTCAAAAATAACAATTACTGTTTTGTAGCGAATCTTATGCATAAGTTAGGCTCAAGATTAGCAACACTTCTCTGTGGATCGCTTGAAGAAGGGTTTTTGAAGCCAGATGCTGTTGTTTGAGACTTTTGTTGGGTAATTACGACCAATTCCTTCGAATTCTGTTCGATGGAAGCATCTATAGGTATTCCTGTACCGCAAGGAACGTCGAAAATGCACTTATCCATTCTGATATCCCATCCTTTTACAGTGCCATCTTCTCCGCCCGTAAGAATTACGTTATCTTCACCGCTATCGTTGTTTACAAAAGTTAATGAGCCAATGTGTCTCATTATTTGGGATAATTGCTGTCTCTGCCTTACATCCCAGATTCTGGCGGTCGAATCGGCCGAACCGCTGACGAGGAGGTTGTTTCCGACCTTGTTGAGGCATGTAACTGATGCTGCGTGGTCAATTAAAACAGAAACTAACTTATTCTGGGCTACGTCGAGAACGTGAATGGAATGGTGGTTCTTCGATGCAATACAAAGACTGTCTGCAGCTTCTGTAGCGGAATTGACGCTTGGAAGGTTTGTATTTAAAGAAAATATCGGATTTACGCTTTGATCATTGTAAATAGAGATATTTCTCCTCGAGCAAAGTATTGTTTGGTCTTTATATGATGTAATGCATGAGGAAAGATATAGTGGTGTCGTTGAAATTAATGGTTCTAAATTATTTTCTTGATTTATACGATGAACATGCTTTCCTGCTGCTAAGTAGAACGTGTTATTAAGTTTGTTGTAATAAAATGAAGTAATAGAGTTATGAATATTGAGATTTATCGTTTGATTGTTGTATTTCAGTATATGTTGTTGATTTTCTGTATCAAAGTACACTATAGCTGGCATTCCGTTTGCATTGGCAACTCCATTTTCGAGCATTGCAAAGTTTTCGATAGATTTTTCATTGTATACGCGAATTAATGGTTGATGGCCAAATGTATTTGTTGCAAAACCTTCAGGCATCGATTGCTGAGCTATTATAGGATGTAATTGCTCAATTGGCATAACATTTGTGAGAAAATTATTATTTAAGCTTTGTGCGAGAATTGCAGTGAGATCTACTTCAAGATCCTTCTGCTCTTGTATTGTTCCTTTCGGTGCGAGTATGATTGTCGAGATAGGAGGCGTAGTTTGGTAGGAAAAAGGATGAGGAGAAGGAGGAGGGAAAGTTGGTGCGAACTGAGCGACACTTGATGAGCGTGGAGGTATTATTCTCTTCTTGGGAGGCACAAACTGTGAACTGATTGGCGCTACACTGAGCATAGGTGACGTTTCGGAAATAGGAGGTGCAAATGTAACTGTAGGCTCTGGTTTAAGGAATGTTTTCTTGTTATTGTTAAACCATAACCTAACGGATCTGTTATTCCATCGATTGCTGATCTTCTGAAGCTCATGAGTGATGTTTTGAACGATTTGAGTGCGTTGTTCTGACCTTTCAGGGTAACTAAAGTACTTCTCAATGGAAGATATCAATATCTCTTGCTCTTGCTGGCGTGGAAAATAACGCCCTTCCTTGATATCCTCATCTATACTCATTAGATTTTTATTGTGACGGCCACAAAAATCTTCTGACATAAAAATTGAACATGTCTGCTTGATTTTTGATAAATTTGTAAAGTTCTTGATTTTAACATTTTTTCTGTTCACCTCTCCATTTCAATGGAGTAGATTTTTGTTTATTTCTCATGAGGTATCAAAATAATGAGCTTTTTGGTTTTTTAAAATTTTCTTGTCAATTTGTTTATATGAAAAGTGACATGTAATAATGCCAAATATTGTTGATTTTCGGATTTCAATCGATATTGAGATTAAAGAATTTGAACATCTGGACTTGGTTCATAATAACTATTTAAAAGCAAGGAAAACGATTTGTAATATTGATTAATAAGTTCTAAACCATGATAATTACCAAATCATTCACATTTTATTTGAAAAGATTATTTATATTTATTTCATAAAATTCATGAAATGAATTAATCGTCCAAGTCCCAGTAGTATATTGGTTAGAATAGATCCTTGACACGGATCAGAGGCCAGTTCGATTCTGGCCTGGGACATTTTTTTCTTTTATTAATTTTTTTGACAAATGCTCAAAAATCATCTATCATAATCAATAGAGTGGAATTCGAAACCACAATGATAAGTTTTTGCCAATCATTCTGAATCGATTGATTCTTTGAATGAAGAAAAAGACATATACCATCGATTCTTTGAAAGATATTAAATGAATAATCATAGATTCATGGAATATATATTAAGAATCTATGATATCTAAGGCATATATTCTCAAAATAACTAAACTATGACATTATCATCAAGGGAGAGATCGATTATTCGTGTCCTGTCGAAGTTGATTATGACGTATGATAGATGATTTTTGAGCATTTGTCAAAAAAATTAATAAAAGAAAAAAATGTCCCAGGCCAGAATCGAACTGGCCTCTGATCCGTGTCAAGGATCTATTCTAACCAATATACTACTGGGACTTGGACGATTAATTCATTTCATGAATTTTATGAAATAAATATAAATAATCTTTTCAAATAAAATGTGAATGATTTGGTAATTATCATGGTTTAGAACTTTGAGAAATAGCACAAAAAGAAAATGCTTCAAATTTGATTTAATTTATAACAAACAGAATATTTTACTAAACTAGACGTATTATATTTTAGCTTTTAGCTCATTTTCGGCTATTTGGTTTAGTTCTTCTTCTTGGTTCTTTAATTTAGTAACTAAATCATCATTAATTTTGAAATGTTCCCTCTGTTTAGGATGCTGACGCTTCTTCGCATGATAGAATGCAGCACCTTCTGCGAAACATTCATCTGGTCTTGATATTGTAACTTTTGATTCTTCAACTCCGAAACTTGTTGCAACAACTTTTTTAATAATTGGAATCTTGGAAGATCCACCTTGTAGGTATATTGCATTGAGTTTTCCTTTGCCAGCTATTCCTTGTCTGACGTTTTTAATGAGAGTATTGATTTTTGTTTTAAGATCTTGAATTATTGGAAGCTTTTCCAGCTCTGAACGATCTACTTTCAAGGATATTTTGCTTCCAGTTGATACGCCAAGTGGATTGAATACGATTTGATGAGATGATGATAAATTTTCTTTCAAATTCTTGACAGCATTTCTAAATGCCATACTATCTGCTGCCTGATTGTTCAATTTAATAAGTTTTACTGTATCTTGGACTTCTGGTGTTTTAATTTCTTTTTGAATTCTTCCTAAAATGTAATCGCAAAGAGCAAACGTAATATCACGGCCACCAATATCTAGTTTATCGCGTGAAAGTAGCCTTATTGACTTCGGCTGTATATTGTATGTTGAGCAAACGAAATTTGTATAGCCAAAATCAATAAAAGCAGCGACATGAGGTGGAGTAGAATGCTGTGTTTGACGTATAATGTAGTCATAGACTTGTCCTTGTGTATTTGATATCATAAAAACGCTTTTGTCGTATATAGAAGCTGCAGTTTTGATCGCAATTTTTTGTTCTTCTGTATACCAATATGGAATAACCATTACAATATCTGTAACAGTAGAATCTGGTGACATACAGCATATTTCATTTATCAAATAACCTAAGAGAGCGATTGGATGAATAATTTTCTTTTTATCACCAAAATTAACTTCAAAAGCGACTTTTCCTTCGTTATCTGTAATTGGGTCGATTAAGAATTTCTGAGATTTGAGTTTTGATTCAAATTTTGTAAACAGAAAATCTTTTTCTCTTTCGATAATCGTTGATTTATCAGTTAGATGAGCAGTGAATCCCCAACTCCTTATTTTGTCAAGAAATGATATTACTGTTGGAAAAGATTTATTACTTGATGTATCTGAAATCATTGAACCTTTTCCATCTTTAACGTAATATGCTTTAATTCTATTGCCGCCGAAATCAATTGCTACAAAATCTTGTGTGTCTCCGAGTGTTGAGCTAATTTCACTCATAACGGAGAAAGTTTTGAATTCAAACGTTTAAGGTTAATTAAATAAATCTTAGAAATAGCTGATTTATAGTTTATTTATATCGTATATTTAAAATAAAAGATATTTTTATTTTCAAAATTTCTCGATTTTATTAAAATAATAGGAAAAAAATTAATTTTTCAAAAATATTTTTGGAATTTTGAATTTTTTTTTAGAAAATAAAAATCATGTTTTATTGATATTAAAGCTATGCACACTCGAATACTCATGAAATATTTAGCTACAGAAAGGATTTTGGTCTCTGAATTGAATTTTTTTGTAATTTTGAATTCGATTTTTTTGTAAGATCGACATTTCATTGAAATAAATGAAAAGCCATTTATGTGTATATTCAAATTATATCAATAAATCCTCATGAAATTACTAAAATTTTGTTTGATGGCCAATTGACGATAGAATCTGGTTTTGCCAATTTTTTTTTCATAGGTGAATATAGAATGGATGCAATTCGCTCTTTAGAAGGAGCAACATCAACCATTTTCCATTATATTCATCACGAAACATCTGTTATTAAGAGAGAAGGCATTTCTAAGGCTTTATCTGACTATGTCAAGACAAATCCTGAGGAAATCCCAAAGCTTGCTGAATACGCAACACAGCAACTTAAGGGAAACTTCCTTGTAGAGCCAGCAGTTCACTACATCCACATTTTCTCCATTTTTGGTGAATTTGATAGAAAATACGTTCAAGTTATTCTCAAATGCCTCCAATTTATCGATAGCAAGCATCGTCAGTATCAGTTTAACTACGCTGCAAAGCTCGCCGCTAAAGTGGTTAAAGCGGAAGAAATCGTAAATTCAACACATCTCTCAGCCTTTGCGTTATTGAAGTTCATCAAAGTTGAAGACCAAGCTCTTCTCAAGAAACTCGCAGAAGCCTTTGCAGAAGCATTCACAAAAGTCACAAATATCTACGATCCAAGTTATATCTATGCAAAGACAGTGAGTAAGAAGATCCCACGTGAAATCTACAACAAAGTAGTCATCGCTCGTTACAACCGTCAGCTTCTTCGTGGCGGAGCTCAATTCATTCCAATTGTGGTCAAATCATTACCAAAATTCGACCTTTCTACTGATGAAAAATCCATCATTTACTTCATTGTCAACAACGTTGCCAGTGGAAAAGCCGAAGAACGCGCTAATTTCATGAAGAATTTCAAGATTTCCGCTCCAGCCTTCGATCAAGACCAAATTGCCAACACCGTTATCACATTCATCACAAAGACAACAGGATACGACCAGCGCAAGGCTCTCTGCACCTTATTACAGTATATCAACCTTTCCAAGGCCAAAACAGAGACTCTTGACAAGATATTCGCATACATCAAAGGCGAAAAGCAGTCAGAGATCGCAGTAGAAGCCATCCTTTCCCTTCAATCATCAGCTGATAATTCTGTATCCTTCTTAACATCACTTCCAGCCACAGAAGCCACATTCCCAACCATCCTCGAAGCATTACTCAACACTAACTCCCCATCAGCCATCGAGTACGCTCACAATAATTTCTCGGTAGCACCAATGCCAGCAGCCAGACTCATTCTCCGCAAGAACCAAGCTCTTTCCGATGATGAGAAGTCATTACTCAGTCAGCCATCCAAGTTCCAGACCCAGAAGTTCGAAGTTTTGCTCAGATCAGGTTCAATTGAACAAGCTGTCGAATTATATTCCATTGCATCACAGCTTTACACACAGACACTTTCAGAAGTTGAACCAAAATTTGTTTTCCCATTCATTGTCGGTTTGATTGACAACTTATCTATCAATGACAAAGTTCTTTTGACATTTACATCATATGTAACTAAAAACAAGGAATTTATCACTGATAGAAAACTTGTTTTAGTTGCACCTAGATTAGCTACTTCTTCTGATTCACAATTACTTGTGTCTTATCTCTCAAAGAGACCACAACTCGCACAGCCAGCATTGGAATTCATTGGTTTGTCGAAAGAACAATTTTCATTGGTACAAACCGCAATTAGAAATTACATTGAAGAGCCAATTTCAGCTGAAGATGAACATCTCCTTCTTTGCAAGGAACCAATAGATGCTGACCATCCATCAGCAGAATCATACAAGGCAATGAAAGATGAAATTGCTCATCCAACAGGAAAAACAAATTTGCCACAATTAAGAAAGAAATTTGACAAAGAAACCGCAAAAGTGACAGAAAAACAAAAAGAACTTAAAGAAGAACTTAGAAACAGCAAAGTTATTCCTATCAAATCCGCCATTGCTCTTCTCAAATCACACTTCTTAAGAGCACCAAAGATAACTTCTTCTCTTACTTCATTTACTCCACAATTTTTGGAGATAAGAAAATCAGAAATATTTACACAGGAAGTTGATGATTTGTTTGTTGCTGCTTTTAACAGGATTGATGCTTTCAGGGCTACACCAAAGACAATTTTGTCTATCATCATCTCTGAAGATGAAGACCTCGATGATTTCAGACTCAAAATGTTAATTCCTTCAAAATTGACTGATACTCTGTTACATGTAATTTCAAACAGACTTCCTCAATTTTTGAGTAACAAAGACTTATGCGAATACATGTGCGATATCAACGCAATCACATCTGAATCAGATGTAGAGACATTGTTACCTTATTATTTAGATCACGCCAATGTCAAAGATTGCGTTTACAATTTCGCTGTCACTTTGGCAAAGAATGCAGAAGTTACAAGTATTCCACAGTGTTTCCAGGAAATACTATTCCCTAATGAACAAATCAGAAAATGCGCTTTGGAATGCATCGCAAATTCAAACATTTGCAAAGAAGATTTCTCACCAAAGTTGTATTGCCAAGTTTATACACAGGCTGCATCGAATCCTGTCGCCGTTGACTTGATAGAAAGATTAGAACCACAGAGACCAACAGACAAGGAAATAATGCAGTGCTACGCCGAAATCTTCAATTTACAAGTCAAAGATGAAAATTTGATAAGAGATATCGGTGTCAGTTTTGTCATTTTAATGGCAGAAAACGTTGATGTTTGTGTCAAATATTTGATTGACTTGTATATCAAGAACACTGAGGAAGTTGAGTCATTCATGATACCACAGCAAGAGCAGATAAGATCAGCAATTGCTTACGGTTTCAATGAACTCAAACCATTGACACAAGAAGCTATTTCTTTCATTACTACAACAGCATTGAAAGATATCGTTCCTGCTGTGAGAGAAAACATAATGTCCCTCTGCAACTATTACATTGATACATTTGATGATGAACACAAAGTATCAATCTACCAGAAATTCTTCAATATCTTGAATCTTCCTCCTGTTTCTAACTTGGAAAACAACAGATTGAGATTGGCATTGATCGAATTGTGTTTGAAAGTTGTTCAGACACAGCCACAGTTATCTGAAGAGTTAATGACATCTTTGATCAAGTACAACATCAGATCTCCTGATGAAGATGTCAGAGAAATGTGCGCAAAGACAATTTCTCAACTCGCTAAGAAGAATACACAGTTCATTGATAATTTCTTCAACAATTTCCAGAAAGAAACAGAAAACCTCAAAGGTATCGATAGAATCTTTGGTTTGGCTTATACTTACGCCGCTCTTTTGAACGCACAAGGTATTTCTTCCCTCAAGTCAAGAAATGTTTTCGATTACACTGACAGTTTGTCTAAAGAAAAAGATGCAAACTTGAGAGTTTTGTGCGCTTCTATTTTCGGCGGTTTGTCATTCATGTTCAAGAGCATGGTTGAAATGAGTTTGCCACGTATTTTACCTGTTCTCTTGGCTTTGTACGGTGACAACAATTCTGATGTCAGAAATGCTGCAGACAAAGCTTCTCAATCCATTGTCAAAAATCTGACAAAGGCATGTGGAGAAAGAGTTTTACCATATGCACTTGAAAATGTCGAGAATGATGATTCATGGCGTGTACAGCATGCAGCCATTCTTTTGGTTTCATCAGTTATCAAGGGTGGAACAAAGAATGTCCAGAAATTCATTCCAAATATTGTTTCTTCACTTTCTAAAGCAATGAGATCTGCAAATTCCGATGTCAAAGAAACAGCTAAAGAAGCTATGGATCTCCTCCAGGGATTGATCACTAACGAGGCTATCTCTGACTTATTCCCTTACCTTATCGATGCTTTGTCAAATTCATCAAAACTCGATATCGCAATCGAAAAAATTTCTCATCTTAATTTGACTTCACTTCTTAACTCCGCCAGCCTTTCTCTTATCGTTCCAATTGTCACTTTTGGCTGCAAGTCAACAAATGTGAATACCAAATCCTCTGCTATTAAGATCATCGGCTATTTGCCAACCATCTCCGTTAAAGGCACATTAGATGCAGTTAAGGATGATCTCATTGATCCATTGTTTGGCGCCATTGCTGATGCATCTCCAAGTGTCAGAGCTTTGGCATCAAGTTCTCTTTCGTCTGTCATTGTCGCATTACCACCTGAAGTCATGACAGAGTCAATGAACAGATTATTATCGGATATGATCAAGAAGACATCATTTGCTGAGAGACAAGGTTACGCAATGTCAATTGCTTCATTGATTAAGACAAGAGGTACTGAGGAACTCAACAACCAACTTCTTGATTTCGTTGACAAAGCACGTAACGAGAAAGACATCAATGTCAGAGAGTGCTATGTCTCATTACTTGGTTTCTTATCACATTTCTTCGGTGCAGAAGATTTCCAGTCTTGCTACGATATCACAGTCGATGCTGTTCTTGAAGCATGCGCTGATTCAAACGATGCAATCAGAACAGTCGGTTTGAGATCAGCGACATTGATTGCGAAGACATTCGCTTTGTCACATCCAGACTTGATTTTGAATCCATACTTCTCATGCGCATTGAAGGAAAACTGGAGAAACAGATTGTGCGCTGTCAACTTCATGAAGGCATTCGTCTTGGCATGCACAGGTACAACAGAAGCTGATGATAAAGGTATCAGACAGATCGGTGAACTCCTTGACAGATTGTCAGAAACACTCAAACCAGAAATTTTGTATCCAACATTGATGACACTTTTCATTTTGTCAAACGATCCAGTTTTGACAGTCAACACAGAAGCACAAGGTGTCTGGCGCCAGATCATTCCAAACACAGGTGAATTCCTCAGACAAGACTTGAACTGCCTCATCGACAGAATCGTTTCATTCTTGTCAAGTGAATTCGAAGTCGTTAGAACAGTTGGTGCATCAGCAATGGCAGAAGGTGTCCGAAAGACAAAGACAAGGTTCTTGAACATGTGCTTGGATAAGATCGACCAGCTGTTATTAGTTGAAGATATCGATGTCCAACACGGTGCATTGATAGCTATTCACGCTTTGGATGAACAAATGTCACAAGATTACAAATTGAGAGCTTGTTTACAATTGGCACCTTTCTTATCATCCAAATATGATTTCTTGAGGAACGAAGCCATTGAAACATTCGTTCAAATGAGGAACTCTCTTGGTGAAGAAGGTGCTAAACAAGTTTCATCGGAACTTGTCAAATATGTCTATGCAAGAGCACAATCTAATGATGACATTTCCGCTCTTAGTGGTTTGTTGGGAATTTTGGGACATCATTCTATCGCCCAGTTGATTTACCAGATGTTCCAGAGACCATTGGATTCAGACAGACCACGCATTGCATACAAGATTGTTTCCACAGCAGGTCCAGCACTTTCCACTATCATCACTTCTCTCTGCGACAGATTGATTTCAACATCAGCACATCCACCATGTCCAGAAGAAGGCGAGTCCGCATTAGGCATTGCCAAGAAGTGCGTCGAAGCATTCTCAATCGATCAGTTGACAGAACTCAGAAACAGATTGGTTGAGAACATGAGATCACAACAGCCACAGAACAGACAGGCATCAATCATCATCGGCGGATATGTTCTTGACAGAGAAGGAACATCATACACAGAGAATGTCCACCACATCATTCGTGCCGCTCTTTATTTGTTCGATGATCCACTTGACGAAATCATGAATGCCGCAGTTGTTGCAGTTAAAACAGCCGGCGACAGAATTGCATTGGAATCAATCAGTGATTTAGTCAAGAACATCTGCCAGGACTTCGACTCAATCTGCTCTGTAACTAAAGTAAGAGCATTCAATTATCCAGAGGCATTTGATGCTTTGTGTCCTATCATTGAGAAAGCTCTTATTTCCACACAGGAAGAAGCAGTTGACAACGCATCACACTTGCTTTCAATCATTGTTCCACAGTTGGCACAGCCACCGTCATCAATCAGGAAGTTGTTGGCTCTTTGCGTCAGAAACATCCAGTTGACATCATCAGAGAAGACATTGGAGATGCTTCTGAGTGGTTCACGCGCATTGTTCGAAAAGGCACCAAGCGAGAGACAAATGCTCGTCAACTCATTACCAACAGCATATCTCAGGATGTTCCGCATCAGCACCAACATGAAATTCCATCAGGCAACAGCAGAAGCACTCTGCAGTTTCGCAGAACGTGTTTCTACACCAGCATTAGTCGTCAGACTTTTCTTGCAAGTCCTTAAGTTGCAAGGTGCAAATGCATCAGCAACATTGTTGAATTCTGTTGTCAGGACAGTTTCAAAGATCAAATTGTCAGATCCAGAGAGCAAAGAAGTTCTTCAGCACTTGATTCCACACATGTCACATTCTAAGTTAGCAATGAGAGAAATTGCAGCATCAGCTGTTGGTGCAACATTGTTATCTTCATCAACACAGATATTGGTTGAAAGTATCTCTAATCCAGAGATCATTTCAACACAATCTGCCTTCTCGATGCAGACAACAGTCATCATCCTCGCAGAACTTCTTAAGTCAGGAAGGAAGGAAATCCAGGATATCGCTCTTCCAAAGACAGTCGAGATATTACCAATCATCGAAGCAGAGGATAACTACGACTTGAAGTTGGTCATCCCTAAGTTAGTTATTTCAGTTATTATCTCTAATCCATCACGTTTGGCTGAGATGTTGCCATTCATCATCAACATCATCGAGTCAAGTGATGCCGAACACCAAGTTGTTGCTTGCCAGTCACTCCAGAGATTGGCTCTCCTCAAACCATCACTTTGGAAGTCATCAGCAAAGGATATTTTGGATGTTTTACTCAATGCTTACAGATTCGGAGAACCAGCTCTTCAGTCAGCAGCAGCAACAACACTGTTCTACTTGTTCAGACTCGAAGAACGAACAGCGAAAGAAACAGAACAACTCGCAGAAGAAACAGACAGTGTCGACCAGACAATGGATGACTTTGCTGCAATCGTTTCTCAAGTTCAGAGTGACCGTGCTAACCAGAGACACGGAAAGGCAGTTTAAGACATTTAATAAAATTTTTTTATTTTTAAATATATTTCGGCGTTTTTAGAAATGGACAGAAAATAATAATGTTGATTCTTTTGGCATTTTTAAAAATGGTAATGAATCGAATTTCCTTTTTTATAGGAATTGTGCAGTAAGTATTTAATTGGTATGTGGAAGAAACATTAACTGAAAAACCACGTTTCATAATATAATAAAACATGTTGTCTTCAATATTGAAATTATTTTTCAATCCAGAATTATCAATTATTTCAATATGTCCTTCAAGGGAAATGTAATCAGTATCTATTGTAATATTTTTTTTCCAAAAATGATTTTGCTGAAATTGAATTGTATTATTGTATCATATTTAATAGTTGAATTGTCTCCGAATTTAATTGATTTCATGCATGAAAATGTTTCAATAGGCGCATAAGCATAAGGAATAAAACCTTCAATCTCTTCTAATTTGTATTCATTATTAATGCCATATTGATAGCAATAATAACCTTCATCATCTCTAACTTCGATAATTCTATCTGTAGTTTCGATTGAGGCAAAAACAAAATGCATTTGCGCCGATAGTTTCAATTGAGTCTGGAAGGTTAATTCTTGTTAAATTGAGGCAAAAGCCAAAACAATAATCTGGAATTGATTTGAGTCCTTGTTCAATTGTAATAGATGTGAATTTCGAACTATGGAATGAATATGGCGAAAGTTTGAAAGATGTTGTGATTTCACCAGTTTGATTCGAATCAGCATATTGATATGGAAGGATTATATTTCCAACATTATTATATTTAATTGTTACTGGACAATTTAAAAAACTGTCTCTAGGATCATATCTAACATCAGCACTTTCAAATATCACTTCTTTTAAGTTAGGACAATCATGAAATCCGCTTCCATAAATATATTTAAGAGATGGTGGAAAATGAACTTTTATTAGACTGTTTTTGTATTCAAATTCATTTCGTTCTACGCGATCAATACTTCCATCATGATCAATATTACTTCCATCATTTAAAATAATTTTATTTGGAAGAATTTCTTTGATAGAATCTCCAGATCTATATTTATAAATAACTGCTATGGACCTTAATGGATTTTCAAAAGTGATTCTAGTATTTGATGGAAATGCAGATATATCCACATAAATTATATTTCCTGGGATTGTTACTGCATTCAGAGATATACATTCAGAAAAAGCATGTTCTCCAATAAATTCAACATTTTCTCCTATTGTGATACTTTTTAAATTTGTGCAATATGAAAATGCATTCCTTGCAATAGATTTCACTGATGAAGTAATTTCAAAAGATTCTATAGCACATCCACTAAAAACATTTGATCTTAGTTCTTCAATTGATGCTTTATTAACAATTTTTGAAAGTCTTATACAACTTTGAAATGTTCCAGCACCAAGATATTTCACATTTTCACCTATTATCACCTCTTTTAAATTTTCCATTCGATAAAATCCCCAAATGCTAATACAAGTGACTGAATCAGGAATTATTACTTTTTCAATATCAGTGCAACCCTGAAATGCACAATCTCCTATGTATAAAAGAGATTCTGGGAAAGTGAGGTAATAGATATGAGCGCTTCGAAAAGCATAATTAACTATTTTTGTTACAAAACTTGGAAAATTTAAAACTTGCAAGCTATTTTTCTTTTCTGCAAAAATATTACCTTCCTCTCCTGTATGAACAAATGACATTTCTTTGTTTGTCGTCAGAATTATTTTATCAGGTTGAATTTCTCTGACTGTATCATTTCCTAAAAACATATAAACGAGTGGATAAAAGTTATTTCCATCATAATTGAAAACTGTATTTTCAGGAAATCCACTAATTTGTTCAACAGAATTCGGTAATGAAACAGTTGATAGACTAGCGCATTCACTAAAACTACAGTCTTCAATTGATTTTAGTCCATCGGGAAAAGTAAAAGATTTTAATTTAGTGCACTTGTAAAAAGCATATTGTTTTAAAACACTTTCTAAATTTTCATAATTATAGAAACAAAAGCTGGGAATCTTTGAATAAGAACTTTTAATTTCAACATTTATTAGAGATACATTGAATTGAAACATCGGGTAAATGCAATTCCCAGTAATACAATACGATCCAGGGCCAATGTATAAGACATTCACTTTGTTTCATCAACAAAAGTTTTTTTTTTCAAGCAGTCGGTCTCTTCAATTTCCGATTATTTAATTTCAAATTGAAATCTCCAAATAAGGTGATCACGAAGATGCTAATCGAGTTAATTCAAGGCTTAATTCACTAACTTAATAAGTTCATTTCCTTTCCATCAAAAAGGAATTGACAATCTTTTAAAGGGTCTCCGCCTTAGTTTACAAAAGTGTACGTTATTTACACACTGAGTCTTCATCTAGAGATCTTTTTTAGATTTTGAAACAATGAAAAGATAGAGTATGATCAATGTATGCTATATTTACGTTTATTCACAAAAATATCAAATCTATCATAGAGAAAAAGTACAACTATTGTAAACTAAAGTAATGAGCCCTTAGGGTTCACTTACCTCTTTCTGACATTCTCTCAATTTTTTTTGACACTTATGCTTTATATCCTAATTTTCCATGATAAAAAGTTAATATTTTTGTTATTGAAATGATGATACTATAAGAACATGTCAGAACAATATAATAATAACCATGAACGACATAATTGAGTTTGTATATCAGATTTAGGGTGATAAAAAACTCAAAGTGGACAATATTGAGAGTTACCTTACCATTTATCTCGGAAAAAAGTTAAATTTCTAATTAAATTCTCAGATTCATGGCAAAATAGAACTGTACAGATGAATCAATTTCAAATTGATAATACAGGAGATCGCTCTTCCAAAGACAGTCGAGAAATTACAAATTTTCGTTCCAGAAGATTAGTTATATAGGGTGTCCAAAGGTGTGTTTAGCACAAACCTGAATACTGCGAATAGAAATAAACAAGTTACATATATATAAAGTTTATTTAAATATAATCACCATTGGATTCAATCACGCGTTCGCAGCGATCGATCCAGGCTTGAAAGACACGCTTTAAATCATCATGAGAAAATTGCTCAAATTGCTCTCTTACAAAATTTTCAAGATCATCTGGACTCGCGAATTCGCGTCCTTCAGCTCTCTTTTTTAGCGTGCCGAATAAATAAAAGTCAGAGGGTGCAATATCAGGTGAATAAATTGGGGTTGGAACAACTTTGACATTGTTTTCCACCAAGTAATTCAGTACCTTATGACTTTTGTGAACTCTTGAATTATCAAAATGAATTGCAAACTTTTGTTTTTGTTGTTTGGATTTCTCAAACTCATCAGAATTGATAATTTGAGTAAGAACATTGTCAATTAGATACTGAGCATTCATCATATTAGGTTTTTGAAGAATATCAATTGCGATGATGCCATTCACGCCCCAAAAAACCGACAACATCATCATTGGTGTGTCAATTTTTTTCTTCGGGAATGTTTGCGGATTTTCATCCTTTGGGATCCACATGATTTTGGCTTCTGTTGCATATTGAAACCAAGACTCGTCCCCTGTTACTAAAAAGCGAAACTTCTTGGATTGATACGCACGCAATATAGAGAGGAGCTCTTTCGAAGATTGGACTCTAGATTTTTTTTGAACTGAATTAAGGTTGTGCGGAACCCAACGTGTATACGCTAGTTTGTAGTTCAAATAATTGTGCAGATAATAACTGACTGTTGTACGTGGTATCTTTGTCATCTCCTCTATCCTTCTGAGTGATGCTCTTGGGTCTTCATCTAGCGCTTGAAGAATTGCTTTGATTTTTCTTTGATCCGGCGATTTTTTGTCAATTTTTATGATGGGCGCCTTTTTGTTCATGAAGTGATACATCCTAACATGATACGTTACAGTGGAATAGCTAGGAGCATCCATACCGAAGCATTTTACCAATGTCTCGTAGATTTTTTTACAGTCTTTGCATTTTTTTGCAAGAACGAGGATGTTTTCTTTATGATTCATTAAAAAAATGAAAAAAATCCCGCCAAAATTTCCCGCGAAACCGCCTCTTGTCTCAAAATTTATTTTATATCCCGGCATGGCGCCAAAATACAACATACTCATCATATACATATATTCATATTTTTTATTATATATTTATAATCAGCATATATCTCCTTTAATAGTCTCATATAGAGCGCTGTGCTAAACGCACCTTTGGACACCCTATATAATTAAATATCCAAAGAAGAGCACCCAGTAGATTCGAATCAATCATTAAACTATTATGTCTTCACAGAATTGCAAAACTCATATTGCATTTCTACATTACCCTAGGTATTTGACTCTTTTATTCTCATTGAGCATGTACAATAGTATAAATATTTTAGGGTTAAAAAATGGAAAGATTTCCTAATATTTGAATTAACAGACATTTATAAAGTATGAAAGATACATTTAAATATATTAACTCCTTTTATGCTTTTTGAAATTGTGAAATAAAGAACATATTTCCTTCAATCTAGTAGTCATTTTTTACATATGAATTATCAGAGAATTCATTAAATATCGATCTAATCTTATTATAAAAATGTAGAGTATCAAATAACAGAATTATCCTCAAATTTATTGATTTTAAATTTGGAATACAATTTTCCAACTTCTTTTTCATAATAATAAGTATAATCAAGAGTTAATTTTTTTTCAAAGCTGATTTTGGTGAAATTGAAACCATGAAATAAATAATCATTAAATTTAATCGATTTTAAATATGGAAATGAACTACCGTAAGAATATGGAATAAAATTTTCTATCTCTTCTAATTTATATTGATTATTTCCTTGCCACGCATCACCGTAATTTGTTAATAAAATTTCGGGAATTTCTGCTGAAGATGGAATGCTGATAGACTTAAGACTATTACAATTAATGAACGCGCTTATACCAATCTTTTTAACAGATTTAGGAATTGATAAAGAAGTAAGATTGGGGCAATATGCAAATGCATACATTCCTATTGTTTCAATTGTATCTGGAAGTATTTATGTTAATAGATTTTGACAAGAGGAGAAACAATAATCTGGTATTACTTTAATTCTTGATCTAATAATTATAGATGTGAATTTTGAACAAATAGAAAGAATTCATTAAATATTCTCCAGAATGCTCTGAGTTAATAAATTGATAAAGGATTAATACATTTTGGGAATTTAAATACCGAATTTGGAAATTTGGACAATATTGAAAACTTTCCATACTGAAATTTATATCTGCGTTATGAAATATCACTTCTTTTAATTTAGGGCAATTAATAAACCCATCATTTTCTATGCATTTAAGTGATCTTGTAAAATGAACAGTTGCTAGATTGTCACAGGCATAAAAGTCATTATTACTAATATATTCGATACTACCATCATGAGGAATAGCTGTTCCATTAGCTAATACATTACTATCAGTAAGAATTTCGGTAATAAAATTTCCAGGACAATACATACAAATATTAATAGATTTAGGAAATGCTGGAATAAACTATGTATAAAAGCATAAAGTACATTTTTATCATTCTAGTGATTTCTTTATTCAAAAAATTTTTATAATGTCTTACTTCATTATCATATAGAGCTGAGGATGTTTCTATTGATCTTTATCATCGATATTCGTGATGCATAAAATCAAATCATTGTTTTTCAGTAATTGCAGAGATTGAATGCATTGAATTCATAACTTTGGAAGTTATTAATAAGATAACGTATAAGCTTTTTGTTGCAATATCTTTATCTGAATTCGAATAATGAATGCAATTTTAAATTTCTTTTTTTTTGTAATATCAAATGCATTACACAATTTAGGATGAACAATTCAATCATTATAAGTTAAAAAATAATTAGATAATCATTACCTGAATTATAAAAATTATTCGGCGTGTGGGCAATTTTAACGACATTTTTTAACGCGATACGAGCGTAAGTTCATAGAATGTGTTTTGAGGGAAACTATAAAAATCCAAAATAGAGGTAAGTGCGCCATTATTACCTGCGAAGTTACATGGAATAAATCGAAGAGTAAGTACAAGATGATCTTGCATCTTTCCAAGTAAATGAAATTTATTAAAATTAAGATGATAATATTCATTTATAGTATGTGTATGATGTGTTTTCAAAATTTCTTCAAATAAAATGCAATGATAATTTTTGAATAATTTTTTCTTGTGTATATTTCATTTTTTATTAGTGAAAATATCATTACATCAATAAGGAAAGCACAATCCAAATTCATATTAGTTAAATTAATCTACGACCAAAAGCCCGCCAAATTTGAATTAAACACGTTTTTTGATAAAAGTGTCATTTATGATTGTTGCATTTAGGGATAGTAGCCAATTTCGGTACCAATCTTGAAAATGCCTCGCCATGCCCGCAACATGGAAGAGAAGTATTGGTCTGATATTGAACTATCAATCAATGCAAACTGAATCACCTTGTCATGTTGCTCCACAGATACAGCAGTCTGAGTCCCTCGCTTGGTCATGTTGCTCCACAGATACAGCAGTCTGAGTCCCTCGCTTGGTCATGTTGCTCCACAGATACAGCAGTCTGAGTCCCTCGCTTGGTCATGTTGCTCCACAGATACAGCAGTCTGAGTCCCTCGCTTGGTCATATCACACCAGATAAATAAAAGTTCAGCTTCACAATACTTACCTGCTCTATTATGTGATTTTTTCCAACTATCATATGTTAGTTGTTGTATTGAAGTTGAGTATGAAAGAATAATGTTGCAAGATTTCTCACCAAATAAAAAATCATTAAAGAACTTTTTATTCTTTGAAAATGTATTTATGTTGAAAATAATGGAAGATGTTATTCTTGTTAGTTAGTTTACGAAGTTCTTTTGGAAGAAATTTGTTGAATATCTTTATTTTGAATGGGAATGAACTTAGGAAATTCACCACGAGCTCTTGAATAGGCAGAATTGTAATGGATGATTAGCTATGATGGGATTATACGATGTTGGTTTGTTCTAGAATGATTAAAAAGTTTTCAGGTAATGTGCTGATGCATTACAAAAGATGGAAATTATTTAAATAATAACATAGTTTAATAATATTCAATTTAACTGATTAAATATTTGAAAAATTATCTAATTAGGATTTTTTTAGTTTGAAAAATTAATTTTAGGCATAGTGTATAAAATAAAAAGCATCTACCGTGTCAGAAAATCGAAAAGTTTTCCAAAAAAATCATAAATTTCAAATTTTGAAATAAAAATTGGTACTTTTTAATATGTAAAATAAGAAAATGTATTTTTTTGAAAAATTTAGATAGAGTAGTTCTCTTTGTATCTAAGAGGAGTGAATTTTTTTTCTTTAACAAGATCTGGAAACGAACAATTGAAATTTATTTTATCAATATCAGGAGGAAAAGTTAAGATTCAATATGGGATTGGTTGGGTGTAAGGTAGAGGAACTATTGTGTGATAGTTGATGCTTAGAGTTGAAATTGAAGGAAAATAAAACGATAAAAATAAAATGAATACTACCATGGACCCGTCAGTAATAGGTAGTGAAGAGAATAAATCATCCTTACCTCATACAACAACTCATCCTTAGCTGAGACAACAAGTCATCTTTACCTCAGACAACAACTCATCCTTACCTCAGTCATTGACTTATCCTTACCTCAGTCATTGACTCATCCTTAACTCAGACAAAAAGTCATCCTTACCTCAGTCATTGACTCATCCTTAACTCAGACAAAAATTCATCCTTACCTCAGTCATAGACTCATCCTTACCTCAGTCATTGACTCATCCTTACCTCAGTCATTGACTCATCCTTACCTCAGACAAATAGTCATCCTTACCTCAGTCATAGACTCATCCTTACCTCAGTCATTGACTCATCCTTACCTCACACAAAAATTCATCCTTACCTCAGTCATTGACTCATCCTTACCTCAGTCATAGACTCATCCTTACCTCAGTCATTGACTCATCCTTACCTCAGACAACAACTCATCCTTACCTCAGTCATTGACTCATCCTTACCTCAGTCATTGACTCATCCTTACCTCAGTTATTGACTCATCCTTACCTCAGTTATTGACTCATCCTTACCTCAGTCATAGACTCATCCTTACCTCAGTCATTGACTCATCCTTACCTCAGACAACAACTCATCCTTACCTCAGTCATAGACTCATCCTTACCTCAGACAACAACTCATCCTTACCTCAGTCATAGACTCATCCTTACCTCAGATAACAACTCATCCTTACCTCAGTCTCTCTCTTTGACATCCAACACTCAGTCTCTTTTTGACATCCAACACTCAGTCTCTCTTTGACATCCAACACGAATAAAATCTTTGATAACTCAATGAATACTTGTCCAGTGATTCTGAATCTACACCGGCCAGAGATTCATATTTCGTTGCCAAATCGCGAAAATATTCATTATTGACAAAGTTATATCTATAATAGTATTGAACTAAAATATGGTTTTGAAAATTTAATATAATAAAATCATTTTGAATTTAAATGTAAAGTTCTGGTAAGGAGTTAAATTAAGAAAGAATAATTGAGTAATTGAGAGATATTTGATAAGTTAGGGAGAAAATTTCACATACATTGAAGTAAATATATGTTATTGCAAGAGTTAGGATGAGTCAATGACTGAGGTAAGGATGACTATTTGTCTGAGGTAAGGATGAGTCAATGACTGAGGTAAGGATGAGTCAATGACTGAGGTAAGGATGAATTTTTGTCTGAGGTAAGGATGAGTCTATGACTGAGGTAAGGATGAGTCAATGACTGAGGTAAGGATGAATTTTTGTCTGAGGTAAGGATGAGTCAATGACTGAGGTAAGGATGAGTCAATAACTGAGGTAAGGATGAGTTGTTGTCTGAGGTAAGGATGAGTCAATAACTGAGGTAAGGATGACTTTTTGTCTGAGGTAAGGATGAGTCTATGACTGAGGTAAGGATGAGTCAATGACTGAGGTAAGGATGAATTTTTGTCTGAGGTAAGGATGAGTCAATGACTGAGGTAAGGATGACTTTTTGTCTGAGGTAAGGATGAATTTTTGTCTGAGGTAAGGATGAGTCAATGACTGAGATAAGGATAAGTCAATGACTGAGGTAAGGATGAGTCTATGACTGAGGTAAGGATAAGTCAATGACTGAGGTAAGGATGAGTCTATGACTGAGGTAAGGATGAGTCAATAACTGATGTAATGATGAGTCAATGACTGAGGTAAGGATAAGTCAATGACTGAGATAAGGATGAGTCAATGACTGATGTAATGATGAGTCAATAACTGAGGTAAGGATAAGCCAATGACTGAGGTAAGGATGAGTCAATGACTGAGGTAAGGATGAGTTGTTGTCTGAGGTAAGGATGAATTTTTGTCTGAGGTAAGGATGAGTCAATGACTGAGGTAAGGATGAGTCTATGACTGAGGTAAGGATAAGTCAATGACTGAGGTAAGGATGAGTCAATGACTGAGGTAAGGATAAGTTGTTGTCTGAGGTAAGGATGAGTCTATGACTGAGGTAAGGATGAGTCAATGACTGAGGTAAGGATAAGTTGTTGTCTGAGGTAAGGATGAGTTGTTGTCTGAGGTAAGGATGACTTTTTGTCTGAGGTAAGGATAAGTTGTTGTCTGAGGTAAGGATAAGTTGTTGTCTGAGGTAAGGATAAGTTGTTGTCTGAGGTAAGGATGACTTTTTGTCTGAGGTAAGGATGAGTCAATGACTGAGGTAAGGATAAGTTGTTGTCTGAGGTAAGGATGAGTCAATGACTGAGGTAAGGATGAGTCTATGACTGAGGTAAGGATGAGTCAATGACTGAGGTAAGGATAAGTCAATGACTGAGGTAAGGATGAGTCAATGACTGAGGTAAGGATAAGTTGTTGTCTGAGGTAAGGATGAGTTGTTGTCTGAGGTAAGGATGAGTCTATGACTGAGGTAAGGATAAGTTGTTGTCTGAGGTAAGGATGACTTTTTGTCTGAGGTAAGGATAAGTCAATGACTGAGGTAAGGATAAGTTGTTGTCTGAGGTAAGGATGAGTCTATGACTGAGGTAAGGATGACTTTTTGTCTGAGGTAAGGATGAGTCTATGACTGAGGTAAGGATAAGTCAATGACTGAGGTAAGGATGAGTCAATGACTGAGGTAAGGATGAGTTGTTGTCTGAGGTAAGGATGAGTCTATGACTGAGGTAAGGATGAGTCTATGACTGAGGTAAGGATAAGTCAATGACTGAGGTAAGGATGAGTCTATGACTGAGGTAAGGATAAGTCAATGACTGAGGTAAGGATGAGTCAATGACTGAGGTAAGGATGAGTTGTTGTCTGAGGTAAGGATGAGTCAATGACTGAGGTAAGGATAAGTTGTTGTCTGAGGTAAGGATGAGTCAATGACTGAGGTAAGGATGAGTCTATGACTGAGGTAAGGATGAGTCAATGACTTAGGTAAGGATCATTCCATTCCAAATATATCACAACACCTACACCTTACACAACCCACAAATCATCTCCAAATTTCTTTTCAGAACTTCTTTTAAATGAGCATTTTTCAATCAACAAACATCCCTTCTTTTGCCCGCACAAAAGGTTTCAGATGTTATCTTGTTCCAGAAACTCATGAAACAAAGTTCTAAATGAAAATCCACGGAATGAGCTTGTTCAATAGCATTATCAATAAAAAGAAATCTATGGTATCGCCCGCACAATACCAAAAGATTCCATTTTGTAATGAATGATTACTATGATCCAAGGATGGTTCCGTAGACTTGAAAATTTTAAATTGGAGGTTTAATTCAAATTTGGCGGGCTTTTGGTCGTAGATTAATTTAACTAATATGAATTTGGATTGTGCTTTCCTTATTGATGTAATGATATTTTCACTAATAAAAAATGAAATATACACAAGAAAAAATTATTCAAAAATTATCATTGCATTTTATTTGAAGAAATTTTGAAAACACATCATACACATACTATAAATGAATATTATCATCTTAATTTTAATAAATTTCATTTACTTGGAAAGATGCAAGATCATCTTGTACTTACTCTTCGATTTATTCCATGTAACTTCGCAGGTAATAATGGCGCACTTACCTCTATTTTGGATTTTTATAGTTTCCCTCAAAACACATTCTATGAACTTACGCTCGTATCGCGTTAAAAAATGTCGTTAAAATTAAACCGCGCCAAAATTATTCTGAACTTTAAGGTGTTTTTTTGAAGCAATACTTTGGGAAAATTGATCAGTTAATGTCGTCTTCTCATTAGACGAATTATCTTTCCATCGAAAATTGTCATAGTTTTGTTTATTTTCGAGATACTTCTTTCTAGATTGGAAGAATAATTTTCTTTTTTTACAGGAATTGTGCAGTATGTATCAAGTTGGTACGCGTAAGAAACATTAACTGATAAACCACGTTTCATAATAAAAATAAACATTTCGCCTTCAACATTGAAGTCATTTTTTAAGTCAGATTTATCAACAATTTCAATTGATGGATGATATTTAAGTTCTTCAATAGAAAAATAATCATTTGATATTGTACATTTTTTGCCAAAAATGATTTTGCTGAAATTGAATTCTGTTAATGCATAATAACTAATGATTGAATTATCCCAGAATTTAATTGATTTTATGTTTGGAAATGTTTTACTATAATTATAAGCAATTGGAATAAAACCTGCAATTTCTTCTAATTTGTACTTACAATCAATATCATATTCACCACAGTAATCGTCAAACCGAGAATTAATAATCCGATCTGTATTTTCGACAGATGGAGGAATTTTAAGTGATTTGATTGAAAAACATCCACCAAATGCATTTTCTCCAATACTTTTAACAGAATTAGGAATTAAAATTGATTTTAGATTGATGCAATAACAAAATGCCATTTCGCCGATTGTTTCAATTGAGTCAGGAAGATTAATTCTTGTTAAATTGAGGCAAAAGCCAAAACAATTTTTCGGAATTGATTTGAGTCTTTGCTCAATTGTAATAGATGTGAACTTCGATCTATAAAATGAATATGGCGAAAGTTTGAAAGATGTTGTGATTTCACCAGTTTCATTCGAATTTGCATATTGATATGGTAAGATTATATTTCCAACATTATTATATTTAATTGTTACTGGGCAATATAAAAAGCTGTCTCCAGGATCATATATGACATCAGAACTTTCAAATATTACTTCTTTTAAGTTATAACATTTAAGAAATCCTCTTACAGAAATATATTTAAGAGAAGATGGAAAATGAACTTTTATTAGATTGTTTTTTTCTTCAAAATCATATTCTCCAATGCGATCGATACTTCCATCATGATTAATAATACTGCCATCATTTAATACAATTTTATTTGGAAGAATTTCCTTGATAGAATCTCCTGACCTATATGTATAAAGAACTGCTAAAGAACTTAATGGATTTTCAAAGATGATTCTAGTATTTGATGGAAATGCAGTTACACTTATATGTTGTACTTTATTCGGAATTGTTATTGAATTCAGAGATATACATTTCGAAAAAGCAAATTCATCGATTTCTTCAACATTTTCTCCTAAAATGACTGTTTTCAATTTTTTACAAGCCGAGACTGCATCATTTCCAATAATCTTAACAGAAGATGGAATAACAATGGTTTCAATCGCAATCCCACGAAAAGCTCCAACTTCAATTATTTCAACTGATTCACCTAGAGTGACTTTAGAGAGCTTTTCACAAAATTCAAATGCATAAATACCAATAGTTGTTAGACCATTACCAATAATAACTTCTTGTAAATTTTCCATTCTAGCAAAAGATTGATATCCGATGTATTTAACTTTGTTAGGAATTTCAACTTTGGTAATTTCATTACAATATTGAAATGCAAAAGATTCAATTGTGGTAAGAGACTCTGAAAGAGTAATCGATTTAATGTTATTATTATACCTGAAAGCACCAGATTCAATAGTTGTTATAAAATTTGGGAGATTTACTTTTTTTAAATTATTTTTTTCATCAGCGACATAAATTTTTTCTTCTCCTTCAGTATGAATAAATGATATTTCTGCATTTGTTGTGAGAATCATTTTATCAGGTTGAATTTCTCGGACTGTATCATTTCTTAAATATATATAAATGAGCGTATAAAAATAATTTCCATGATAATTAAAAATAGTTTCTTGGGGAAATGCAGATTCACCAATTAATTCAGTAGAATTTGGTATTGTTACAACAGATAAATTTGTACAACCATAAAAACATCTTTCTCTGATTGATTTCAGACCTTCTTTAAATGAAATCGATTCCAGATTACTGCAATTTAAAAAAGCACACTTCCCAATGATATTGATATTACTCTGAATCTCAACACTTTTCAATTTTGAGCATTTATAAAAACAGTAGCTTGGAATCTTTGAATTTTTGATATTAATTTGAACATTTATGAGCGAGATATTGAATTGAAACACAGAGTAAATGCAATTTCCTGTAATAGAGTATGTTCCAGGCTGAGTAGAAAAAACATTCATAGAGTGGCAAAATTTGTCATAATACGTAAACTTCTCAAAAATAAGTATTGATATATGAGCATTATGATCAATAAAACAGCTTTCTAATAACATTTCTGATCAGAACAATTATATCTGTAACAAATCCGTTTGTATCGTCGATTGTATGCCACTTTTTTTTGTTTTTTAGGGATGAGAGATTTCACATCCGAAAAATCATATAACTGATAGTTAATGAAGTGATAGGTATTTCAAAAGCTTTGATTTTCCTTGATGATAAAGAAAAAAGATAAATCTTCAGAGTTTCCTTACCTTTCAATTCAGAAAAAAGCTAAATTCCTAATTACATTCACGAGTTTATCCTATTCTTGGCAAAAATAGAAATACTCAAACGAGTCAAATTCAAAGTGTAAAAAATCAAAAAAATAATCACATGTAATGCTTTCAATTTTTTCTCCGATTATATAAACTTCTGAAAAATTTAGAAAGATGTCAGAGGATATCCTTCATCTCGTCAGCCCAGAGCTGGCTACGTTCCTTGTAAACGTAGATGACTTCGAGAAAGTTGGTGTTGCAGGTGAAGGAGCTTTCGGCAAAGTTTATATTTGTAATCATACTCCGACAGGCAAACGGTGTGCTTTAAAGCAATTAATTGCAACAAAATTAGAAGACAGAGATTTACTTGAGTTCATTCGCGAAGTTGAAATTCTCGCAAGATGCGACAGCATGTTTTTACTTCCATTTTACGGATGGACTTCTTCTCCGCCATATTCAATCGCAATGGAATACATTAGCAACGGATCTGTCTTCCAAGCACTCAGACATCGCCCTCAATCACCAACACTTACTCCAACTAATAAAACAATTATTATGATCGGATGCGCTCACGCTCTCGCCGCTTTACATAGAATAGGCATTATCAATAGAGATTTAAAGTCAATGAACGTACTTTTAGATGATAGATTATATCCAATTATCTGCGATTTCGGAATTTCAAGATTTGCCAGTTCAGAACAACAGCTTATGACACAACAAATCGGTACACCTCATTGGATGGCGCCAGAATTATTCCTTTCGAACACTTATTCTAATAAAGTCGATGTTTACGCATATGCCGTTTTATTATGGGAGCTTCTTACAGAATCTACTCCATTTAAAGGTTACAATGGACAGCAGATTATGATTGCTGTCTGCCAAAGAAACGAAAGGCCAATGTTACCCATCAAAACTCCGACAAAACTTAGATCTTTGATTCAACGTTGCTGGGACTTCGATCCTAACAAGAGACCTTCATTTAATCAAATATGCAAGGTTCTTGATGCAAAGAAAGTTGTTTTCGAAGGCACAGATCTTGATGCCGTCGATATCTTCCTTAAAGACCTCCAAGCAGATGAATCGTGGCGCGAGGCAAACAAAGGAAATCGCCAGCCGCCACTCAAAATGTTTGCATCTGCAAGAAATCAGCAACAATATCAAGATTCATATAATATACCGCAAACAGTCTACAATCCTCAAGAAATACCACGCGACCCTGATGTACCGATTATTCCTTTACTTCCTTTCAACGAAGCTTCAGCTTCTACCGATGCAATTCCAGTTCCAGAGAATTTACCAGTTTACGAGAAGCCAGCCGAACCCCCACAATCATCTCAACCACCTTACAAACCTCCGGAGACAATAAACTTCGCATTACCTCAATCTCCATCTGTATCTCCACCTCCTCTCTCTCCTCCTCCCATCAACGACAGTTCTCCATTACCACAGCCAGGTTCTCTCATTGCTTCCGGCTCCTTGGCCGTATTTAACATACAGGGAACTCTTCCATCGGCATCTCCACTTTCTGGCCCTCAAAATTCCAATCCTGAGAACGACAAACAGCTCTTCAGTATTTTATATAACCCATCACATACCCAGTATTTGGATGCCGTCAAGAGATGGCGCGAACAATGCATTCAAGGTGACATAACCCGCTTTTTCAACCCATTGGTCAACGGTTTATCAGTCAGTGCTTCAAAAGAAATCGTTGCCAGGGTTTTACAAGAAATTCGTTATGTCGCGATGCGAAATGCCGCTTGTTTACATGCATTTCTTGAATCTTCCATTCCTCCAAACCTTCCTTTCAAGAGAACAGAGGAAGTAATTGTTCAAAACACATGTGCCTTGTTATATGTCATTGTCAAGAACGCTCCAGAGTTCTTTAACAAGGATTACATCAAACTTCTTACACCTCTTATCTCTGTTGCACCAAGGAAAGTACTCCGCATTGTCCAAGAACTCTGTCATCTCTTCGATCGTCTTGAAGATCCATGGCCAGGTGCTAATTTCCTCATTTTAGCATCAGCAGCATTCATGCAGTCCACAGCCATTCCTGAGTATCTTTCATTAATTGTCCAGACATTGGCATCAAACCAAACATTCAGAGAAGCGAGGATGTCATCGGTTTGTCCTATATTTATTTACTCTTTGAACTCAGACAATTCAGAAGTTGTTAAAACAGGATACAACACAATCTGTGAGTTCTTCAACAAGGATTTGATTGTTCCTCGTGATATATTAGAACAGCATCTTATTGGTGGATACGAATCCGAAGTTTTGTCATATTTATTATTAGACAGAATTTCACCAACAAGTTCATCAATGGTTTCTCGTCTTCTTCAGATTGCTCCTGACAACAAATCTGCTTTCTCAGTTCTTGTTGCAGATGCCGCTAAACCAGAGAATGTCGATGCATTCAAGCCACAGTTCCAAGTACTTTTGTTTGGTGAATTACGCATTGACCAAAAACTTCATTTAGTTATGATTTTGTTGCTTCATCCTTCAATGCGTCGACATCTTGCAAATCTTAAGGATTTCATCGATTTCATTGTTGGAATGATAGAGACAGGTCGTGTCGACTTATTCGATCCATCATCATGCATCATCATCAAGCTTTTGGAGTACAACTCATTCATCAATCATTGCAAGACAATGCAACTGATGCAGAAATACATAGAAGTTGCTGTTTTGCAGAAGAAGAAGAACGCTATTAGACTGGCAATCCACACAATCGACACAGCAATCAGAAGAGGATTAGTAGAAGAATGCCAAGGATCAATTAACTGGATTGTTTCCAATGTATCAGTTAATGGACCAAACAGTGATGTTGCATTGTCTGCTTTGTGCGGATTGACAACTTCTATTAACACTCTGAACGAAATGAAGAAGACAGAACTTGTAATGAAAGTGCCACAGTTCTTCCAACATCAAAAATTGAAACCTTATGCAGATGTCATCCATTCTGCTATCACTAGATAACTAAAGCTTCGGTTTTTATGTTGTTTTTATTAATCAACAAAAAGTTTTATATTCAGAAAATAAAAAATAATATTTGTGTCGATGCCGATTTTCACTTCAAAATGTTCTATTTCGATGTCGAATTAACCGAGAGATGAAATTATATAAAAAAGTATTAAAGAACCCAATCTAATGCTAATGATGTCTTCGAATGAACTCAATTTAATTGGTTGATGAATTTGTCTATCATTTATTAATTCTACAAAAAAAATCATATGAATTAGAGTGTCCAGAAAAAAATGGTTGGCGGCAAGAAAAAGCAGTTGGTAAGCACAAAAGAGCCAGAATTAGGGCAAAAAAAGTTATGTATTCATATAGTTATGGTATTCATATTATATATTTAATTTTAGATTCCATAAAAATGATACTCAGCTGGAAATACGAAAATTTTTTGTCAGATTTTTTACAACAAAAAAATCGATTTTGAAACGTAAGCGAAAAGCTTTCAAATAATCTCTTGATATATTCTACATATATATTATATATACATCATATTTATATTATTAATTTCCCATAAAACTGCGTGCCAACTGTTTTTTCCAGTGCCAAGGGGTTTTTCCTATAAATTGGATTTGGATTTTCTATCAAGATATCGGACAATTCGTTTAACTTTTTCATAGTCATATATTTGTCTAAGCTTGTCGGACCGGTGATTTTTCGCCAGAACCGGAGATTCTTTCAAAAAATTTCGGGTCTCGGGCGATAAACTGACTCCAGAACTTAATTTCCGAGAAAAATTTCTAAAAATTTTTAATGAAAACGAGAAAATCATGTTTTTACTATACAAAGATCTCTTTTTATTTGGCTTTTGCCATCTCCAGAAAGTTCTTATTCATTGATAAGGTTACTTTGTCAGATTTTTCCAGGAGAGTTCTAACTGATTACAATGATAATTCGATTTGTGGACAATCTATCTAATTAGAGTTGTTCACTTATGACTTTTTGATAACTCTGATTACATTTATAACCGAGTCATCAAAAAGTATAAGTCAAACTATTCAGTGTATTCAATATAACAATAATTCTGAAAGATTTCAAAAAAATCTGAATTATTTTTTTCTGTTGTTGTAAGTTTTTGATGACCCACAGTATTTCTGAGTGGGCTAACTTCCAAAAGCTTTTATTTGAAGCAGCAGATAATGATCCTGTTAGTTCTGCTGCAGAAGTCATCAATTCAAGTTTTTTGCAAACAGAAAAAGATGTTTACGAATTATTAAGTCAATTATCAAAAATCATACGTTCATATCCAGGAAAACTCAAACAATACGCTATATTTATTAAAGAACTTATCGATAAACTGACTCCAGAACTAAATTTCCGAGAAAAATTTCTAAAAATTTTTAATGAAAACGAGAAAATCATGTTTTTGCTATACAGACATCTCTTCTTACTCGGTTTTTGCCAAATAGAAGACATAATTGCAGAATTTCACACTCCAAAGTATGATAAACCTGTTCGTCGTACTCTTTTAATAACATTTCTTCCAGAATTGTATAAATACGACCAAGAGACAGTTAAAATGGCTCTTAATGAGCTCAGTTCTGAGAAAGATTTATTCAATACGCATGTTACACTGGAAAACTTTGTCGAAAAAGTTCCAAAGGTCGAGGAACTATTAATCTCAGGTCAACATACGAATTCGATTGAAAATGCAATCAAATTTGATGATGTTGAGCGACTCAAAGAAATAACTCAGAGAAAAACATTCGATATGGCCGCACCATTGAAATCAACTGAATTCGAATTAGTTCCTGTACATGGTTTGACTCCTATTGGAGCTGCAGCTATATTTGGAAGCGTAAATTGTTTCAAATTTCTTGTAATTAAACAAGCGTTAGACATTCCTTCGCCACAACCTATCGTACATTTAGCCATATATGGTGGAAATCACGAAATAATACACATATTGCAGCAGAGTAACGCAAAATTCGATGGGGCACTCGGAGCAGCGGCCAAATCGTTCCGACCATCGCATTTTATGTGGCTACTCCAGACATTCCCACTCAATTTGATCATAAAACCTGTTACTGCCAATGGAATTTTGACAGAATTGATCAAAAACTGCGATTTGACTTCATTACTGGTATTTCTCGATTCAGAACTCAACGATAAACTTAACGATAAGCTTACTCCTGTCTTCAACGCTGCAAAATCTACAAATTTAATTTTCTTCCAACATTTATTTGAACAATTGAATACAGATGTTAACTCAACGAACTCATCAGGCTATACTCTATTACATGTAGTCAATGATCCAAGCATTGCCGAGTATTTATTCTCATTACCGAATATCGATGTTTCAATTGTGAATAAAGACGGGTATTCTCCACTCCACGAGTACGCATCTCGCGGGAACATTGAAGTAGCAAAGTTATTCCTTGAGCATTCCCCTTCATCTATCTCTTTAAAGTCAAATTCCGGAATGACACCTTTACATTGTGCCGCTTCATCAGGAAAAGGCGACTTTATTCGATACCTTATTGCTCAAGAAGGCATTGACGTTAACGCTGTCGACAGAGATGGCAATACTCCGTTGCATTATGCTGCAAGATCAAGTTCAAGGGACAGTGTTGAGGCTTTGCTGAGTTCCAGTGATATAAACATATTCGCTGAGAACAAGTTTAAGGAAATACCTTACTTTTGTGCTGCCAAATCCTCGAATTCCGATGTTTTTTCGGCTTTGGCCGAATATCCTAGTTTCGACATCAACCAGAAAGACAGTAATGGGCTTACTGCTTTGATGTACGCTATAGATAGACCATGTTTATCAATTTTTGAGTACCTTTTGAGCAGAGATGAAATAGATGTAAATTCTACTGACACAGAATTCAATAAAACCCCATTAATGCATCTCGTTGCTGCACCATGGAACGCACAGACACAACAGATGGTCGATACTTTGCTAATTGTCCACGGATTGGATATAAATAAACAAGACAAGTCAAATAACACAGCAATCCACATTGCTGCGATGCTTGAGAGGAAGGAAATCATCGATATTATATCAAAACTCCCGGATTTGAACATGAATATCTCAAATGGAATTTTGACTGTAAAAGAAGCGATTGAAGGCAAGCACCAACGAAGATTACAGAAGTCAAGGGACCAGAGTATCGATACAATACCGAATTCTTCATCAGAAGAAATGGAAGATTCGGAAGTTGATATCGACGAACAAGAAATCGACCAAACACCAATAAAAAGCAAACCAAAACAAACAGGAAACAAAACCCCCAAGTCAAAAGGAAAAACTCCGCAGTCCGGAGCTAAATCTCCAAATAATTCCGCAAATAAGTCAGGAACGAAACCAAAAGGAAATCAATCACCTCAAAACAAACAACAAAAGAGGCCAAACCCTGTTTCAACTCCTCACAAAACAACAGAACCATCAAAACTCGCTCCTGAGACTCCGACATCGCCATCGAGCATTGATAAGTCAACAGATGACCAGATGTCAACAAGGCCACCTGGACAACCACAGGGAGGATGCTGCAGAATATAATAATTTTAATTTATATTTTTTATCTTATTATTTTTTGTGTTTTAAATATGAATTTATAATTCAAATCAATGCATTTTTAATCGATTTTTATCAGAAATGAACTTTTATCTTCCTATGTATGAATTTCACTAAATTAAACAATATTCTGAACTTTCTTAGTTTAACAAGATAGTAAAAACAAATTTATATATCAAAATACTGTTAACATATTCTCAGTTACATAATAAAGTTGCCTCAAAATCTCGATTGAAAGGCATTTAAATCATTTGAGCATCAATGAAAAAGTGACATGTTCAATGAAATACATTTATTTTGGTTATTAGACTTCAAAATAGCTTTGATACTTGGAATAAGTATTTTGAAAATGATACAATTCCACATAAGATTACCGAAAATTCTCATTGGTCAAGGATTAAAACAAAATGGAGCTATTTCTGTAAGTAATTCAAAAGTTTTAGTAAACTCATGTGGTTTTTCGAAATGTAGTTCTACTTCGAAGGGTGGATGCGTTTATCAACATTTGGGCGAGAGTATTCACCTTAAAATTTGTTGTTTTAATTGCTCCACAGAGGATGATGGGGCCTATCTTAATACTATTCTAGCAGATACATTAGGATATAGAAACATCATGAATGATTGCTCGATAATTCAAATTTATGCGAAAATTGACTCTTCTTTCCACCATTATTATGGAAATATCGAAATTAAATATGTGAATGATTCGAATAATTATGCTGAATATAATGTTTTTTGTGTTATTAAACCTGGATCGAAAAATTCAGTAAATTTAAGCTTCTGCAATGCATATAATAATTCGAGTCCAGGACAAGCGTTCATGTGGACTTATGGGACAATATTTGAGATTAATTTATGCCAATTCATACAGAATTACCAATATAATAATAACTATGCCCTGATGTATAATCATGTAGGAACATTAAACATCAAAACCTCGATTTTTACATCAAATATCTGTTATAAATTATTCTATAATATTAATGTCAAAGTAAATGATTGCTTTATTAAGGATAATAAAGAAATGATAGCATCAGATTCAAGTATTGTATCATCAGTAAATAAGAAACCTTTCGAATTCGAGAAGTATATTGAAAATTGTAGACATTTGTACATGGAATTTAGTTCATATTTATGTGCATATCCTTTCAATTGCGATATATTTATTAAGTATAATGTCTTATAAATAGAATATCAAGTTCAATTCACTTTTTAAAAAGTAATAATAGTTTTACAATAATTTCAGCTGAAGCAAATCTTGAAAAGTGATACCATTACCATAAATTTAAGATATAAAAAAAAAAAAAAAAAAAAAAAAAAAAAAAAAAAAAAAAAAAAAAAAAAAAAAAAAAAAAAAAAAAAAAAAAAAAAAAAAAAAAAAAAAAAAAAAAAAAAAAAAAAAAAAAAAAAAAAAAAAAAAAAAAAAAAAAAAAAAAAAAAAAAAAAAAAAAAAAAAAAAAAAGGGAGTGGGGCTTCCAGGCACTTCGTGCCTTCTAGCCCTGAAGATGTTTAGTATAAATGAAGTTTTTATTCGGAGGGCTTCCAGCCCATAAGAAATTTTTCCCAAGACCCAAGAGGAGGACCGAACCCCAGCCGACCAGCCGTTGACTTTTTTGTCAAGACTTCTTCGTAAATGTTTTGTCAAGACTTCTTCGTAATGAGCGTAAAAGACCCAAAAATATATTTTATGTTAGAATGTTAGATCTAACATGTTTTCTAACACGTTTTCTAACATCGTAGAAAACTCATGATTTCATCGTAAATGTTTTGTCAAGACTTCTTCGTAAATGTTTTGTCAAGACTTCTTCATCGTAAATGTTTTGTCAAGACTTCTTCGTAATGAGCGTAAAAGACCCAAAAATATATTTTATGTTAGAATGTTAGATCTAACATGTTTTCTAACACGTTTTCTAACATCGTAGAAAACTCATGATTTCATCGTAAATGTTTTGTCAAGACTTCTTCGTAAAGAGCGTAAATGACCCAAAAATAATGTTTATGTTAGAATGTTAGATCTAACACGTTTTCTAACATGTTTTCTAACATCGTAGAAAACTCATGATTTCATCGTAAATGTTTTGTCAAGACTTCTTCTTCGTAAATGTTTTGTCAAGACTTCTTCGTAAAATCAGACAAAAATAATGTTTATGTTAGAATGTTAGATCTAACCTCTTTTCTAACCTCTTTTCTAACATCGTAGAAAACTCATGATTTCATCGTAAATGTTTTGTCAAGACTTCTTCGTAAAGACTTTGTCAAGACTTCTTCATCGTAAATGTTTTGTCAAGACTTCTTCATCGTAAATGTTTTGTCAAGACTTCTTCGTAAAATCAGACAAAAATATATTTTATGTTAGAATGTTAGATCTAACCTCTTTTCTAACATGTTTTCTAACATCGTAGAAAACTCATGATTTCATCGTAAATGTTTTGTCAAGACTTCTTCGTAAAGACTTTGTCAAGACTTCTTCATCGTAAATGTTTTGTCAAGACTTCTTCATCGTAAATGTTTTGTCAAGACTTCTTCGTAAAATCAGACAAAAATAATGTTTATGTTAGAATGTTAGATCTAACCTCTTTTCTAACCTCTTTTCTAACCTCATGAATTTTCATGAACTTTCTTTACAAAGTCTTTACGATGAAGAACTTTACAAAGTCTCAACAAAACATTGACAAGAAAGTTCATGAGAAAGACTTTACAAAGTCTTTACGATGAAGAACTTTACGAAGAAATCTCAACAAAGTCTTTACGAAGAAGTCTTGACAAAACATTTACGATGAAATCATGAGTTTTCTACGATGTTAGAAAACATGTTAGAAAAGAGGTTAGATCTAACATTCTAACATAAAATATATTTTTATTGAATTCCGTATGAAATTTCATGAGTTTTGTATGTTTTAGACCATGTTAGAAAACATGTTAGAAAACATGTTAGATCTAACATTCTAACATAAAATATATTTTTATTGAATTCCGTATGAAATTTCATGAATTTTGTATGTTTTAGACCATGTTAGAAAAGAGGTTAGAAAAGAGGTTAGATCTAACATTCTAACATAAAATATATTTTTGGGTCATTTACACTCATTACGATGAAGAAGTCTTAACAAAGTCTTTACGAAGAAATCTCAACAAAGAAATTTTACTAGTAAGTAAATGTGGTTTGAAATAGGACTACTTGTTTTAGGTTTTTTCCATTGTGTCATTTACTTATTTGACGTGGCAGAAAGATATAGAGAATATGAAGATGAACCAATGCCAGTAAATGTTCAGCATATGTACTCGTAAGAGATATTTTTATCTAATATTAAATGGACGCACAGAACTTAGCGAATGCACAGCAACCTGGACAACCAAACCCAGAGAATATTCCAAATGAAGTTAGAATACAAACTGCAATGGCAAACTATGGTCAAGTGCCAACAGATGTACAAATGCAAACTGCCATGTCAAATGACGCTGCGTTAGGTTTGCCACCATGGTATGCAAATATGAGATGGAAAGAGTTTTATACAAACCCTGAAGTGGGATATAAACAACTCTATGCAGATGACGCGAACACAGGAGTTGACCCAGAATATGTTTTCTACCAGAGGAGAAACAGAATGTATGAGCTCCAGTTAAAGAATGCTATGGAACTCAACAGGAAACGTAAGAGACTAGGCGGACATTAGATTTTTACATATAGTAAAATGGGTTTCTTCAGTAAGATAGGAAACTTCTTTCGAAATGTTGGAAGAGGTATATGGAATGGAATAAAAACCGTAGGAAGAGGAATTTGGAACGGAGTCAAAAATATTGGTAAAAGAGTAGGTCAGTTCGTTGGTATTATACCTAAAGACCCTGAACCAGAAGAACAAGCTCCTGTTATACAACAGCCTGAACCTGCACCACAGTCTAGTTGGCAACCAAATCCAACACCTCAACCGTATTAAAAAATTATATTTTTACCGTTCGATAGTAGTTGTATATGAAACTAAGTTCTAAGTAAAACGCATGGTATAATGGAATTATTCTTTTTCTTCCATCTGTAGTAAACCATACTTGAAAGTCTGAAATACTGAAACAATAAGAATTACCGAAAAAGTGACAAAACATCAAAAACAGGGAGGGGGTCTCAATTTTTATTACTTATATTATTTTACAATATTTATATAAATACTCTTTATAATATATTTTACTATAAAATTATACCTCAAATTCAAATATTTAAAATATTATTTACATAATTATCTCAAAATTATATTTTTATATATTATTTTTCATATGTATAAATCATATAATCTATATCTATGCAAATCTCATCTAAAATTTTTTGAAACAAACCGCTACCATTTTATAATGGTCCATCTTAAATTCATCATAAATTCTGGTACATGTTAGTACCAGAGTCTTCAAATCTCAAACACTCTGGTACCAACATGTACCAGACGCGAGTTTCCAATGCCCTCGTACGATTTTCTATTAAGATCTTCTTGAATGAGAAGGTCTTCATAGAAACTCGTACGAGGGCTTCTCTTTTAAATACTCTGGTACCTGCTGGTATCGGAGTCGACTTTACAGCCCTTTCCCCAATTTTGAAGCTGGGAAAGTTTTCAAGCAATGAAAGGGAAGCTCTCGCTATGAGGTGAAAATCTAGAATTTTTACCTCATAGCGAGTAATCCTTTGTTAATTGCTTGAAAACTTTCTTCAAATTATCAAAATTTCGAGGAAAGTTTCCTTGCTTCAAAGTAGAGATGGAGCCCTTTGAGCCACTGCATATAGGTCAGTGACTCAAAATACTCCATCTCTACTAGAAATCGCCAAAATTTGGGTCGCAATCTTTGAAATGCGACGCAAGTTTTTGGCAATTTCGCGAGGGACTTGCTCCATTTGGTGCATAGATTCACACTCTATGCACCAGATGGAACAATTCTTTCGCTGACAGCGGGAAACTTTGTCTGAATAGTTTAACATTCAGACAAAGTTTCCCGCTGTCAGAGAG